AAATATCCAGTTTCGCTTCTGCATAGCAAGCCGCATTCAGTTCCCAAGCATTTCACTACCAACATTTTCACCAAGTTGCGTTGAGCACCCTAGCCGGCCACCAAACAGCCACCGCACACCCACGCCAACGCCAGCCTGATACCGCAACATTGGTCGCAACCACCCTGACCGTGGCAGGCTGGCAAAGAAAACAGCATAACCGGTTCCAGGCGCCCTGAGCGAGTCGATTGATTTTGTGTGTTGGTACATTGTTTTGATACCACGTCAACGTTGGGGGCACAAAGATTGGGCTTCACAATGCAAGCCCCAGAGGCAATACAATGTGCTATGAATTGCATGGCATGCTGGGCAAACACACAATCTTGTTCATTATCAGAATTAGAGATGAAGCACCTGCATTTCCTCAGACAAGGCAGGATATATTCTGAAGACTTCAATGCAATGTGCGCTCAGTAATAATCATGAGCAACACTGTTGATTCCAACATCATCCACCGGTACAGTGCTATTGGCAGCCCTTCAAAAACATTTTTGCAATTTTTGTGAGCCCACCTACCAGTTTCTCCTCAGGCACCATGACCCTGCAACACTGGTGCTGGAGGCTGCAAGGCGGAAGCACATGTGCATCACACAGTCCCAGCAGTCGCTTGACAATCGACTACAAAAGAGTGAGCGTTGGCATCCAGAAGGCATTCAAATTTTTTCTCATTGGTTGCTTTCCTGCATCAGTCACTGAGATGCGCCATTACCGAAGGTAAGTGCAGTATTGGTTTGAAGACAAGTTGATTTTCTGACTGTTCTGAAGGCTGGGATCTGTGTGAGCAGTTTGGAGAACAAATTGCATGGTTACACACACTGGCCTTCATTACCTTTATGCATTTGTGCATGCTTGACATTGCCAAAGATTCTATGCAAACAAGAAAGCATGCCATACGATGGGCACCTGCGTCCTGAACCCAATGTGTTTGTGAGACTCTCTACCAGGATACAAAGATGCCATAGAAGTCCCAACACACAGGTGCAAAGCACACAGCACCACAGGCCAAGACCAATATGTGCAAACACAAACAGGAATTGAACAGACCTTGCTCACTCTTGCTTCCACAAGTGCCCTGCTGCACGGTGGTGTGCGTCCATAATGGTTGCAGGGCTCAAGGGTCACATATGCGGTGGCACCCTCAGCCATGTTGCCTGCTGCCCTCAGGGCATACACCTCTGCGTGTGGCAGACCAGCCTTCGGATGGAAGCCTTCACCGACAACCTGAAGCAAATTGGCCCAGCATGTAACCAACTACAGGCACACCCCTGCCCACCCTCCCAAGCACCTAGCCTTAGTTTTTACGATCTTTACTGGTGTGTGGCAGTTCGCTTATCTGCTTGGAGTTCAGCCACAATTCACAGTTTGGGATAGAGCCGCACAATAGTTGCTCTGAAAGAGTGCCTTGTGGTGATTTGGCAGTCACGATAAATGAAATTATGAGGCTGAGCAGTCCAATCTGCATCCATTGAACCATGTGCACCTTATGCAAGTAACTGTAGAAGTGCTGCTTGTTGCAACATACACATTAGGCTAAGCTTCCAGCCCAACGTGCCCACCCTAAACTCAAATTATGGGACTATATGAACAGAATAAAGGTGAAATTTAGGGCAACTGGGATAATCATCAGTGGTTAGGGCAAGCATGCATCTGAAGCTGCAGAAAGGCCACTGAGGACCAGCAAACAAGTCTTCAGAGTTCAAGGCATCCCAGGACAGTGGATTGGAAGTTTCTCTTGCTTTCATTGCCTTTTCATGAACATCACCAACATTTGAGCTGCGGGGTGATGCTGGGCCATTGGTGCCAGTACACTTCATTGGAGGTGCCTGCTTCTCACTTGTTGCCCAGACACTGACAACTCACAAATTGAACCCGTTTGCAGCTGTTACTTGTCACTTCATGCACATTTGCTGATCATGCCAATTTTTCATCCATCACTTCACTTGGGCCAATTGCTAAATGCAACGAATAAATATCCAGGACAGGATAAAGTGTAGGTATGATAAACAGTAACTAGACAACTGATTCAATAAGATACAAGACGAATTGACACATGGGAGGATGCATTGCACTAGCAAACAAGGAAGCATGTGCGGCTGAAAAGTTGAAGGCTGCAGATGCCTGTAAACTCGATTGCATGCCGCATCCCATGTGTGAACTTCTGTCAGGGCTGCCAACAGTCTTTGCAATGCTGATAGTACAACAGACCAGACAGACTCCACTCCAGCAACTATGGTATTTGTTGTGTGCATTAAGGCCAAAGAGATCGCTGCTGATATACTGGACACAGCACATCGAGCAGTTTCATCGAGCAGGGCCAAGGGTTTGAATTCTAAAACTTGACTAAAGCAATATTTAGTGCAAGTTGCACTCTTCCAGGCAATACAAACACTTCGTTGGCGATTAATATTCGACAAATGCATTCAATGGAATCATAATAAACAGGAGCGATGCACATAGCAGGGATGAGAACTGGTTACCCTTGAATTGCTGCGACAGCAACTGCAGCAGTTATACTTGAACGTGGCTTGCAGTTAGTGCAAAGTCTGGGTGCACTGGAAAGGGAGCAATGCACCGATTTGGTGAAGGAGACATGGCTGTGGAAGCTGCTGCAGTTGATGACAAAGAAACATCTTGACTGCACGTGAAATGTCCCTGACAATAGCCCAACAAACGGTCCATTTCTGTCAGATTTCGAGGCTTCTGAATCACTCTGTGTTACACGGGCGTTGCTTTTGCCAAAGATGACGACGTCATTGTAGACGGCTGGAAAAAAGTGTTGTCTGATGCTCTAAATTCAGTGTCACGCCATGTCCACAGTGTCGTATTTCATGTTCCACAATGGATTCATCAATTCATTTTGCCACACCGAAAAGCCTCTCAGAACTTTTTCCTTGAAAAGGGGGCCTGCAGTACGGCATACATAACCCGTTTCCGCGCAGACAACCTCTCCCTCTGAGCTGGCAACATTCCGCGCCCGAACCGGAGACGATCACGCTGCTTCTCACCTCACCATTTTTCACAACGACACACCCCACTGCGGGGTTGGGCGCCGTGGCGCCCAGGCCGCGTCTGGCCAGGCCCAGAGCGCGCCGCATGTACGCCCTGTCCTCTTCCGTTGCTTCGTCATTGCCCAATGGTGCACTGCTGTCCCCGTGGCACCAGCGCCGGTCGCCACGCCAAGAGACGCGCCAGGACGGCTGCCGTTGTGCCGGCACGGTTGGAAACGCAGTGGGCGGTTTCAGGTGCAGGGAGGACGCTCTGCAGGCGCAGTGGGACATCCTGCCCCCTGGAGGCATCTGCACCCCCGATAAATTTACACAGCCCTCCTGGGGGGCCCCATAAATTAACGCTGTCGAAGCCCTGCTGAAGGATCTGTTAACCAATCTGTCTGCTGGTTTTGCATTCACTTCCCCAATTTGATAGGGCTCCTACAAATCAAACATTTGACTTACCACCTACCTTCAAATTCAGTTGCATTTTTGCGTGAATTTGAAGTTATTTGAACAGTGATGAACACTGCTGTTTCGACCCGCATCTTCTTGACGATTTTGATCCGTGACTTCTGCCCGTTTTCGAATACAGGAATATGCATGCAGTTATCCGTATGCGCATCTTCGCCGTATCCGTACTTAAGACACCTGTTTCCAAGGCTGGTATGGATTGATTGGGTATCGCACCTTCATGTTATCGACCCAAACGCCCGTCAATGCCGCTGCATAAAGCACAATTCTGCAGCGCCATGCAGCAATCACCCACTCAGAATGAACTGGTCATCAGCGAGGGTGTTTCGGCGCCAGCTGTGGCACGGCCGCTGTCAGATACCTGTATCGCATTTGGATAAGGCCTTCATCAGGGCTGCACAGCCCCGTTCAAGTTTTCAGAAATCGCAGAGGGGTGGTTGCTGATGCTGATGCGAGTTTGGGGAGAGCGGATGTCGATCAGGACTCTGTTGAGTTTTGGTCAAAACGGATAAGGCACAAGAGCGCGAGGCAAGAACACGGAATGGAGACACCTAAAGCGTATTCACTGTTGGCATTGGGGGACAAAAACGACGACTTTGAGGAGCGCGTCGTAGCCCGACGCGTTCGCATGCACTTGATGTCATCACCGCAAGCTCTCCTGCATTTGGCAATACTGGCCAAAATCGAATTCCCTGCCATGCACAAGTCGGTGTTCTGCAGGGGTGTGTGTGCCTCACCTTGGAAGGCCGTGCCGAATACAACCTGTCGTTCCCTCCACTTACTGGCGCGTACTGATTTGGAGAGGACGCTGCAGGTCGTGTCTAGTCATGGACACGGCTCCCACGACGACACCACTGATGGAGCGCACCTCCTGGTGCCACACCCCGAGGGGCAAGAGGAGTGGGCAAGCACGATTCTATCCCCAGCCTTCTCTTCTCCATGGCTGTACGCTGAGGGACTCAGACGGGTAGGAGAGCCATAAAGACACGACAGAAGGGCGATCTCTGACGTGGGGATGGAGGGCCCAACTGTACTTGGATCGAGCCTGCTTGGCCTGACGAGGGGCCGTTATCTGCTGGTGACGTGGGAACGATGGTGCAGCCAGCGCAGGAGGATTGATGCTTTGGGCAACTACTGCAGTTTTAAGCAAGTGCGGCACTGGGTTCGACCATTAACACAAGGTAAGGTTCCACAGCAACACAGGGCAGGTGCCCGCCCTTAATCGGACAGTGACAGATCAAAGTGCTTATTGCAAGATTCGCAAACGATATGCCACACAGCGCCACCTGAGAAGCAACCTTTTTAAAGCCCTCACTGCCACCCCTGCTTCCACATCAGCAACTAATGGAACTTGCACATATCCTCGCTGGGACTTCACCATCACAGGGCTGTGCACACAACACGCAGCTGCCTGCAGCCTGGCCATCCCGAAGATGAGTAAAACCACTGGACAAGCCAGTCCTGACAACACACCTACACAGAATGTCGCAAGTTCTTCGCCTACTCCTGGGGCGCTGATGGGCCACCGCCAGCCACCTTGCCCTTGTACATGTTGACAAGATGCATGAAGCTCTCAGCAAGAGCTGCCCCAGAGTCCGTCTTGTCCACGAATCGCACAGCATACACCTTTGGGGATCCTCCTCTGCCCTTCGACGCCGTCCCTTGGCTGCCCTCTGCACCCCCTCCCTCCTCGTCCTTCTCGTCTGCCCAGTTGACGCAGTGGAACACCACCCCGCTGGACCTGTCCATCATGCTCACGGGCATCTGCGCGTACAGGTTCGCATTCAGACACACCTTCAAGGTGGCCTTCTGCCGCATGACCAAGCGTGCTGACCTTTTCTCCTGCACGTTCAGACGCAGCTCGCCGCGGCAGGTTTCTTTCCATGTCTGACCATCCATCTGATAGAGGATGCCCTTTGCAGCAAACACGGTGCTCTCGTCCTCCTCCCCAGTGACCACCTTCACCTGCTGCGGCAGTTTTGCCGCAGGGCCGCTTGAGAACAGCGGTTTGTTCTGTAGGCTTTGTCCACCGGTCCCATCTGTCGACAGAGTCACTGAACCTGATGGATTGCCCGCTCCTCCCCCCATGGGAGTTTTCGCAAGCAGGCCAGCACCTTCAACACTCTGCAGGGGTGCGATCTGGGTGCCAAAGCTGAAGGCCGGCGCTGTCCCTGATCCCAGGTTCAGCGGCGGGGCAGAGAAGATGTTGGAGTTCCCAAAGTCAGTTCCGGAAGCCATGCCTTGGAATGGTGATGCTGAGGAAGCAAAGGCAGCAAAGGGGGTGGATCCATCACCCGTGCTTGGGCTTGGAGAGACAAGCCCAACAGTGTCAACTTCCACCTGGATGGAACAGCAAGCAGGGGGCGTAAGTGGCCTTGGATGGCAGTTGCCTAATGCTACCAGTTGGCATTTCACTCCCCTGTTGCCTTGTCGGCGATGCTAGTGCCAGCAAGAGGCCAGGAGACAGAACTCCTGTTCGCAGGGCAATCCAAAGCCTCACCAACTCAGGGTCCACAATGACAGTCTGGCATGCCTCTGGCTGTGAATATCGCACACCTGCATTGCTTTAGGGACAGCAACAGAACTGGACAAGAGTAGTTGGCATCCCAAAACATCTTCCACGTGTGGCGCAGACGTGCATCTTACTTGCAGTTGGAGCACGTGCAAGGGACAGAGACAACCTGTCTTGCAACTTCCTGTAATCTGATCGACAATAAGGAAATCCCCACACACCTTTCCCTTTTTGTTTGCTGGCTCTTCAACAGCATTTGGACCTTTTTCTGCTGCCGACCCTTTGCCATCAGATCCTTCCTCGCGCTTTCTCTTTGGATCCATTCCAGTCTCGTCAGTCCCCAACATTGGAGTGGGCCCAGCACAGGCATCAGACACCTGAGCCCCATTCTCGACTTTCGACTTTTCAGGTGTCACAGCACCTTCTGAATGGCCCATGCCAGTTCCGCTATTATCTGCCTGCAACAATCCAGAAAACAGACAGTCCTCTGAGTGAGTACAGACTCTGCTCAAAACAGGAGTCGGAAAGACAAAACAAAGACTCCTTCGGGAAAGGCTCTCCTCCTATATCCCTGCACCAAATCGCAGTGCAGAAGATGACAAACTGGCACTGCACCTCACAGCATGCTCACCCAAAACACAGTGTTCTCATTAAAGCGTTCTGTATTCACTGCATTGTTCTCTGTGGCATGTCCAGTATTCACACACAAACCCAGGATGCATTTGTGTTGTTTGCATTCATACAACACGCTGAGGCATTCAAAAGTAGCATGCTGCAGAACTGGCAAGAGGGACACCGAACAACCATGACAGGCAACTGAATAACAGATGACAAGCGACCCCTGCTAGCTGACTGGACACTGATCTCCACCACAGCAAAGGGAGGGGGGCCCCACCAAGGCCGCCCCACCAACTGTGCAGGCTGCATAGGCATCTTATTCAAGATGGGCACCAAATGGCCTGTAAGCCAACCAACAATGGATCCTTCCAGTAGCATAGAACAACCCATGTTTACCCCATGCACAAGCGCGATCTGTCCAGCATCTTGCCACAAGAAGCTGTTGCGCATTAGCCCAATAACTTGCCGTTGGTTCTGACCACATGGAATCGGTTGCGTGCCACTCCCGTAGCACCAGGCAATATCCGTGACACGATCCACAGCAAGGACTGGTACCTTCCGAGATTGCCGCTCACAGGGGCCCCGGACGGTGCGTGCATGTGGCACATTGCCATCTTGCCGCTCACAGGGGCCCTGGACGGTGCGTGCATGTGGCACGTTGCCAACTTGCTTCAAACCCAATCGCCCACCGGCAGCACTTCGGCCCCTTCGGCACGGTTACCCGATCCCTCCGAGCCATCCCTCCCTTCACCGCCCAGTACCCCAATTGCACAAATATAGGCCCAGGAGCCGCAAACAGCCAGCACTTTCCCCAACTTCCCCACAAGCCCAACAAGCGACGATCTCCGCACAGGGTGGGATGTTCTCACAAAAGGGCAATCTTCCCACAAAGCGCGATCTTCTCACAAGGGGATACCTTCTCAAAAGGGGCGAATTTGGCAAAAGGCGCGATCCTCACCTGCCCGGCGCCAGCATCCGCCGACGGCGTGGCCCCCGCGGAGCCCTCCCCCCCCGCCATCGGGCCGGCCGACACGTCCCCGCGATCGTCGCCGGGGCCCGCGGCCGCGCCCGTCAGGCTGATCCCCGCGAAGGGATTGCGCCGATCCTCGACGGCTGGCCCGGCGCCCTCCGCCTGCGCGCCGCTGCGCCGCACGCGCACGATGCGCCGCTTCCGGAGCTGGCCCGCCGATGCCCTGGCGAAAGTGCCTGGATCTTCATCAAACTGACACACAAACCAAACCGCAATCAGGCACGCCAGCACGCAGGCCGCCCCACGGGCGCGTAGCAGGGGAGCGTTAGCGGTGCCAGGCCGACTGAACTGGGAATCGATCCGGGCACCTCCGGTGACATGCCCCACCGCTCTACCAAACCACCCGGTCAGGGCCAAGGAAGAGAGCAGTCTAGTCCCTCACGTGCCCGCCCGCCCACCCAACAGGAGCGCGGACCGTCGTTGACGGATCGGCACCCACCCCGCCGTTGTCGTCCAGAGACGCGAAGTTGTCCCTGGTGAGCTCGCCGTCGTTGGTGCGCTTCTTCTTGGAGGACTGCATGCCCGCGCCGGTGGGACGGCTCGGCGGGTGGGCGCGTGGGGGCGGCCCGGCGGGAAGCCCGGCCGCTAGTTTTGGGGGAAGATGCGCCGGACCCGCTGCGCCGCAGCCCAAGTGGCTGGTTCGGGACTTTTTTTACCGGCCGAGGGGCGGGCGAAAAAAAAAGCGGTGGCGTCTTCCCACGTGGGCGTGAACACGAATGCATCCTTAACAGAAAGACATCCAATGCAAAATGTGCCACTTTCTAGCGAGGTAACACAGCGAGGTAATGTCACGCGTCGCCTCGTGTTGAAGTTCGCATGCAAAATGTCCAAAATGTGCAATGTGGGGATGTGAGCGGGGTCTGTTTGGGAGGTGTAGTAAGCACTCAACACCCCCTCAACACTCCTGAGGGGCCACTGGCAGAACAGGCTTGTCTCAACAATGTGTTTCGAACAATGCCTATACATATTGGCGGCGTTTGATTGGGTCGATGGCGTTTCCATGGGGGCGCATCAACGCGCCTGGTTTTGGAGAATTTGTGCGAACAGGTGTTGGCACGCAATGAGCGCATTTGGGCCAAACGCTATGGGGTTCCGCCATCGGGTGGTGGTTGCCCACTCCAGGCTGCGCTTTGTGCCAATGGGCTGACGCTGGTGCGGCGTTTTTGTATGTGGCGGCTGAGGAGTACCGCCCACAAGGCGGAACACGGGCATCACAAAACAAAACGACTTCCCATCAGGGTTCAAAACACAGGCCATTTTTTACACTTTCCCACAATCGTGATTCTCGAAAACCTCTGTCATGCAGACATCCCTGTGATGGGCCTCACCGTCAGCTGGGGATCTGATGTCGCTGACAAGTGGTCTCCACCAGCAGGGGGGCGAATCTTCCCTTCGGTGCCAAAACAGGGGAAGCAACGAATGAAGACGATACAAAAGTCAAAATGGGGCCTTCATTGTGCCCCTAGAAGGCTCCCATCACCCACGGACAGGCCCGACAAATTCCAGTCGAAATCCTTCAACTCCACGCTGAGAATGTGAATGGAAGTTGGAATCCGGCCTGGGGGGTCCAAGATCGGATCGAAAGACAAGGGAAAGCACCTCCTGTCTATTTCCCATGCAAAAGGAGCCCAAAATGCTCCTTTCAAGACATCTCACCAGACAAGATACACCTCATAAGGGAGACATCGCCCTTCCGTGTCACGATGCGCGTTTGGTGAGAGGCGGCACCGCAGCCCATGGTGTGGTGCCATGGGCCATTCTGAGCAAAGCATGAAAGCGACGGGATCGGCACCAGAACACTGCTTCTCCTCAGGGCTCATGGAAGGCTGACCAGCTTCTCCAGCATGGCCACAACGTCCACAGTGTCGTCCACATAAAATTGGGCTTTGCTGGGCTTTTGTCCGACTGTACATGCGAACACCTTGCCACCAGACCACAAACAGCATCCTCAGAAGAGGCCCTTGGGGACAAGAAATCGCAACAAATGGCAAGAACAGAACGAGGTTCTGAATCCGGCAACCCAATGGACTGCGTCCATGTCCATTGTGGGGCCAACAAGTGGAGACACCAACCAGTCTCCTGCTGCCAACAGTTGGCTTTCAAATGAGCACTTTGGGACTGCACAATGCAGATGAATGCATTCACCCGATTCCCCACTGAGTGTTAGCCTCTCTCTGATTTGCCAAACTTGAACAAAATGTGACCAAAGGCACTGCAGCCTGATGTATCCCCCCCCCCCCCCCCTTCTCTTCTTCCCAAAAGAACTCTACAAGCACAGAAGTGCATTGGAGTTATGACACCCACCTCTGCTGGCATGTGTGGCGAAAAAGCGACCTGTTCCAGGGCTGTGAACATGTCCTCATCTGAACGATCATCCCCGATGCACAGCACGAGGTCTGGCGGGCTCCCCTTTGTGGTGGCCTCGGTCAACACACGCTCCACCATCTGCCCCTTACTGACGCCCTGCGGCTTGATCTCCACAATGAAGTGCCCGCTCACAACCTCCACAGGTTCGCTGCTCAGTATCTCCTCCAGGTGATCCATTAGCTCCTTGGCCTATCGGGCAAGCGCCAAGACGACTTTTTCTCAATCTCCACACACAAAAGATTGCATCTGCAGTGTAGATTCCATACCATGATCGGTTGCACGCACATATGCAGTGCATAGTTCTAATTGAAACAGTGAAAAGCCAAACACTTGAAGCGGAGCTTGGCTCCACGTACCTCAAGGGAAAAGACAAGATATATCAGCTCACATCAGGCCTGCACGCAGCCTGATGTGGGAGCCAGCACAGGTCCCATCCGAAACACACTGGGAGGTTTTTTACTGCCATAGCATATGACAAAAACTGTCCCTTGATGATGTCACTACACAAGAGGAAAGAATCGAATCCGGAACTGATGAAACAATGGCGTGTCACAGGGCAGGCTATATGCTGGCTTGCCAGAGGCACAACTGAAAGCGTTTTAGGACATCCTTTGGTGCTGCTCAGACAGAAGGCTCATATTTGACACCTTGCACATTCCAGAGGCCCCCCCTCCATGAAAACCGGCAGCACCTGCTGGCCTGGCCCACTGAGCAATACAAAAGGGTTCAGGGCCGATCGTGGCTGGGCCCTGTGGACCAGCAGAACCATACCTGCCAATTTCCAAAGTCTGGATCTGCATCCCGATAATGCCACACAAGTGCACTCTGCTTTTCCTCAAGTGTGGTACCATCGGTTGATTCTGTGTAATGCTTGATTGTTTCTGATGCCAACTGCTTCCAGCTGAAGTCGTCTGTACCATGCGCAGCTTCCCATTTGTCGGAACCTATCTTCTTGAAGAAGAAGCCGTGCTCTGCAGCCAAGCCCAGATTATCCTGTGACACAGGCACAGCCTTGTTTCATATCATTCAACAACAGTATAGCCTGCACATTCTATCTGAATATTGAATATTGACATTGCATTGTTTGGGCGTTTAATTATTCAACAACACCTGGAAAACAAATTTGTACAATTCATGCTATTCAGTTCTGCACCATGTTCTACAGTGTGCAGAAGCGTCTCATTGCAAATTCCTTGCTCGGAACATGAGCTACAATCGTGTTTGTTTGGCTGACCGACAATCCGCACAGAGGCACAGGCAAAGAAGGCAATTTGGCACAGCCACCCTCCATTGCCAGCCTCTCAACTGCATGAATAGTCATCATGAACAGTCCACATATAATGATAGGCTGGGAGTCAGCATGCAAGGGCAGTCAAATACACAGCCAGTGACAGAATAATGAGCACATCCATTAGAAAATCGCCATTCACTGAGTTTGCAATGGTCAGCGAATGCAGACAACCACAGGGGCATTACACATGTCCATTCTTTTCACTTGGAACAGGGTGTCCTTAGTTTTCCACTTCGCAGCCCAGGCCACATTCACCTCTTCAACGGTCCTGTGATCCGCACATGCATTCACCATGACACGAAAGTGACAGTGTAAATAATTTCATGATTGCAGGTTCCAGGAATCAAACAGTTGCTCACCACAGAACCAAACCACTCGGCCAGATCTTTCTTTGCTCGCCCACTGATCATGTATACCAAGTTTTTCTTGTCGCTACACAGTGCATTCAAGACTGCCAGCACTTTGCTGGGAGGGTTGGGCTTCAGGCAGTTTGGTGGAATGAGAGTCCCATCGTAGTCCAGAAGGAGTACACGGCGACTTGATCTGCAGAATCGAAACAAGGCCTTGGCAAGAGCAATCTAGTGCTTTAAAACTATTGCTATGAAGCTATTTTGCTCTCCATGGATATGGCACAGCAGTGTAGGTTTAGATGCCATAAACTTAAAGGCCAATGGATGAACCAACAGCAGATGCGAAACTCCTCAATTTCATCTAAAACGAACAAAATTGTTGCCCATTCGTGATGGAAATAAGCATCATTTCAATTGATGTAAAACTCCGATATGCTTCCATACTGGTGAATGCATGTGCAGGCACATACCAGCTACACATTGACTTTGTTTGGGTGATGCAGGTCCCCAATGGACAACATGCTGCACATTTCTCTGTTAGCTGACAAGATGCTGATCCCCTTCAATTGATATCCAATGTGCATTCACAATCAAACAGGTTTATTGCATTGCCTTTGGTTTAGCCAAGAACCCTACACATCTCATCCACCACACGCTTACACGGACTAACTCGCTTGTTCAAGGAATGGGTTTCGTAAATGTAGATCAACCGCAAAGATGCACCAGTGTGTGACAGACACATGGTACTCTTAAGTCAGAAGTTCAAGCACCCTTCTTCAGATGAAGAGCAGAGTCCATGGCCACTCACTTGTTGTAGGCCCCCAACAGCTGGGAGGGATCAAGTTTCCTAAAGTTTTTGTCCAGTGCAACCATCCGGAACGTGTTCAGCCCAAGCCCCAGCTTGTAGCACTTCATGGTGTGGTGGCCCTGCGTGATCCTCTCCAACTCCGTCGTGTACGACTGCGCCCAGAAGGCCACAGTGTGCTGCGATACGTAACGCCAATGCTTGTCGTGCCGGAACTGCTGGTCTTCCAGGGGCATAGTGAGCGCTGAGTAGATGCCATCCGCCACGCTGTCTATGCTCCAAGGGTTCACCCGTATAGCGCCAGAGAGGGAAGGTGAGCAGCCAACAAATTCTGGGATGAACACAAGCTCTCAGTCCATTTGATTACTTTGCTCATGCGCGATTAAGCGCTACCTTGTGCAGGGCGTTGACAGGCACAAATTCATCCTCAGTTTTTGTACTACAATATTTGTTAATTTCACCGTTGACACCACAAGTTGCAAGAGCTTAGATGCAGCACACAAAATCAGTAGAATGCCTGAGGGTATCAAAGCAACCTTGGAAAACCAAGCCACGCTTCAAAGTGGCAAATGGTAGTCATAAGGAAGGGTGAACAGCAAGACTTCCCAGTTTATGATGATAACCTGGTACAGAGCAGCACCAGCACACCACAATCTTTGCACCAATCCTGTGCGCTAGACGATCCGGACATGCGCAGGCCCCCCCACCATCTGTGCTCGAATGCAACACCACAAATGTGTGGGAATGCAACAAGTGAGTGTGCATTGCTTGTCCGTGCAAAGTGTGCCCCCAGCACTCCAAAGCCTACATTCGATGTTGCTTGGACGACACAAAAGTAACATGGCTTTTAAACTGGGGACAAAACAACAAACCCTACCTGAAACAACAAGCCCAGAGGTCTTTGGAGCATTTTCTTCTGCTGGGGCTCCCTGCCTGCAGACCACATATGCATAGGGTGCCAGATTCATCCCATCTCGCGTTGCAGTCAGGACCAAGACGTCTCCGATGGAATAGAACGCCATCTTCTCGTAAATGGGCATGGGCCGATCCAGATGGATGACTGGCTGATATCCTGGTCTGCCGAAATCTTTGTTGATACCTTCAATGAGACTCTTTACATACTTCAGCAGAGTTTGGATCTCCGGGCCGCTCTGACGAATAGGATTTGTGATCTGGGTACAACACAACAACAAAATAACACACCATCAACCCACGTGTAAAGGGTAATGGTTGATGAGCAGCTTTCTGTTCAGCATGCCACACTTGGGTTTCTGCTGCTTGCAGGTATGCACCTTCGATTCACATACAAGCCGACGATCACAGCACAGTTGTAGAAAGTGCATCTGATTGTGCTGGTCGCAGCACCCAGTGCACTTGTGCACCGAAAGCGGCAACATGCACACAATAGGCGTTCCTTTTTGAACAAAAGTATATGCTTAGATTTTGTAAACCTAATTGAAGCTTCGTAATGAATTTTGAATTCAGGGCAAGCACAGGCACTCATGCTACTGCGATTATTCATCTTGCTGTACACTCAAGGGAGCTCTAAAGATTTTGTAGGTTCTCTGTGAGGCTGGTGGAAAACAATTAAGGCACAGGTGCCACAAATTTCTGCCAAGAATGGCTAACCTGCCCCTTGAAGCAAAAACATCTTGGATGTGAAACGATGTTCGCATATCCAGAGATTATGGTGTCATTCCGTCACATATGCAACCAGCAACATCCAGCAAAAGCTGCTCCAACACTCATATCCTGAAAATCAACAAATCGCCACAAATGGTATGGGAAGAGAACAACACAGGTGTTGGTAGCTGCTCAACAGATTTCGATTTGCATCCCCTGTTAGATATGAAAGTCTGATGTCACCCTGATCAGCATGTACTTTTCTTGACCTGAAGAAAGCACTCGTATACCTTCCAAACTACACTTGATAGTTGCCACATGGAAATGTCTAAACCCAGGGGCTTGGTTGCATGAGCAGAATTGAACGAACAAGGAACAAACAAGCATTTTGTCTTGGTACATGCAAGTCTTGGCCTTCTAAGGTATCAGCGACATGCTTCATATTTAAAGGCAGATGCAATCAAACCGAATTTGATAACCAACTCGGGACACACACCTGAATCAGCACGACTTGTTCTCTCCACTCAGGGTGAAGCTCCAAAAATTGGCGATATGCACTGAGCTTCAGGTCAATACCTTTGAAGGTGTCCATGTCGTCGACACCGATCAGAATCTTTCTGCCGCTGTGCTCGGACAGCAGCTCACCTCGGCGCCACTTTGTGTCGTTCCATTTCATGCCCGTTAAAAAACGCTCAGGATTCACACCTTTATTGCAACATGGTACACATGGTCATGAGACATGCTGGCTAAACAGGACATCAGCAAACAAGAGGTGTATGCTGCTTCTCTGCTGCACATACTATGCACAGACTGTGCAGGCTGATCCATATAGCAGAAACCCAATCAGTTGCTTTTCCCTGTTCCAGTGGGCAAGAGCAATCTGGTGATGGAATCAAAAGAGAGGGGCATATCTTGGACCCACAACTTTCAAGCATTTCTGTGACTGGTCTGTCCACTATTGTGCCCCAATTGCCCGTGGATTCTGCTCATTGTTGTCAATTCTTCACAGCATTTGACTAAAGCAGAAGGCCACCCCCCTTGCACCATCAAGACTACATACAGCCTGCTACATGCATGGAAAAATAAAGTACACATCTCTCAGTGGTGTCATGCACTACTCCAGAACAGCCAATCGACTGCTGGTGGGATAATGCAGCTCCTGCACTTGATTCGACCTTTGCCAACGCTGACTTTCAACTTCCACACTGGGCAGCACAAACATGTATTCATGGTATCAGCACCACAGCGTTCAACAACTTAAGGCCGCACCTGTTGGCATGATCTTGATTCCCACGTACCGCCCATAGTACTCGACACCCAGCGAACCCCTTGATGTGCGATGCTCCAGGCCAAGTAGCCTTGAGCAACAGGACAGAAAGTGCCGAGCGTAGTCAAATGTGTGGAAGCCTTGGAGCACAGCACAGGTGGAATCTTCAGAATTACCGCTGAAAACTGGCCATCAAACATTCCAACTTCTTTCCAGTTTAGCATCATTGAGAGATCGCCCAATGAAAGAGATGTGGATCTTTCGCCACTTGACAAGACAGTGAGCATGTAAGTATGTATTGTTTTGGTATTGTTTCTTCCTTTTCTCTCCTTTTCTGCAGATCTCCAATTTTTGTTTCAGCGCCCACTGCGTCCCACTGTGCTCTGGACTAAATGGCACTAGACCAAGTCAGGCAACACCAGGGCAGGTTCTGCTGCAGACCGAAACAACACATTTGTGGCACGGGTGTTTGGATGAAAAGGAGGCTCATGCACTGAAGCCACTATTGCACATCCAAATCAATAGCACCTTCGAAAACAGACAGCATGCCAGACCTTGATCAACCCCTTGTACCCTTTTGCCTCTCCAGTTCAACAAAGATTGTGCTTTACATAGCAAGGAAACAAGCCATGAAAGGAAAACAAAAGACAGGGCCCTGAACACATGTCCTGAGCAAACTAATCTGGCATTCTTTTCGAAGCCATGGAAGATGAACTAAAGTGCCCAAGAGCAATAGGAACCTTGTGTGAGGCTTAAGAGCAGGGGTGGTCAAAAAAACCTGGAAGGTATTGCCAATAACCAGATACGCAGCACACAAATATCAAATGTACTAATGGTAGTATAAAAATAAAATACCACACAGTTCCAGATACGGACCACACGGACAGAGATCAGATGTAGACAAGATAAAGACAGAGACGAAGATGGGGACAGAGACGGGGGCAGGGGCTTAGACAGAGACAGGTCACTATTGGGCAATTGGGTTTTAGGGTTTGCAGATATGGACGGTCACGATTGTGCATTTGCTGGTTTTAGGGTTCCCGATACTTAGACGGTCATGGACTGGGCAGCTGGGCGTTAGGTTTTAGAATCCATATGTACAGGGCCTCCGTCTCTGTCTCGTCTCTGTCTCACCTCCGTCTCTGTGTTTTGCATCTGCAACACCCTCAAAACACCAACAGCAAATTCACAGTACAAAATCTGCACTAGCACTCACCAACAAGGTCAGCATTCAGCATCGACCGCAAGATGTCCTCTCTCATTGGGTACGTCCTGAAAATCTCAGAGGACGGAAACGGAGAGTGCATGAAGAGCCCACAACGGATGTTCTCTATCCTCATCCTCAGCAGTGATGGCAGAACCAGAAGGTGGTAATCATGAATCCAAACGTAGTTCTTCTTGGAAGCCAACACTGAGATCACTTGCTGAGCAAACACCTGCTCACAATCGCACATGGGCATCATGTCCAAATACTTTCTGACCTAATACAGCGGTTTTAGTTCAGTTCTTTCAAAGCTGTGTTCCCATCAGTCTGCACAGCAGTTTGGGGTTGTGTTCAGGGCACGCAAACTTACAATGTCAGCAGACAAGTCAACAGATTTCAATATACTACCGCATCCACTGGATGCCAAAGTTTCTATTCACCGGAATAGGCCTGTGTCACACAATGGATGTTCCCTCCTCAGTGCGACTCCTTCAGACACCTCTGAACACTGTGGATGGCGATGTCCTAAATTCCTTTGTTTAAATTTGCCTTCGAGAGATAAAGCAGGGCCCTTTGCATCTTGCAGGCAATGACGGTTGAAGGCGGTCCACAGCTTTGAGTGTGTAGCAACAGGCATGACAGTGAATAACATGGCGATCAGGGGAGGGTCAGCATCATATGCACCCCACAGCCATGTCACACCAGATACAATGGCCTTTGTGGTTGGACATCTCATGACTTCATTTGCCACACATCGCAAGGCAAAGTGCTCGCACGAAATTGCAGCCACATTGAAGACATGCTACTGCCAGGAAATGTGATAAGATTTCCAGCCATTTGATGCCAATCCAAAGCCACCAGCAAATCAATTCTTCAATGCTGAAGACCACTGAAAGTGAAATTCTGATATTGTCAGAGCAGTCCCCAACAACAAAATATTGCCCTCACAGCCACCAAGGTCATGGGGCTGTACACATCCAATTCTGTGCTCCCAATTTGTGCATGAACGGCCCACACAAGCTGCCAGCATGATGACCTGATGGCTGGCAAAGTATGAGCCGCTCATAGCCAACATGGAGGACATCATGCAGTCATGTTGAAATCAGAATGCATCTGGCTTTCTTCCTGGACGCTTTTCGATTGGCGTTTTTCTAGACAGGGGGACAGCAGACATCCTGAAAGAAAACCACCCAAGCTAAGGTGGCTTCACTCAGTTTTGTGTGGACTAATTGCATATGTCTGATATTGTAATACACTGGGCACTGGTGCAAACAATGCACTGTGGATCCTGGCAAAGGCTGTGCATAAGTTTATGGAGCAACTGCAGCAATACCACATGCATCTTTGCAACAGTTCAGTCCTCTGTGCAAATCCACAATAGGTACAATATCAATAGAAGGCATGCACAGTCCATGCACCACTCAGGCGATGTTGGATGCTGTTCACAAATGTTTGTTCCCAAAATGTTGAGTGGTCAGTGCATGGGTTCCAGTTGCAACACCTGTTCTCTGCAGCGTATATCGCTGGCTTACCATGTTCGCTCGCTTGTAGGCTTGCCACATTCCTAAATCGAAGCGCTGGTTGCACAATGGGGCATTGGGCAGCACGTAATGAAACAGTGGCCAGAGCTGTTGCTTGCAGCAACCTGTATGCACACCAATCATGCAATGACAAAGAGCGAAATTTGGAAACCCAACTATGTCTAATATTGCAGTGCTGTTCATTCCTGATACACCAGAGTAGCATACCTGCGGTGCTGGACCCAACTGACTCATTGTTGAGAGTATGCGGAAACTGATGTCCCCAACTCAAGTGCCCTTTGGATCATTTTTTCAATGTTGTGAGCACCTCCCCATGTCTGCCCACAGATGCCTCTCCATATGCTAGGACACATACTGCCATGTTGGGCCACCTTTCCATGGCACTTCACTGTTTTCCAACAATTTGCTCACCACTCAGAAAGTGCAGTAGATTTCTGCAGGCGTGCACAGCAGCGCAGCATGCCTGCCCTCTTCTCAACATATTCACTTCCACGGCGGCAGCCTTGTGCTACAAACAAAGCTGGGCAGGACTTGCGCTAGGCTCTGGAATACATTTGTCTGTCTGAACTGCACCGCTAATTGGAATTGGCGACTTATGGAGATGGCATACTGGACATCCTGCCTGCAGCCGTGCGACTGACATCACCTTGCAGGTAGTCGAAGAGCTTGCGCTAACCAACTTGGTTCAATTCATTCAGAGTGTTTACACTGTGCAGCAGAGTATTGGCCCTATTCAGGGGGTGAGATCTGGGCTGTCAACATATTGGGAGTTTGCCAGGATGGGATGGACACATGGTCTCATTCAGAGCAAAACTCTTGTGCCTTCAGATCAACAACAACTTACATGGCTGAAACACGGCTGTGCTTGCAATGGATCAAGAACATCAACAGCAACATTGAGACATTGTCCTGCCCATGTTTGAGAGGCACACCTTTGTAGAATCTATCCTTTAGTTCTTTATCCAGGAACACAGGCACACATTGCAACCGGCGAAGTCTGGATGCCACAGCCTGCACTCTCCACCACACAATAACGCTTGAGCCCAAGACGATCCTTTGCATCATCCAATAAGTGAATTGGCAGTGCTGTGCAAAATTTTGTTGAATGTGTACAGCAAGGATTTTCACCCATGATAGGCAACAACATGTGATAAGGGTGCACAACTGACCCACACAGAAGAGCATCGTGCCTGGACCACCACCATGAGCATCCCTAAACAACAAGCTGGTATTTGGCTCTAAATCCCCTGCTTCCATCATTGTGGCAAAAGCAAGTTGTCATCGCTGCAATGAAACGAGTTGAAATGACGACTGCAGAATAGGGTTGCCATCTGTGCCTCCTACAGCTTCATATTCTTCTGCTCATTCTTCAGTTTTTCCAGCATTGGCATTTTCTCTTTGCTCTTACAAAAGGGCATTCCAATTGCAGGGTGTGTGTGATGAAAGCGTGAACAATCAGCAGGTAGCAATTCCACTCTGCCACTGAACAAGGGAGCTGTCAGCACAACAGTCATCACCCACCTCGTGATCAGCAGGATCGACTTCCACGGAGAGGCCTCCCACATACATAACCTCTAAAGACTCATCTATTCCATCCTGCACCAACAGTCAATGCAGTACCATAGTAATGATGGTACATTAAATCCATGATAAACAGGGTTGAGTGTGCGAGTTCTTCACTGCATGCATGAATCCCCAAACAGAAATGCACTGCACCTGGTATCCACTACTAAAAGCTTCAGATTCTCAAGTCACATTAAAGAATTATGAGACCACACAATGCATCTGCAGCCTGCTGATGCAGTATTGTGCAGCTGGCTGTGAAGTGTGCATTCAGGATTGATGCATTTTGTGTTTTGTTGGTGAAATCGTTCAAAACTGTGCCATGACAGACAGCAATGAACAACTTGTCCTGAGGGTGTGCTTCAAAATTTTGTATCCAGGTGCCCATAAACACTCGAAGAAAAGGTACTGAAATCAGCGAACGCAAAAACTGCCTCAAGGCAGAAAGCATTCCTGCAATGGCAGTTCCGTTCCTGAGTGCATTGGACATTCCAACCAATTGAAGTTGTTGGACTGACATTTCCAAAGATGGTACCTGTCCACTATTTGTGCATCAACACGACACAGAATCAACAGCACGTGCATCCCATTACTTGCCACATCTTCCTGTTGCCTTCCTCAGCCTTTTCACCTACCCTAACCCCTCAGACTCAGCTGGAGACGGTTTCTGCCACAAGTCTGGGCACATGGTATGTTCTCAACAGCGTGTGCAATGGCATTGGCTTTCATCACTATGCTGCAGCCTTAGCCAGGCGCCTCTGTCAGTTTTACCTTGGCCTGAAGAATCAAAGCATCGTCGTCCCACTCAAATGCCCAGCCCCCCCGCGGGTGGGGTTTGGCCTTAACAGGAAGTTTGTTGGCGACTATGATCACCCTGTGGTCAGCCAACAGGTGAATTCTCAGCAGGGCAACCAGTCCCATCAAATGCCAGAAGTTGAGAAACAATAAAACAGAAAAAAACAACAACGCAAAATAGGCCATTCTCTCACAGTGCCAAATGGCTGATCTTGCGAGTGCTGGCTCCCCCTTGTATTCATGGCACCTGGCCGAGCCTTGCGACAGACCCCGGTCTGCTCATCCCGGATATTCCGAGTGTCTCGTTCATGCCACCAGATGCACCAGCTGGCATGGGGGAATTGGAGCCACGAACCAACTTCTGACGACAACCCATCAAGGTCGCAGAACTGGGCGAAATCCGCACTGCTCCCATCAAGACGTTCAGCTCGCCGCTCCCTCCCTCCGCTGCCTTCGCAGCCGCGAGCCAGCGCCCACAACGGAATCTAACCCGGATCTCCACTCCCGTCCACCGCAGACGCACAACGCGCAACAGCGCCAGCCCCTCCAGCCGGCCCTCCCGACCACCGCCAACACTTCAGACGTCAGCCGCGCCGCGCACACAAAGCCAAACTCCCAACGGCGATCGAAATGGCATCTCCCCGCATGCCCGCCGCGCCCAAATCATTCGCGGCTCCAGGCCCGCCATTCGCCACCAACCTCCGCATCCGATCTCCGCTGTCCATCGACGTCCTGGACGATGCGTGCGAACCCGGCAGCGAGGCGCCGTCCAGCAGCGCGGCCAGATTGTGCGTCGAGCCGGACATCACGCTCAGGCTCATTTTGTCCCGCGCGCGCCGATGGCGGCGATGCTCGACTCAGGGCGGCGGCTTTGCGGGGGAGGCCCTGTGAGGGCTGCGGGGCCGTCGGAAGGCGGCGGGGGGGAGCGGCCCGCCCGTAGGCACAGCCTCCAACTCGCGCCTTTGGCGCGGACCTTCCCGAACGCACTTCCACGGCATGACACGTGAGCCAGCGGGTGAAGCAGGGAGTTGTGATTTTTTTCCCGCGATGCCTCGACCCCATACTGGGGTATTTCTGGGGGATTTATCAACAGAGGGATTTGACTTGACACTGCCGGCCCAGCATTCAGGGGCTCCATGACACTGGCCAGTGCCAGGTTAAATCCGTCTGCTGATGTTTGCCCTCGAAATTCGCCTTTAAAACTTGCCTTGGAAAATCAGTTTTGAATTCACCTTTGAAAGGCAAGGCTGGCCCCCCGCACCTTGCAGGCAATGACGCCTCTGTCGTTCAGTTCTCATGTTTGCGGCTGTCGGTCGCATTTTGGGGTGGAAGAAGATCCGTTCAAGGCTGACCAGGTGAGGTGTGGGCAGCAGTTGACTCGTCCGACCAGTTGAGGGTAGTTAGCAAAGCAGTCGCCGAGAAACAAGGAGATGATTGCTGGAGCATGGATATGTGTCGTTGAGGCCCTTTGGCTGCCGAGATCAAGTGTTTTCCATTTGTCCCCAGCGGCTTTGAACGCAGAGAATGCGCATCTTCCTCCACCACCCATCTGAACTGGTCAAGCGATGGGGGCTTTCGCAAACGAATATCCTCCTCCTGTTTGCCGTTGCTCTGCATGCTCCCTGACTAACTGAAGGCTTCCATTGGTCAATGCGAAGCACAAAACGATTACACAGGCAAGGAAATTGCGCAAACCCCACTCGCCAGTCCAAGGGCTGCGTATTGTGCAAGTTTCGCCGCGTTTTGGCCAGCCAAAGCGGAGACAAGAAGGCACAGTCCGAGGCGCACGGACGGACGGATCGGGTTCTGTACATAACGGCAGGGGCTTGGCAGCCAGGCAGCATCGGACGAGCCCCTTGTGAAGTTGGGGGACGAGAGCAAGCTTGTGAGTGTCGCAGGCGACCTGCCAACGACGGCCAGTGGCGCTGCCTCAAGGGTGACCTCATATCGACGAGCGGCTTTGGAAAGGGGGATGGAAGAAAACACACACAAACACCCCCAACCCCACACCCCACCCTCTTCGCCATATTTTCTGACGAATGTGGTCAAGACGCGTTTTGTTTGCAACTTACGCGCGAGGCGATGTGGGGGCAATCGCCCTGGCGATTGCGGTGTTCCCGATGGGTGTCCGCTTGGGTATTAACATCGGATGTTCCCGACAGGAGCTGGGCCCCATTTTCCGACATGCTACTGCTCTCTGTTGTCGATCAACGCCCAGCGACAGTTGTTGTTTTCTCTTCCTCAATGATTGTTGAGAGAAGGGGAACACAGGTCTCCAAATGGTCACACATCCAATGGAAAGCTGCCCATGGTGTGTTTTTGGTAGTTTCAAAACGCTCTAACCAAGAAGACGATTAAGAAATTGCAGTCGTAATTGCAACCATGTCGCACAGTTGTTGTTGGTGTCACAGATGCGGATCTGAGCCATTTGAATCCAATCGGCCATGATTCAGCGATTGGGGCTGATTGTTGCCACAACGCCTATGGCCTGGCGCTGAGGTAACCAGGAGCTCGTGGCGGCAATTGAGGATGAAGGATGGATCTGGTCTTGCACTGCGTTCACCAAACATCCAAGGGGCATATTGGTTGAACGCTCCCGCCAATTGCCGTGCTTTGCTTGGCAAAACGCAGTCTGTGCGTGTGCATTGCTCGGCGGCCTGATCGAGATGGGCCCCTTTTGTAAACAGTTGAACACCGTCCCATGCCTTACCGTGATGTTGGATTGGCCACACACTCTGTTCCATGCCGCAGCAATTCCCTTGATGTGAAGAAAAGGTTGAACGCCTGTTTTGAGCAAGGTTCGAGTGCGTTGCTCTCTTTCAGCACCCGCAGGGTAGCACTAAAGTACTTTTCTGTTGTTCATAACCTAACCTAGGCTGTGCCAGCCGCGATGCAGACGACTGCATTGCTGTTCAGCGAAATGGATACAGCATTGGCTTTCATCTGGCGCACTTTGCGCACTTGGCGGGGTGCATCATCCCTGTCTCGCAAACAGTAAAGCGGGTTGTCATCGGTTGCTGCGCTTGCATAGTGGGACCCTTTCCAGCGGCATGTGCATGCGATCAAATACAAGTGACCAGCGGCAGCCATCGCCACGTTGGCGCCATATCACAATGTGACCACTGTCTGTACCGAAGGGAGGAATGAAGAAATCCATAGCGCCCGGATGCAGTATGCAATGTATGGCTGTCCGACATCCCCTGAAAGGTGTGAGCACCTGATTGGCTCCTCAGGAGCAGCCGCAGTCAAAAGAGCATTGAGCTGTGGTAAGTCAGAATCGAAGGAATTCCCGTCACAAATGGTCAGTATCTCTTCTCACCCTGCTAGTGTCCAATTTGAGTCGCTTGGACCTGAGAAGGACGCAAGTACACCATGAACAAGTTCTCTGCGGATGGCTGGCAACTCCGAACCTGTTGCTAGAGTATTGCCACAGTGCAAATGCCCCGGTTTGCAGCAATATCAGGTGCCCGTGCTCACAGCTTTGCACAAACGGGGCTTTCAGTTCCATGTTGCAACAGCCGAAGGCGGTGCCTGGCGACACTTCCGCGAGTTCATCGCACCTGTTCACCCACCCCAAGCACCTTTGATGGCCCACAGCTGCAGCACTGAGCCCGGTCACTTGAACAACAATCCCAACATCACATGGCTTGAGACGCCTCTTAAGCCTGCATGAGGCCCCTGAGGCCCTTTTATGGGAAGAACTTGATTCCCTCGTCATCAGCTGTCGTTCCTTGGAACATCCTACGCACACGCTACCACAATACTCAGCTATGGCGGCGCTGGCGAGCATCCATCCAATCGCAAAGATGGGCAGGGGGATTTGGCGATGGCAAGTGGGTTCTACATGCAGTGACTACTGTGACACCCTGCCAAACCCACCTCGCTTTCCCTCGCTCTTCCAGGACTCTGATTGCCCTCACGACCACCTCCCTATGCAGACCCTCCAGCTCTGCTCATCACCATTGGGCATGTGTTAGACAGAAGATATCCACATACATCCACTTGCTCATAGAATTCATCAGAATATGGCAAAGCACCCAGTATTCAAACATAGCAAACCGCCCAAACTGACAGCTTACATGAAAATTGACATTATGCTGAAAATACTGGAGCCAAGCAACAAAATTGTTACCATTTTGACTTTGTTGAAATATGTGGCCGCTATGTGCCACGCTGTCAAACAGGGTTCAAAATGGGCTATCCCAGAGTCGTTTTTACAGACCATCGGTGGCCCAGAGGGCCACAACAGTCGCACCTGTTCCGCTGGTATCATCCCCATGTGACAATTCGTCGACCGTCATCACAGAATCCTCCAAGCCATACGATGACACCCACTCATAGATCGTGTCTGCCCACTGCCCAATCTGCTTTACAAAGCACACATGACCACCAGTCGATGGAAAAACTGGCCACACACAAGGGGCTCCACTGATGGATCTGTGGTGCGATCTCCCCAATCATGGTTTCTTGCTGCAATGACTAACTGGCCGTTTTAACATTCACGGTCAATTTCCTTTTCACTGCCCTTTCAACGCCAGTCAACAGTCCACGTTGCATTCGCTAGTCCAGCACATCGATGAACGCAGCGCTGCACAATATCATACGGAAAGCCCACTCGATGACATGCAGAGCTCAGCCCCCACAAAGTTGGTGAGTTTACTATGCTAGGTGTTCTGATGCACACCGCTCTGTTCAGAGCACGAAATTAGATTGTCTCGGAGAGTGTGCACCGGTCATGGCGTGGCAGCACACCTTCTTCCACAGCACAAGAAATTGCTGCTGTGACTGGTCCAGCCACACTCCATTTCCTGTTCGAAACACAGCAAGGGTCAAGTTCAATTAAGCACGCCTGCACTGCAGTCGACCGCCATTTTGCACTGACGTGTGGTGGCCAATACCACACGTTTTGGCGAATGAACGAGAACGATGACTGCATCGACTTTAGCTGAACTGACATTCCTCACATTCAGCCTGGAGATGCAATTCACACAAATGCATTCTTACACGCCGTCACACATTCTGCTATTTTCTATTTTTGTTGTAACATATCACACTTAGCGCGGCAAAGCGCTGCCCTCTTCACCTGCAAGGGTACGAAGGGCAGAATAATGCTGCCCTTCTTCCCAGATGGAGTTTTTCCATCTGTACTATTCCTTTGAGAACGTTGCTTTTTTCACAGTGGACAGCAACTGGAGCAGCATGTTGGCATGAGTACCTTGCACAACCAGGTAGTCGAAGAAAGCTCTCCGTGCCTCTGTGTTTAATTTCCCTACAGCGGAGACAGTGGGAATCTGTTAATTATCGCATGGGACGTGTTTGATTCCCAATGGCCATGCCTTGCGTAGGTCGACGGTGCACACGATTTTGCGCATTTGACAGCAGCATGAGACTCATAGCATTGAAACCCAAGTATTCTGTCAAATAGCAAACATTCTGCTGGACGTTGAGGGCATTTTCATGATTTGGGTAGGTTGAACAAGCGCTATTTGGTGCCACTGCGTCTGCCATCACACATAAGGTGCCAAGGCACTGAAAAACATGGTTTCTGAGAATTGAATCAGTCCGTCCACAGCATTAAGGCTGTCAGTGTTTCAGTGAAAACACATGGTGTCTTGCACAGACGCTTCATTCGATGTGCTACCATCGACATTCGCTTTTCGGAAATTAGGAATGTGTAGAATCTGCATTCCTCGGGCATATTAGGGAGCTGGCAGCTACCCCCTTGCCTTGATGTGCTGTATTTTTCTGACAATGATGAAACCCCATGAAAATAGCCACATTGAAATGTAAGGTTTCTTCATGAAAGCCCACGTGAATGGAAGTACACTGCCATCAGAACTGGGGATACTGTCATATGCAGTGGCACAATTCTTGCGGCCAAGGTTGCAGAACGATGGAATAGGGCCCTGACTGCGACAACCTCGATCGCAGTAATGGAGCTGAGCGAGATATTGCAAGTGACCATCCGATGTTCAACATTGACAAGGGCTTCCAACGCAAATGCTGAGACAATGCTTTACTCCTGCACCACCATTGTTTGAACCGTTCAAAGATGAGCAGATCTGAAGTGAGACTTCTGCACATAGATCATGACCCACAGCTAGGGCAAGCACAATCGGGAACAAATTTATCCAAAGCGCAGTGGTTCCGCCACACAATTGATGAAAATATCTATTGCGCTGCCACCCATCTCTTGCAGACTAAAAGGAATTCGTATCACAGAACTCAAAGATTATGTCATAGTGCCCAAGGTCCCAAGTTCGACAATAGAAGTGGCCACGCCATCAGCCATTTTGGAGCAGAGCTTGCTGGGTCTCCCAGTGCTGTTTTGCTAGACTCCATACCATCAAAATTTTGAAGTGCACCACATCCTCAATGTATCCGAATCATGGGATGCGGGAGCCTCGATGGGCACAACTGAAGCTGTGCATACGCTGACAATGGCTGAAAACCACAGCGATGATTGCACGGCCATATGCAACATGGAATGTGGAGGGATTACAACACAATTGCCATGGCCTTGCGAAGGGGCACACAATGCACTGTTGCATGCTGTTCCTGTTGCACTAAGAGACCTTCACACCATCTTCCACAGCATAGAAGCGTGCCACAGAAAATCCTGCTCAGAGGGGTGTGACCACTGTACAACATGTTCTTTTCTGCCAACAGAGGCAATGTTGGGCAATGGTCACTGCTGCGTTGTTTCATCACTGTGTATCTTACTATTGATTTTGTCATTCTTGAACAATGCAGTCTCATCTCCAGCCCCATCTGCGCTGAGCACATAAATCTGTGACAACATTGCACAACATCAGGCAAAATAACATTAGATTCTGCATCAACGCAGGTCCAGCCATTGATACCTCAAGGGGATTTATGGTGCAAACACAAAGCACATGCAGATTGAAACATCTTCAGGCTGGCAGAATGTGCAGGGGGGCTCCTTTGCCTTCCCTGCCAGTGTTGCCATTTTTTCTGCCAATGTGCAGCGTGGTGCACCAACACCCATGAAATTATCTCAGCCGTAAGTCACTTGCACAAGCTGCAGGGATAGTGAGCTGTCAGGCATGTAGATACTGCCAACGGAGAAAGCAGCATAATGTCATACGAAGCGATGCCAATGCATGGAAGAGCGACTTCCCTTGTGGGTGCTGTCTACTAGGCTGTGTCCAGCATGCACTGCAACACAACATTTGAAAGCATAGCCAGGATAGCAGAAAGAACTGTTGCCCAACTACGGTGCTTGAGTATGTGGTTTCAGCAGCCAAAGCCAGATAAATGTACACTATTGAACACAGGGCCTGCTGTACCATTTCTGCAAGCAGGATGGGTGCTGTCAAAGGAGGCAGAGGTATTCACACCTTGTAGTGCTTGCAGTAGCTGAGAATCAGCGCCCCCCAGAGCTGGCACTGTTTGTCTTTGGTTTCTTTGACCGGCTGCAGTCTGCACAAACCAAGGCAGCCCAGCAACAACTTTTGTCACAAACTGTTGGGCAGGACCTTGGGCGCTCGAATTGCGCGAAGGAGCTCAAGTCGGACCTCGGAAGGAGCGAAAACTGCACCACAGTTCATCTGCTGTAGAAAATGTGCAGGCGTCCAAGAAAAGCCATGAGGGAACAAATGGATACCAACGATCCTTGTGCAATTCACGAAAACAAGGGCGAATACCAGGTGCAAGGGAAGCTGGAATTCAGGATTGCAGCAATTTAAGGCGGCTGGATCACCAGCTAACAGAATATGAGGATGGTGCTGGATGGCTTGTGGAAGATGGTTGCTTTCACGATTCCAAGCATTTCCCGAGAAGGAACTGAAAGGTACTAAAGACCGGGTGCGCTGGAGCTCGTTGCCACCGAGACTGCAGACCTCGGGCACAAATAATGGACGATGCTGCCAGATTCTGTCGAACTCAACAACTTGTGGTCTGGAATGTGGCTGACCGGCAGGTTACAAAAGCCCGTGCTGGAAGGGAATGCCTCACGTGAAGTACGGAGGGTACTCATGGAAGAACGGGAAGGTGAAACCTCCCGCCGCCATCCTGTCGCGGCCACCCGGTGCGCCCCTCCTCACAACCCAGAACCCCCGCTGATGCTCGAACACCAAACCTTCCGCCCGCGCTGCCCTTTCCTAATGAGGGACTTCCCCATCCTACTTCCCCAAATGCAGGTACTTAGGAAGTATGAACGACCCAAAAATGAATGCAAACAAATGTTCCGACAAGTGTGTTGCAATTTACCTCGTAATAGTGTGAAAACGATAAAATTCCACGAAGTTGGGACAAAATTTGACCAAGGAGGGAGACATCAACCAATCGCTCCCGCAGCAAGCGAACAAAAATCGAATGGCAATGTGTGTAGTGTATTCTGAGCGCATGCAGTGCAGATTCTCGGACGATCTGAAGATAGGAACGGGGTTCAAGCTGAGCGACTCCAAGCTGTCACAACCAAAGCTGTTCAATGGTTCGCGACAGGGTTGGCTTTTGCGCTTACTTTTACGATTTTATACATAAAAACGTCTATTTTTACGGCTGTTTTTACATTTAAAGTTTGGGACAGCCAGGCTGCACGATGAATGTTGCATACAATGGTCAGCGCTCCGCCATCACCAGCACCTGCAACACAGTGCCCATCTCGCCCTCGGCAAGGGAAAGGACCGCATGGAACAAATGTTCGTTTTCTACCCATTCCAGTGCTTCTGACTGCCACTCCCCAGAGTATCCAAATCTGTATGTAGGCTTGGTTTTTGTGGCATAAAAACTGAATTTATTTACGTTTTTACACGTAAAAGTAGGTGTACGTTCTGAAGCCTAAAAACGCGTAAGAATACGTAAATACAACGTAAATACAGTAATTTTACATAAAGACAGTAGGTGCAGACTGTTCAGGTGCTGGCTGACTGGTGCACCAATTGACCTGATTGAGATAGCGGGAGGACGGCTGCCCGAAGATTAGCCTCGATTTTTGCTAATTTTGGTGATTGTGAGTTGGTGCTGTGAATTGGAGCTTTGGGCCGTTGCCCTAGGTCGATGCAATGGGTCGGTGCAGTGGGGCAGCGTGTTGTGCGTGTGTGAAGTGTGGTTTCAGTCCGCCGTTCTGAGTGTGAGTGCTGGTGGGCGAAAAAAGAGGCGTACTCTGGTATTTAAAGAGAGCCCGAGATTTGTTTGGGGCTTCTCTTGGTTTGGTTGTTAAGACAAGTTGAGTCTTGGCTGCTTGTCCCACCATGCACGGCGAGTGCGTTCGAGCACCGCGTGCACCAAGGCTGCCACAGAGGTCGAACCAAATCGATTAGACTTGTGCTGCGTTAAGGCCCATCACTGCGCGCATTCGATTGCGACAAGCGGGATCTCGAATCGGGATGGCTAAGGGACTTTGACACTTAGCCTATGACAGCGTCCCGCAACTTGTTTGCCCCTCTCCTAATGGCGCTTTGGGAATCTTCAGTATCCGATGCAATCACCAGATTTATGTTGGATGATTCCCATCCTGGCATGTCCTCTGAGGAAACCCTTTCGAAAAATCGACCTTAAATCCGCACAATCACCCGGACAGGTGTGCCAATGTAATACCCCTGCCATGGCTCTTAAAGTGATGTTGATATGCAATTGGTGACAATGCGCGATGGGATCAAATCAGGTGTGAAGGGGAGACTACAGGGCACAGCATTGAGCTCATACTACGTTGTATGTGGTAAATGTACTTTGAAATGTAGTCAAAAAGGGGGCAACCTCCGGGAATTGCACCGATTGCAATTGGTGCATTGTATGAGCGTTGATTTGTCAGGTTAACTTGAATCGATATGGGTAATGTGAGGGTCAAACGGAGTGGGAAAGGCGGCAAGAGTATGCAGATTTGACGTGCTTTTCTAGAGGAATGGAGAGCAATGACTACACATCGAAAGATTTTGAACCTCTAAGGGAAGACGTTATTTTGATTTTGGCACGCTTAATATCAAGTTGACATTGAAGGGAGTGGGGGTGGGGGAGGGGGAGGGATGAAGGGCGTGATGCTAAGAAATTACGTAATTGCACTAAATCAACAAAAGGCAAGAAGGGGTCCAAAACGCCCTCAAGTCACCAGAAAACGCGCACCAAGGAGTGCGCAAGGGGGCAAGGAGGCTTGAATGCGATCACAGCGCCGTAATGGCGGCGATCGCGGCTCATGCCGTGGTTTCGCAGCTGCTACAAATCGGTCTGGGGGTCGCATGGGGCACAGCCAGCATGACATGACAACGACGCGGTTGTGCAAGCTGGTGATTGGTGTCTGAGCTTAACGTCAATTTGACGCTAAGCGTACCAAAATCAAAATGGTGTCTCCCCTAAGTGAGTAGCGGGGACTTCGATGTAACAGTGGAAGAGACTGGAAATCAGGAAAAGGGCATAAAATGGGAATAACTGAGAGACGAGCACTCGTGAGTCAGAATCGTGGCCAATTTCGCGATTGTCATGGAAATTTTGGAATGCCTTAGAAATAGCTTCTCCGTGGACAATGCTGTGCCAGCTAGAGTACCACAGCAGTGCTCATTGAACTTCTCACGGGAGCTTGGGACAAGGTGGCAAGGCAATGGAGAAAACTGTAAAGTGCATTTTCGCGATGAGCTGTGCAGACGAGTAGATCTGTTCCCTTGCACGCATGGCAAGGGTCCTACAGCACATGCACACGCGTTCTATTGCACAGAAAGACGAGTGCGCGCGGCACCTGAGAGTCTCCATTGGCAACGGGGGAGCCACGCGCATGGTCCGCAGTTCACAGAAAATTGCCAAGGGGACGCGGTGTCTCATGCACCCGCTGCAGAACTCATGGAGGCGAGAACCTCATCATCGAGCAACCATCAGAAGTGCTTGAAAAGCGCCGAATTGACACTATCAGCTCGAACTTCACACACAACCCAAGCGGCTCGAATCCTCCAGGGATGCTCGCGTTCGGGCTGGGCAAGTCACAACTGCTTCCGACCCAGACTGCAAACACAGAAGAATGGGCTCGTTTGTCGAAACAGCAGCCCCAATGGTCATCTCTGCCACGTCGCACAGGATGTCCCGTCCACCCACCGACGCCCATCCAGACGCCAGCGTGCCCAGGATCCATCCTTTCCCGCCGCACTGGCGTTCAAGTCAGAATCTGCAGGCCGATGAGCCATTGCTGGCGGTTGCAGATATCGTTAGACAGCATGAACCCGGCGTTGTCATCACCATCGCGAAATTTGTATGACAAGGGAAGGAAGTAGCCGTCAGCATCCCGCTTTTGCTCAGCGCTGTCCAGTGCCCTTCATTGGCAAGACCACATGAGTGGAGCCACCGACAAGACAAGAATTCGATTTGCCCTCGCAAGTCAGGGACCGTCGCCACCGAGAATGCCGTCCAGAAAGCCACCCTCGCTGCCGGCTCCGTCACCGCTCTCCATCAGGACGTCTTGGTCATCCTCCCTTCGAATTTCGCGGTCTCGATGGACGTCACAGCCAGGATCGGCCACAACGCCTGATCGCACGCATGACAAGGCATCAGTGATGCACCGCTAGCGCATCAACAATGGATAGAGTGAATTTCACTTACATATATGTTGGCAACAATAATTGGAATCGCAGCATAATGCGCCGGTATCTTAAGGCATACAACAGCGAAGCGGCCGAAGCATGCAAGGTATTCAATTCGAGGTCGCTGGGCTTTCCCTTGCATCACGCAGCTAATGAAAGGACAGCGAATCGTCGTGTTTCCGTCTACTCAGTTAGTACATTTATACTAAATGTATTTATACTTAACTACAGTTATGGAATTTGCTCCGAAGCCTTTGGTTATGGCAAGGACCAGCATGCCTGCCAACAAGTGGTTCCAGCGCCGCGGTTCGATGCTTTGAGATAAACCAGTGCAGAAGTACCACGCCAGCGTGTCGTTTAGCCGCTGTGCAATGTGGCGTTGTCCTACAGCTGTTGGCACACAGCGTTGCCTACACTGAGGAACATGTTTGGCCAAAAGGGCGACACAATAGACTGCATGGTGAAAGCTGGACCAGCAATGCAACCGCACAGGGCGTCACCCAATGCTGCAAAGTCCACTGGCATTTTGCCACATTCGTCTCCAGCGCGAAATGCAGTGCGAAAGGACTGTAAAGGACGACACAAAAGATCACAGAAAATGTTTAAAGCCATCTGTGCCTCGAAAGAGCCACTGCATGAAAGTGTCCATTGTCTGCATCTCTTCGTGTTACAATGCCATATTTCTGCCTAGAATCGAACATGGTGGAACCTATATGGCTGATGTTCAATCGCACGTCAAAGATGGCGTTTTTCCCCACACACTATGAGCATTCAGACTCCATGTAGCTAGATTGTAGAGCAACAATATGATTATCTTTGCAGCGCCTACACAAGGGTTGGAGCTGGCAACCCTGCAGCGCCTTTCAGGTGAACGACCTCTGTCTACTAAAACGGGATCTTCCATGAGCGTGAGCATATGCCTCTGCCACTCTTGGTCTTGGTGGATGGGGTGTTCCCAGCAAAGCGAGGTTCTTGTTGACCACAAGTAAAAATGATGCTGTCTGATGCACTGAACTCTGTAGAATTGCACCAAGACGGCTGCGCCGTTTTTCTGCGTTGCTGCAATGGATAAGTTCACAAATAGGCTCTGGGCTGCAAGAGGAGCACACAGTCTCACCTCTTGGTGCAGTCCTGCGAGGCCTGTCCCCAAGCTCAAACTTCTCCCCTACACGGCGCCTCTCCTCATAGCCTGCCCACTCCGTGAAGCGATGTAACACGATGGCGGCAGCAACAGTGACATTCAAGGATGCGGTGCCACAGCCATACTGTGGGATGTACACGAATTGATCGCACAAGCTTCGCTGCTTATCAGACATTCCAGTGCCCTGATTGACAGAAAAACAGCATGTGCCCCATTCAGGGATGGGCCAGTAGCTTGTACACTTATTCTGTGCGCCGCAAGCATGGGATGAAGACAAGACAATTTCTGGTGCCGATGCTGAATGTTACCTGACCATATGCAGTTTTTTTTTTCAAGCTGAGGTCATGCCATCAACTGGAGGAATGCTTCTATTTTCCACGACTTCCGCAATTAGAGGGTACACATGCTTGCGGGTATACTTTGACGCACACGCGTGCCCTGTGGACTTTGGCAAGTACAAGGACTGGATAAACCAGGAAATCAAGATCTCTGGATAACAGGCACTAATCATTGGGTACAGCCACATTTCTGCAGGCGTACAGGGAACTCTGCTGTGTTACTCTTCGAACAACAACTGCTCCCTGCAAATGGTCTTTGAATATTGGTCTGCTGCAGCAATGGGAAAATGAATCATGGCCTTGCTTGGCCATACAAAACTGATGAACAAGCAATGGTCACAACGAGTGAACTGAAAACTGTGGATGAAATAATGGCCATCATTACATAGTATATTCTTTCAAATCTTATTAGTGCATTGTCAAGAACATCATTTCGTCAATATTTTGTCAATACGTCTTCTGCATATTTTCAGTATCTTGGGTTTGGTCACATTTCACAGCCGGCAAGAACAGCTTAATGCTTCACAGGCAGACGACATTTCTGTTTGTGTCCTCCATGACAACTCTTGAGCGCCCTCACTGCTAAGCCGTAAGATATCAACAAGCACAGCCTTAGGCAGCCCACGTTGTAGGGGCGCACCAACAACTTTACCTCATTCCCAAGCATGAATGCTGTTGGCCCGTCGAAAGGGTGTTCATTCACAGATCTCGCTTCAGGCGTTATCTCAATGCCAACGATTTGACAACCTGTCCAAACCATTATGTACTACTCAGTCAACCACATCATTGTAGAAACAAATTGTGGAGGCCCTTTGCCCCCCCACACCATCCCTGCCCCTTCTGTCTGGGCAAACGTCAAACCTCTGGTGAGAAATTCACAAAGATACACCTCAATACCTTGTGCCAACGATGCTTCTGTTAAGTGACAGGGTTTACATCTTTCTGTGCTGTGCAATCGGTATGCCCAAGGAGGACTGGCCCAAACAAGAATGAAGTACAACCAAGGAGCCCAACTGCTGGGCAACTAAGCCCACAGGATTGGGCATCAACTGCAAATTTTGTCCCAGACTGAATCCAGCCACTGTATGCCTCCTCCCTTGTCTCACCTTCCACATTCTTTAGGTGGCTGCAACACTCTTGCAGTGACGCATAGTGTTTGAAAGAAATAAAATCTGCAGCACCATGGCTCCCGAATGTGTTGAACCGATTGCAGCCTACAAGGCAGAACTGCCAATTGCCATCCATTCAAAGTGAGCATGAAGCAAGTCCAACGCGGAGCCACCATGCATTAAATACCCAACCAGCCTTTCTTGCAATGATCGTTCCCCACTGCCTGTAAGCCGCACCAGTCCATCTGCTGTATGGCAGTGTGGGCAAAATCGAATCAGCAAAAAAGGAACAGGTGAGGGGACTCGAGATTGATCCGTCTGGTCTTTACATCGTCACACAGCAGCAGCAGGCAGGGAGGTGAAATGAGCAACACGCTCAGGAACAGTAGCTGTGGCTAGCGCTGCACCTGTCAATGGCCTTGTAGGTGCATGGTGAAGGGCCTGTCATTTGTTGACAAAAGCAAAAAAATGCACGGCGCGTAGAAGGGGGATCCATGGAGAAGCACGTGCCTCTGGACCACCAACGGAGACAGAGGCCCACTCGTGAAATGGGGCAGCTGACAACAGACATTGTGGAACCCCCGCCTCCTGCAGTGCGTTTGTAGGCTAAATGCATTCCGAGACCGCTGCAGCATCTTTCATTGCATAGCGAGAATCCCACACACGACTCTCTTCAAGAGGGGGGTTTGCTAATTGTATGGCATATTCTTCTTCTGGCCGCAAAGGGTATTTCTATTCCACCTCCCGCAGCAGAAACTCAGATGTCAATGGCTCAATGCAGGCAGCTCCGCTGCGCCGCGAAACGCGGGTGGCTGCGCAGACAACTGCGAACAGAACAAAGTGGTGTCCATTTGACCAATCAACCAAACGGCGCCGACTCTGGTTCTGTCCATGCAGCGGTACTGATCGCACCGGCGTTAGTCCGGATGCAGCCACCAATGGTGCGTCCAGCGGGACGCAGCCAATTCACACCTCTTTCACCCTGAAAGCTGCGGCGCAACGGGCCAGCGTCCCGACGTTGTGCTTCTTGCTTATGTTGTGGACGATCACGAAGCAGGCTGGCCCTTCTGGCCCCCTGCGCTCTCTTTCCTCTCCTGGGCCCGATGGACCACTCATGGGGGTAACGCACCGACAGAATGACGAGTTGCGCTATGGCCGCCTTTTTTTGGCTGCTAATGCACATGCAGTGCACAATGTGGCGAAGTTTTATAAGGGGGCCCCTCGCGGACACCGGCCCAGAACCCACCACATGCCTCCATTGTTTGGCGATAGCCATTGACAAGGTTGCGAATCGCATTTCAGCCAACAACACAATTTCGTTCAGCAACGACACTGCAAGTTGCAAAATTGTTGTTGGATGAAATTGTGTTGCTGACTGAAACTGAAGGCAAAGTGGGAGTAAGAAGTGTTGGGCAAGCTACAGGGAAGGACGTATGTTGAAGCATGTAAATGAGGGAGATGCCAAAGCAGGCAGAAGTCAGTTTAAATCGAATCTTGACTGAATTTCGTGTGCTGTGGCCGCCTGTTCCTTCACACGTTATGAATTGCATGGACAGTGAGGCTCAATTTTCAGCAACCCTGGCGATTGCGGCCATTTTGGTCATGCGGGCCATGAATGTTCTGTTTCTTGTTGATCTCTCTTTCCTGTGTCTTGTCACCGACCTGATTTCCTGCCCCATGTTGGTGTGTACTGGAAGAATACTCCAAGATGACTTTTAACAGCAGCCTTGCCAGATGAGCAGCTGCCCATTCAGAATTACCATTGTCACTGCCATGAGACAAGACAGTGTTCTGGACCCTCAATCCACAAAAGAAGTCACCCCTTGAGAAGGTTCTTCCATCCTTTGCAGCCAATGCAAGCCTGCATGATATGGTGAGAGCATGTTGGGCAGTTGCCGCCTGCTACTTGGGACATCCCTTCTTTAGAAATGCTGCCTATGAAGTTGTTGAGGCGCCAGGGTTCACAATTCTTGCTCAGTTACACATAAAACCTCTATGCACATGGAACAGCAGGGATCATGAATTGTTTAATCGTCATCGATGGCCTCAGAAACCATGAAATAGTGTGCTGTGCTTGGCATGTGCTGACACATGATGTTCAAGGAATTGCACACTTGTGTGCAGTGTCCTACTTACAACACTGAAAGAACAACACACTGCAAAAGGCATCTCATTTCGGAGGTGGCATCAGCAGCTAGCTAGAAATTCGCCCTCTGAGCTCCATCACAGTCCATCATCTTCATAACTGCAAGGAAAGAAGAAAATAGATATAATTGAACAGAAATATGACAAGGATAGAGGGAAGTGAATGATCAACCAAAACTACCAACGAGCAGTACCAGACTTGATGCTGAGGAGGGATAAACAATGTGCTGTGCCAAGGTGCAAGTCTTCCAACTGCATTCACTAACGTCCACCAAGAACACCCAGTTGCTCGCAAGTCAACAAAGTCCTAATGCCATAGGCTGGAGAAAGCACCTATCAGCACCTTGAGGATGCAAGGACAGCTTTGCACCCAACCTGCAGAAATAAGGCAAATTGAAAAGCAGCCAAGCTGTCTATGGCATGCTTCTTTCAGACATACCTGTCTGGCACAACTTCATAGAACTGTGGTACGCCTGCCGAGACGGACTCTGGGGGTTCGCCTTGGCTTGGGGGAGCAGCATCGCCATTTTCGCCACCACCCATGTGTGCCTGTTGAGTCGCCTGCACACTGAGCATGGACACATCGGCTGCACATGCCTCTGGATCTGTGTCTGCGCCTTGGCAGATGTCAGGCTGAGCCACACTCTTGTCTGGATGGCCGAGGTCAGGCCCCTGATCACGTCCCACATCTTGTCCCAGATGGCATGCCAGATCAATCCCACCTGCTTGTGGTGCATTATGAGAGCTGGCGTGTACACCCTCTGCTCTTTGTGAAGACTGCAAACGACCATCCATGGTGTTCCCTTCACCAGTGCCTGAGACACCTGCGGCCATGATGTCTGTTCCCTCGTGGCTACTCACCTCACCATCAGGGAGCACTTTGTTGTCTAGAATGCCTGCCATTCCAGTGGCTATGGCATGCAGCCCCTCGGTCCCCCGTTGGTCGCTGTCAGCGATTACTCTGTTCCCCTGGCCTAGTTCCACAAGGCTTGATAGGTGGCTACCTGGAGGCAAGTGCACCAAATGGGGACTAGCAGCATCCTCCTGTACACTGGGGCCATCTTTCTTGTTCTCGATGGTCAATGCTCCTCCCTGATCCACCTTCACTCCATCAGCAACATCGCTGCCACGCAACGTGCAGGGTGGCAGTTGGTGATTGGCAATGGCACCTTTGTCAGCTTGTTTCGACTGGTCCACCTCTTTTAGGGCAACGTCACCAAGGCCAGTCCTACGGCCCACAAGCTGAGCCAGCGGAATATTGTCATCAGAACAATCACCTTCGTCTATGTCTTGGCCACTTGGAGGGCTGTGCCTGGACTGAAGGCTCGGAAACTTTATCCCCAGCTTCTTTGCCAATGGCACATTGTCCTCGCTGTCCGTCTCGCTGCTGGGTGGTGCCGTCCCAACCTGGCGGGACAGGAGTACAGCCCTCGATCTGTGGGAGGGCCTTGGGGCCCGCTTCCTCTTCTGACGCCCTTTCTGAGCGTTGCTTCGCAGGCCTCTCGGGGAGGCGGGCTCTTCGTTGGTCCGCCTGGGTCGTGCAGATGTCCACATGGGTTGGTAGGCCTGCACCTGCTGCCGCACGCGCCGTTCCGACTCTGCAAGGTACATTTGCTCGTTGGGAGGGTGCTCAGAAATGCGCCTGGGCCAGTGAGAGGCAAACCTGTCAGGCTTGTCAGGAGCACATTTTTGACATGCTGACCTGGAAAAGAGGGTAAGGGGGCTCGAATGTCCTTGGGGATTCTTCTCAGCTCATGGTTGACGGCAAATGAAACAACCAGGGCATTTGTTTCAGGAATGGGTTGATGCAAATAATGCAAGAGCACGCACAGCATCGCATGTATCGTGCAGTGTGTGTGCACAATGCATGTGACCAAATGACTACCAGAATGCCATGTTATCAGCTTGACTACACTGCCAAGGCAAAATGACAATCTCTGTACAGTCACCTGGACATGTTTAAGCTATTGTCACATCATTGCAGTGCACCGCTTGCCTGTCCCATGACCAGAAACCGAGCCTCCTCATCACCCTTTCCTGCCGCATCGTAGCTTTCTGATTGTCTTCAGTACCACCCGATCTTTCCTCAGTGTCTGGCCTGGCCAATAACTGGCTGTCTGTGCCGATCTCTTTCCCTTCAGAACCATGCTCCCTGGTTCCTGTGAGATCGATGGGTAGGCCGTCAGAACCAACCTCCACTGTAGCTGTCCCTCCCCCATTTGCATCGCCTGGTGGTGAAACATTGTCGCAATAGCTCTGTGGCCCAAAATGTGGGGTTTGGGGCCGGCCCAACGGATCACTGCAGTCGCCAGTTCCCAAGTCAATTGGCAGTGACTCTTGGCCCTCTGGGTGCACAGCATCCGCAGTATGTGCCATGTTTCTGCTGCCCTTCAATTGAACATCCTCAGTGGCACCATGATCGAGCTTGCCATTGTTCCAATGTTCAGAATCACCACCAGCATCAAAACCCGTTGAGTGTGCTTCCCTGGCTTGGAACTTGTGATGTGGAGAACCTCCCATATTGTGGCAGGATGGCAGACTGTCTCTTGATTTACTGCTTTTGCCCTTTCTCAGTTGCCTGTCATGATGCGAACCTGGCCCAGTGTCGCCAGCCGACTCTCCAACCTCGTCCCTGGGCTGCTCTCTGCTCTCATCTTCATCCAGCTCAACAATCTCAAAGCTACGAGGAAGGCCCCTCTTCTTTGACACAATCGAACCCAAGCCGTCTTCATCTGAGGTACCCAAGCTGTTCACAACAGCCCGTCTGTGCACTTTTGACCCCGCGGACGGCCTCCCATCAGATTTGTCAAGAGACGACCTTTGCCGACTACTGCCACGCTGGCTGCGGCCAGGACCAATGCACGGCACAATTTCAGATGATGTGCTGCTGGCCACAGACTGGGAGTCACTGTTCAGGGTGCCGTCTCTTCCAAGGTGTTCCCAGTCCTTCTGCACATCCAGGTCGTCTGCACTGGTAGTGTACACGAGCTCTGCATCGGGCCGCACAAAGCCATCCGACACGTAGCCCTTCAGGTCTGATGAGCCTGGTGAATCTCCTGCGCAGATAAACAGTCATCGTCTTTCAAAGGCATGCTATCTCATGCTCCTTACAAATGCAGTTGTGTCGGCACAGAAGAATAATGCCGTATAATTCTGGGAACATGTGCTGGAGACCTGCAAGTTGGCAAGCAGGCTATGCGGCATAAGGGGGGAATGGGAAGGTTTGACTCATACTGTGCTGCCCAAATGTTTGGCATGTTGGGAAGCAATATCTCTGGCTGCCTGTCCCCTGCTCCAGGGGCATGCATGCACTGACCAGGCGAACACGAACTTCCAAGTGCGCTGCCACAATCATCAATGGGACCAGGATTGTGTGACAGTCTATGTAGCCATCAGTCCCATTGGGGCAACACTGCAGACCAGTGATGCAAACGAACTCAAATCTGTGGATTGCCCTTCATCAGATTACATGGAGCGTCAACACCAGAGAGCATTGTGTCTCCATCCTGCACTAGCAGACTGAGAACAGGTCCACAAACAACCAAGCCATTCCTTGAAGGGGTCAATGGTGTTATCGTGAGAATCCGGAATTTGTCCAACAAACAAGAAATTTTGTTGAACCAGCTGCCTGCCATCCATGGATATGTACAATCACCAATTGGTGTCGTTTTCGACCAAGGAGATCGGCAAGAAATTTCAATGAAACTGCATATACTGTTAGTGTATACGTTCCGATTGCCATTGGCCCCTGGCTTGAAGGTTTCGTACAAAGCAATGCTAGTGCAAAACATGCTAGCAGCTCCTGTCCACCTGAACTTGCAACAATCAAGAGTGGGTCTATTCAGGTCATGTACTCCACGCAAGAAAGGGGATCAATCCCCGTTCGATTGCGGCCCAGCATACACGCAAGGGGACTCCTGCACATACCTTTCGCAACAAACACTCTTCCACCAGGCGGGGGTCCAAACTGTTTCTCTACAGCAGGATCACACCCCCTCTTCGTAAGTCCAAAATCGTCCACCTTAGCGCCAGCGGCCGAACCTTGTTTCTTCTTGGAGCTGCCACCACCAGCTCGTGGCCGTCTACGGTTTCTGTGCTGCCCCCCTCTTCCAGAACTATGTGTGCTTGGCCTGGCTTGGCTGATTGCACCATCATCGCTGCCATAGTCAGACTCCTCAAGCACATCCTTCAGATGGCCACCTCTGCTCATTGTCCAATCAGCCCGCCTGCGCTTCCTTTGTTGTGCCGGTGCCCCGCCATCGCTCCTGCTGCCCGGCAGGATGGCCACCCGCTCATGTGCAGGTGGCAGCTGGTCACCAAAATAATCCCTCACCCGCTTCTGCTTCTTACGGCTGTGCAGGGCCCTCTCAGCCCGTCTCTTGTTGGTTTCTGCTGCACCATAGGGCCGTGGTGCATCCACCCTGTCAGAGTGGCCAAGTTGGGCACCCAGTCGGTTCGCTGCAGATGTGCCAATGTCGTTGCCAAACCAAGCGTCGTATTGATTGCAATCTGTGCATTCACGACCCTTTGATTGTGCAGATTGGTGAGCAGCAGGCTGAATCGCGTGCAGTGGTGACCTCTGTGCAGGGTGCCTCGGCTGGAATATCACTGGGTGATGGAAGAGTGTGCTGGGAACTTGACTGCCAGTTGCCAAACCACTGTCTTTGCTGCCTGTGACTGAAGCAGCACCGAGTCAGCACAGCCACAGACCACTTGATCCGCATTCACCACGTTTAGGAAAGGATGGCAATGTCATTGCCCTTGCATGGACATGTTAGACTGCTAGCTGCACTTCAGCACTTGAGTGCCAAGTACAGATCTGAAAACAATTGCTGAAAGTGGTCAGCAAATCTCCCTTGCAGGCAAGTACGCCAAAGGAACCTATGTGCAGTGGTTCTTTACAAGTGCTCACCCTTGGCAGGACACCCTGCAGTCATTTGATCCGAAGTGTGGTCGCCAGCAGCACCCCATATTGTGGGTGCTCTTTGGTCGTCCCAAATCTTGTCGACGAGGCCCTGCTGACCTGCAGGTTGCCTCTCACAGCGTCCCCATTTGGCACCCTTGGTGTATGTAAGGGACTCTGACGGGAGCACCTCTTCGTCACACTCGCACCTGGGCATCACGGGCACAATGTGAAACTCAACTGTTTAACGAATTTAATTTAATTAACTTAATTTTTAATTTAATTAACTTAATTTTTGATTTAATTAATTTAATTTTTAATTTGATTAATTTAATTTAATTAATTTCTGACTTTCTTAGGGCAGACCCAAGCATGGCATCATGTGCAGCTGTTGAGGTTGACCTCCATTTTTTGAGGCGCAACAGCTGGATTAGCCCACAGACAATTTGCCACAGGCTTTCTAGTTGGAAATGATAACCACACTGTAGCAAAATTTGCAAATGGAATGATGTGCCAAGGCATTATCAGCTTGAGAGTGCACTGACAAAACCTGGGTGACAAACATGCTTATACAGAATATTGCTCTTGCGCTGACGATGTGTGACTTACGAAACTGTATGTGTGACTTGTGTCCTTGTTGCTCAACACATGATGCAAGTTGTGTCAGTCATTTCCGGCCTGCATGTACTATCAGTGGCACAATCAATGCTTGACCAATGAAATCAGGAGTTTTGACACTGCATAGGTAACAACCGTTGCTGTTGGTTGCCATGGACTGCGCTCGTGAGCAACAGGTGTCTGGAACCCTGTTTCAGGTCAAGAGGGTAACTAAAATTTATACTAAATAGAATTTATACTAAAATTTGTAGCACTGTGGACATGGCTGTATTGTTGGTGGACACCATGGATGCACCGTTACATCCCAGGGCTCCTGCTTTAGTGTTGCAGCAAGAAATTAGGGAACGAAATGCCTCCATATCAATGTTATGGACATCCTTACCGTGGATGCACCTTTAGTGGACAACACATATGCAGATATGTAGGCAGATAACTAAACACATGCATCACGCAAAAATGGATGTCCGCATATGTGCAGTGTTCGTCTTTGCTTGCATTTGGCATGGGTGGTGTTTTTCACAGTGACACCTGTTCACAGAGCACCTGACAGCCAATGCTGCCCAGTTCAGCGTGCTGCAATTTCCAGCAAATGAAGGCAACAAGAGCACGAGATTCAGGACAGTCCTGCTATGCTGGTTGATCAGTTCAGCACCTTGTAAACCAGGCACATTTGTCATTTGTTTGCTGTCCGGCTGGATGTCAGTGTAGCCAGCAACAAACACTTGTGTTCACTGGCCAAACAGAAAGTCAGGGTTGCATTCATATGAGTGTGGAGTATGCTATAAATTGGCAATCAATCTGCACTGCACGTTGTTTGGGAACCAGCATCTCAAAAAAATGCCACCGCACCTTAAACCAAGCTCAAGATTTCAAGACAGCCACAATATGCTATACTTTAAAAAACCTTCCGTTGTTTGCAGAGAGTTGCACAGCAAAAGGTCAGTGCAACAGTTTGGGCCTGGGGTCTAGAGTGGACAAACTGCTAAGCCAGCAGATGTGCTTTCAGCCAGGTGCCGGCAGCACTGACTGGATTCTCTGCAATCAGCCCCTGCCACAGTGCACCACCCACCCCTCCAGCGACGAGATCCGAAAGTGACCTGGACTTGGTCGGCAGATGAACACATTGGACCCTTTAAGCAGTCTCCATTCCTGGCCCCACACAGCGTTCGCTCATCAGCGGCCTGCCTATATTGGCCTGTTTGCTTCAAAGGAGTAGAATAAACTAAAACATAATCTGCAACATTTCTGCCTATCGGCAGCTTGCAGCACCACAAATCAGGTTGTCCACTGATTCCTTTGGGTTTGAAAGTTTCCTTCCGTTTCTTCTGTGGCGCCCTTGCAGAAGGTAAGGCTGTTTATGGGGGAAAGACACAAGACACGTCGGAAACAAGCACAAGTGGGGGCAAGCAGTGTCCTATGTCGCCCAATATTTGCAAGTGAATTGTTTCATCAAGTGTTCGTGATTATATGTGCACTTACACAATAGAACTGGATGCCACCGGGCCCAAAAGTTCTGCAATCAAGTACCACAGCAGATCTGCAGATGCAAGCATCCATCAATGCTGTAAGCTTTTTGCTGACAATTCCCAGCTCTTCCACCAGTTTCATAGTTCACATACCTTTGACCCTGACCCCAACCAATGTGCCACGCTTACTGCAATTGGCAAAGTGTTCATAGTGCTGACACTGAGTTCAGGCTGCCCACCTCCAGCACAGCATCTTCCTGTTCTTGCGTTAGGCCTTTCACATCCAGCAGCTGGAGCTGCGTCAGCTTTCCAATGCAACCGAGCAGGCTGCGCAAGGCAACCTCATCCATTTGGCCATCAGCAGCAGGCCCCAGGCGCAGGCAACGCAGATTGCCTGGGGTTGTTGGGGATTCCGAAAGAGCCTGGCACACTTTACAAACTGCGGAGCTGCTCATTCCTGACACACAAACAGAATTTGTGCAAGTGATTACTGATGAGCTACCATGGAGGTTGAATGCTGAACAACGCTGTGTACCTGTCTTCCATTCACGAGTCCCCAAAAGAGATCTGTCCACAAGTTTGAGTCCTATCCCCTCAATGGGGCTGCATTCTATAAGAAGCGCAACAGGGCTGTCCAGAATATCATACCACAGATAGCAACCTAACTTACATGCCATGGCTGGTGGACTTTCATCAATATTCTTAAGTTTGCACCTGACGGTTTGTTGAGCAAGCAAAATTGAAACGTGAGACGGGCCATGTCATGGATCAACCCCTTAGCTTGCGAGCCATAAAGGTCTTTTCCATGGCACAATGACATACAGAGACACAACGTGCAATGGCACACACAAGTGCTACTCAAAAGATATGCAGGGTACATGGAGATGACATTCTGAGCATTCCACAAGTGGATTCATGTTTGGCATCGTCCTGCATGTTAAGGGTGCTGTGTGTCCATTCCAGCACCTGCAATGATCTGATGCCCACCATGCAAAAGCAATGAGGCCTTGGCAGCCCTGGCTCAATTGGTTTCATCTCATGCGCACTAAGCACCAATAAGTGCAATCTCCATTTCAGCTGCGGGGCAAATTTGAAACCAATGAGCAGGCAGTGGGTGGCTTGTCAATGTGCACTTCCATGTTTTGATACCTGGTCTCTTTAATGCCCACCTTTGACATTTTAACATGCTGCTATCTGTGCACAAGTATTAGCAAGATGGAACCTCCAAAGAGGTAATCCTTAGAAGTTGTCCACAACATGAAAACCAAAATGAATACAAGGACCCAATGAATTCCGATCCAGGGGCAACGTGGTGATGCCAGCGCCTGCATGCGAACTGGAATCAAATGCATACAACATTCTTCCTGGAATTTGAGTACACATCCAGCAATCAGTACTTCCAAACACGTGGTGGAGTATCTGGTATCAAAGAAGACAGCACATGCCAAATCATGCTCACCACTATCTTGCAGGCACAACAATGAGAGGCGGACGCGGCCCAGGAATCGACTCCAAGGGAAGGTATGGGAACAGTCCAGCTGAGAATTTCCCGTTAAGAAGACGCGCTCAAGTGAACGGCACAGGGGTCGGCAGCTCGCAAGGGACCACATGAAATCTGCAAACAGTACATATCTGCTGTAAAACTCAACAGGACACCATGTACATTGGCACCCAATCTGTTCACAGGATGGCACTGGCCAGATGCCAGAATGCACACATCAGCATGAGAGTTTCCTTTTGGTCATTTGTTTGCCAAGTGTTAGCCCCTTGGGCTGTTCGTGCTTACTTGACATGAAAAATAGGGTTTGGAATATTGAATGCACACTGATTGGATCCGTTTGTGCCTATCATCTCCTGCAAATGCACATGGGCTTGTTTGTCAAAGCTGTGTGGCGACTATTGTCCATGAAATTTCATGTTTGTGCTAGGAGGGAGGTCTGATTATAGTGGGAACAAGACATGTGTGGTGGGAAATGGATCTTGTTATCAATTTGTGCATGGACAGCATGTTCCGATGCAGCTGGAAAAGCTTCAAATTACGATTTTTGAGACAAAACAAGAGGAGTTGCAGCACGTAACAAGAGCAAGGTCGTGCTGTCAAGATTCACAGATATCAGGTGCTGAATACATTGAGACAAGGGGATAATGATGACAATACTCGATTCACAATGGCCACACTGCCACCCAGTTCACAAGTAATGAATGGTGGGAGAGAAAGAACTGTTCCCTCCTTGGAGTTGAGGCGTGCGATGCACGCAGCTGGATACACACATGCCTTGCATTCTCTGAGCAATGGGGCTGTATCATTGCAAGTTCAGTTGGACAGCCACTGTTCTTCAGCAATGGGAGTTCCACCCAACAGTTCAGGTGCCGAGCACAACCAGGATGGAACAGACGTTAACCAAAATCCCATTGAGGTTCGGAGTTTCAACAGTATTTCTGGACATAGTACGAGTGTTTTGAGCATAATTTGAGTTTCAGGCATATTCTTGGATATCGTGCACGAAAACGGAGACATACATCTAATCAGTATTGAAACCTGACCAGTCTGACAGAACAATACGTTAACAACAACCAATTGCGCCCACGCAATGTACCTACCACGAGCACAGCATGTTTTCATCAGCAACCAGGTTGTATTGTACAACCTGGTTGCTGATGGAAGCAAGCTGTGCTAGTGTGTAGCCTGACTTCAGACGCACCAGTTGTGGCATGCTTGGCAGCCCCAGTCAAGTTGCAGTTCTGCAGGATCAGGTCCTTCAGCATGCACCTAGTACTGAGTGACCAGCACTGAAAGCACAGCGCCCTCACTGTGCTGTTGTCGGCCCCACTGTTGGACAAGTCCAGCAGCGTCAGTGGCAGCATTGCCGGGTGTCTGGAGCCGCACTCCCGTTTCCTGCGGCCCCTGCTGTTCGAAAGCAGTGTCATCACGACCGCTGTGGCCTCATCGGCACCGATGGCATCCGTCCGCAGATCTATGGTTTCCGAAAAGCGAAGGGACAAGCCGAGGGTGGCCAGATTGGATGGAATGCTGGCAAGCAGCGTCTCCACCCACTTCCTTGGCTCGCAACCTGACGGCAACATGGCATCTCAGACCGACGAAAGGCAGAGCAGAAGACGGCAGGTTGAACTTGTTCCATCTGCAGGTTGTAATCTGAGCCACTTGGTTCGTTGGCACAGTCCAGCTTGCATATCGCACCATGAAGCTCGGGCAAGGGGCAACGACTCCTGCAAAATCAATTAGGGTAACGCAACAGAGAAGCCCCCACGATAACCCGTACTGGGTGTGTGCGTAGATTGGCACAATTTCACAGCACAGGCAAACCAAAGTCGCCAGCGACGCAAACACCAGCTCCATTGCACAGGTGAGAGCGACATGGATAAGCGAAACAAGCGGGGAACGGACATGAAAGCCTGCCAAAAACCAGCCGGCTACGGATGCGGTTAAGAGAAGGATTCGTGCGCCGTTCCCCAGGGAGCACGCCCGGACAGCGAGCGCAACAGCACGCTACAAGCCCCCCTGACGGTCACAGGAATCCGGCAGGAGCCCAACGACACAGGAGGGGATCCACGCAGCCCAGCCCCCGTCGAGCAAGGCCTTTCGCGTTGCGCCAACCCGGTAGATCAAAGGAAGTGATGCGGTCCTAGAATGTTCTCCGACGGCACTCCACATCGGGCGCACCTCTGTCGGAAGATATCTTCCTGTACGCCGTCAGCAGCTCGGCGTTGCCCCCGCCCGCGGCGCCATCCTCGGCCCTACCGGCCTCCCTCGAAGGAAATCTGAGGGAGTGGCCAAACGCCTTGTCCTCACGCACTCGAGTTTGAACATCCATGGCGGCGTGCCCACGGACGGGCTGCGCCGGATTGAGTCGTGCAAGAGAGAATGCAAGCCTTTGGTGCCCAAGTGGAGCGCCAGATTCGTCGATCTGGCACCGCGCCAATTATTGAGAACTGTCTGAACAATCAGCTGCTGCGGGCATGTGTCCGTTCATTTTATCTGCTTGCCCCACCCGTGGGGTCAGACAATATTCGCCAATGCCGAGCGAAGGACGGCATGTTTACTGTTTGCCCAATGCATCGCGAATCGTGACTTGAACGGAAACGACCCCTAGCACGTTATACGTCATTAATGCCAAATGAAGATGCGCATTAACGTAGCTGGGCGGGAGGGAAAAGCATCAAAAATGGCCTTCATGGGGGGCTCTCCTTGCATAATGCAAGCGCCCCAGCTTTGCAAAAAGTCCCCTAAGGGTACCTGTTTGAAACTCGCCCCAGACTATCATAGAATGTGTGGCTGGAGCGAAAATAGAATATAAATTGTAAAATTGGCAATGTGGACAAGTTCTGAAGGATTTTGAGGCAATTGTCTGTATAGTGAGCTGTTTCAGCCGGGCACGCTGCTCTGCGATTTCCTGAGACCTCAGTAAGGCATATTTGCTTGCACAAGCACAAGTTGCATCAGCGTGTGTCTGCCGAACATCACGCTTCGGGTGCGCCTGTCGTCGCGATCGTGTCTGCTCCTGGATGTTCCAGTGCTTGGTGCCTTGGCACGGTCTCGGAGCTGGCCCCAGCGGCAAGCAAACGTTTGATTTGCGTCAGGTAGAAGTTTTCTTGCTGTTGTTCAGCCCACACATCTGGATGTTAACCATCCAGATGACAATGTTAAACATCAGTTCTCTTCGTGCGGACTTGAGCGTCGTTCCGAGACATGACGTGCGTCGCTAACGTAAAGCTCGGGCCAATCAGACTCATCCTTGACAGCGACCCAGCTCGCGATCTCGCAAGGCTCTGCCAGTGACGCTTGAGGTTCAATCCACCGCGCTCAAGCCTTGTGAACGAAATCGTCCGCGGCGCGCATGTCCCGCGTGCTGGGCCATGCTGCAACCGCTGTGCGGCACGTGGTGAAATTCTGCAGCGCTGGATCGTAATTGATCGTCGCAATTCCCAAGGAATTTTGTACTCCAAGAGCTGTTTGTGAAGATGGTCTTTCTGTTTGGCCACGGCCGACGCGAAAAGTGGCTGTGTAGTGGAAACGTTGAAATCTCCTGCCATGCAAAAGCCAATGACCGTCAAGGTCAAAATGTCCCAGCTCCGCGATGCAACTCAAAGTAGCAGACTCCAATACTCATCCTTCGCATAATCTTCAACACCGATCTCGATCTCCATGGGATGGGATGGGTGGGAAGCAAAAAAGGTGCACACAGACGGTTGTCGACCACCGCTCATTGGTGGTGCCCAATTAAACAGGTGGGCTTCCCGCAGACCGAGAAAGCCCACCAAGGCGCCAATCAAAACACAAAACCTTGGTGCTCTTTCGAATTTGCGCCAAGAGTCCGCGGATCCCCTTGCCCACGTTCAAACTACCCTGCGGACCAATGGGTCCTGATTGCAAATTAGCGGGAAGCCAGAACAGGCCTGGCTCCCGGCACTGCCCACAGTGCCTGGCGCACCCCAGCATCCGCTCACGTCTCCCCAATCAGAGACCCATTAACTGCTCGTTTCCGCTGCACTCGGCACATTGAGCATGCAAGCCGAGCGGCGCGTGTGCAAGAACATTGCCTGCATTGGGCTGCCAATTGGTACTTGCATGTACCTGGCACACCGGTGGTCACGCGGGTGTGACCGGTCTCAACGGCGCTGGGCAAATGGCGCTGCGATGCATCCGCCACCAGCTTCTCTGATCGTGTACTATTGAGGTTAGGTTTGCGGATCACTCAACGAGAATAAAAGTGAGTTGCCATGTTGGAGAGACGCGTGCATGTACTAGATGCGGCCCGGGCGGGCTGTTGTAGGTTTTGGGGGCGCGTGCGATGTGCATCGCCTTGTTGATGGCTTCACGAGCGCGCCCCTCCCAGCGTCGTACTCATCGCAGTGGTAGGAAGCAAATAGATGCAAATGCTACAACGACCGAAACTGGAGGTTACTGTTTCTGACAGAAGACGTGTACACCCGCAGTGTGCCTCAAGGGCTGGAGGCCGCGTCATGCAGAACACAGAAATGCGCTAGGGCGGCACAGAACTCTGGGCCATCCACTTCTGTGATTCCTGTTCGCAATAAAAACCGCATCGCAATTCCTGGAAAGCGAGGAGAGTCACGGGCATATTTCCCATGCCCGTAATTCTCAGGCGCAGTGAATCCAATATTTCGGGCGCGTCTCACCGGCAACAGCCAGACAGCGTGGTGGGATGTCTGGTGCATGTTTCCGGAGTGCGGTGTCGGCCGAGCACGCCAGACGCCCCGGGCCGAGAGACATCCTGCATGACACAACAGCCAAATTTGGGCCAATGAGAATGAGATGACAGGAGGCATCGCAGCATCGGGTCCCTCGGCGAGGGGCAGTAGGTGCCCCCCGCGGATAGCACACGCCGGAAACGCGGGCCAGACACACAGGGGTGTGAGCCGCGTGCAGCGAGCCGCGGAAATGCACCCGCAGTTCCCACTCCGCAAAAAACCCCGCTGAGTTGCCCAGGAAGGCGTTCCAAGGTGACTGTCGGGCCCTCTTGTGCACCGCGCCCGTCTGGTCGGCGTCTGGCGCCGTTCCCGCCCGCCATGCGGCCGGCCGTGCCTCAAATAAAACGGGCCTCGATCAATCAGTAAATGCTTACGTGGCCCCAGCGGCGTAGATTGCCCTTTGTCACTCGAAATGGCCGACGCGTCCGAGGGGACACAGCGGTGTGCTGAGGGGCGGCACGCCACGCCCAAGTCACACGGCCGTTGCCGTCAACCAGCTCACACTCAGAACTGGGTGTTGGACTGTCGTAACAGGTTCCAGAGGCGCTCAAAACCGCCTCCAACCGTCGTCCCGTCCGGCTCCAGTACTGGTCAACCAGAGTGATCCCTTCCTGATGGCATCCATCCCTGATGACTGATAACGCAATCCCGCAGGGCATCGTGGGAGCAAACAGATTGCCCCCCCTCCCTGGACACAACCCTCTCGCGAGTCGAAATCACGCCCGTGGCGCCGAGCGGCCGAGCGGCCCTGCGTGCTGCGACAGCCGCCTCCAGCGCTGCCGCACCGGCGCACGGGGCACACTGGGCACACGGGGCGGTCGCCGGCCCAGCGCGGCGTGCGGGGGCCCTTCCCGCGCGCACACCGGCCGAGGGGTGGTGGTGGCTCCCTGTAAAAACCGGGGTATCCGGCCGGGGGTGGATTGCGGCCCTGCGCGGGGGACGAGGGCTTGAGCGGTGCCGCGAGGCGTCCGGAGACGCCGCCCGGTGTCGATCACGCCGGTGGGCTTTCTTCACCGGTGCTTTGAACGGGCCTTGGTTGTTGCTCCCCGACGGCTGAGCCGGGTTGTGGGCTGGCGAGGGCGGATTTGCACCCGGCACGGGGCCTCTGATCTGCCGGCTGCGGGTTGGGGTTGGTCATATGGCATTTGGGGACCGGAGGCACGCCGCGGGCCAGGACCAGAGGCCGGCTGCCCGTGGGCTGGCGCCCAGCAGGCCGGAAGGCAGATGATGACGGCAGGCATGGGGCCGGTCGTGGCGGCCAGAGGGTCGCCGATGGGGAATCGGGCGGTGCGGGCCATCGTGCGGCGCTTCTGCCTGGCGGCCGTTTTAGTAATTGCCGTTGTGGGGCCCTGCCGCGGCATGGAGGCTCGCGGGGAGGGGGAGTGGAGCGCGTCGAGCGCGGCCGGCCTGCATGCGGCCCTGGGCGCGATGCACACCGCGGAGGATCGCGCGGGGGTAGTCGTGGCCAACAACAGCATCTTCATTGACCGCGTGGCCCTGATCCCGACGATCAGGCTTAGGGAGAGCGTGACGGTGGCGGGCCGGCGGCGGGGCACGTGGCTGCAGGTGGAGGCGCGGGACAGGCCGCTGCTGAGGCTGGACCCGGAGGCGGCCCCCGTGCTCACCTTCGTCAATTTCACGGTTTACCTGGGCGGGGGGGAGGGCACACTGGAGGAGGCGATTGGAGGGCTCGTGGACGCCCCCGCTCCCACGGAGCTGGTCTTCAGGAACACCACCTTTGCCGTTGACGCCAGGGCCTGGGTGCTGCTGCGGCGCGACATTTTGGAGCTGGGGGCGGCCCGGGGGGAGGAGGCGGCGGTGAGCGTGGTCGGTTCGGATTTGAGGATTGATGAGATGGCCCTGGGCTCGGCCACGCTGCTGGACGTGTCGTTCAGGCGGCGGCGGAGCGGCGAGGTGGTGCCGCCGATCGTGCGGAACGTCAGCGACGCGGCCGACCTGCTTGAGGTGCTCAACCTGGCGGAGGACCCCGCGACGCCGGCGCCGCCCGTGAAAGGCGTCCTGATCAAGAACGTGTCGGTGGGCGAAGATGACTTGAGCGAAAGCGGGAGCGCCGACATCGTGGGGAAGGTGGTGCTGTCGGCGCCCCCGGACACGCGCACCACGCTGCGCGTGGCGCCCATCGTGGGGCCCGGCACCCTGGCGCAGGTGGCGCCCACCGGCCAGCTCGTCCTGCTGGACCTGATGGAGAACCTGACCTTCGCCATCCCGGGCGACAAGGAGTGCGGCGAGATGGACGCCGCGTGCATGCTCAACGTGCGGTACCACTCCAGCGTGAACTTCGACGCGGGCGCCTGCGACTGCTCGATCACGCTCATCAACACCACCATCCTGTCCACCTGCGAGCACGTCTCCAACCTGTCCAACACCGTGGCGGTGTTCAACGCGGACCTGGACACCCTCCCGGAAGTGGAACTGGCCCCCTCAAGGGACAACCGGACGGTGCGGTTCGTGAGCTACCTGGGGCGTGGCACGTGCCTCGCGAACGTGACGCTGACGTGCGATCCGGAGGTTGCGAAGGAGAGCATCAGGGGCCAGCTCCCCCTGCAGGGGCCGAGCCCTGCGGGCTCGAAGCCTTCCAGGGAGGAGTCGGCGATCTACATCCTGCTCGGGGTGGGAGGGGGCGTCATACTGGTGTGCCTGGTGGGGCTGATATGGCCGCCCAGGACGTTCTGCCGGAATGTGGCCGCCAGGGTGGGAATGGTGAAGGGGAAGGAGGGATCCTTTGTGGGGATTTTGAGTGAAGACGACGAGTATGATGTCACCGGAAGGCGCGCGGAGAAGAGCGCGGAGAAGAGGGCTGCGAAGATGTCCAGCCCGGGGAGCGAGCAATGGGACATCGAGCAATATTTCCACGAGCAGATCACTGGCCAGCAGCGGGGCGTGTCAGACAATGCCGTCACGATCGAGGAGCAGCTGGCGACGGGCGGCTATGGTGTGGTGTACAAGGGGCGTTGGAGGGGGATACCGGTGGCTGTGAAGACGGTGGTGTTTCAGGATGACCCCATGACCACAGGAAAGGAGAAGGAGCGTGCCATATTGGAGGCGGCGATCAGCTCCAGCATTGCCCACAGAAATGTGGTGCAGACCTACCACCACTCGTTCAAACGGCTGCAACTGGATGAGAAGACGGAAGAGTATGGTTGGGACATCAAGGGGAATGCAAAGGAGGGGGACTGGAAGCTGTACATCGTGCAAGAGCTGTGTGAGCACGGTTCCTTGCGCAGCGCCCTCAAAAAGGGCCTGTTTGCATCTTGCACCACCCACAAGAAACTGCTTGGTGCGGTTGTGCAAGTGGCAATGGATGTGGCGAACGGACTTGCTCATCTGCACCACCACAACGTCATTCATGGCGACCTGAACACAAAGAACGTGCTGCTGCAGCATGAGACTCATGCGGAGGGCCCACTGCAAGTCGTCTGCAAGCTTGCAGATTTTGGGCTGAGTGTGAAGATGGGCTCTTGCGAGTCGCACGTATCTGATCACAGAGCTGGGGTGAGAAACCAGAGCCGGCGCTTGATATTGATATTCCACTGTTGTCATTTGTTTGCTTGTTGCCTTGTCTGAGATTGTAGCCTACAGCTGTGCTGCCTGTGCTCTCATGGCTATATTCATGTTGTGTTATTGTGTACTGTCCCTTGCTATCAGGAAGATCTTTTGCAGCAACCCATATTAGCGGTCCCGGCCTGCTGACCTGCAGCAAGATGCTTCCCTTCAGGGAGATCAGGATTGCAGAGATGGTGCATGTGTCTTTGGAATTCTCACTCTGAGAAGCCACTAGCCATAGGATTCCCAGCTTTATGTGTACTGATGAGGGTTTGGCATGGTTTGGGGGTCGATGGAAGTGTTTGGAACACCTCAACTGCCTTTGCGTCAGTGGCAGCAAGGATTTGATAACATTATAACTGAAACCTGGAACCTGAAGCCCGAAATCCTGCTGTACCTTCCAATCCCAGCATTATGGTGTGGGAGCTGCGAATTGCGCCCATGTGATGTGCTCATGCATGGCTGACAGGCTCAAGCCCCACTGTGAAGGTTCAAGGGCAGCGTTGTGACCCATTGTCTTGCGTACAATTTTGGAGGGGGCTGAGAATGGACACCTTGTCAAATGCAATCAAAGTATAAGCCATCTGACATGCTATATGGACATGTGTTGCAGACACCTTTCTACATGGCGCCAGAGGTGGCCCAGAAAGGCGTTCTGTCCAAGAAGTCAGACGTCTTCTCCTTTGGCGTCGTGATGTGGGAGATCTACCACCAGAGCTCACCTGTGCAGTCCTTAGGGGAAGGCAGCCTTAAGTATCACGAGAAGTTTCCCAAGTACCCAGTCACCTGCCCCATGCTGTACGCCCTCCTCTGTGTCGTGTGCCTGTCTCCAAGGCCCGCCGACCGACCTGACTTCAACTTCGTCAAGAAGGTGCTCAAGACGCTGTCTGTGAAGCTGCAGTCTGACGACTACACCCAGCCGAAGAACATCCAGAAGGAGAACTTGGCCGTGGTGTCGCAGCTGAACGGCAAGAATGGCGCAGAGCTCCTGCAGCTGCTCTCGGATCAGGTGGAGTTAGAGGCGAAATTGCACGGCGTCGACCTGTCGCAGCCATCCGAGTCGCCGCCTCCAACTGAAACCAAGCTGGACATGCAGAGTCTGCTGACCAGCAAGGAGGTGTCTGCCAGGGCGCTGCTGTCTCCCAAGACTTGCATCTCTTCCCCCACCCATCCCCCGACGCCCTCGCCCAGGCCACACACACCCTCGGGGTCTCGCTCTCCAACCCACGGCCCACACTCCTGGGTGAGCATGGCCCAAGGCAGCGAGGAGGAGCGCCGGTTCATTGGAAGCGCAGTCTCCGACGCACACGACAGCGGCGCGGACGAGCTTGTGTGGAGCGCGGACAATGAGCCGAATGGGGCCAACTCCTACGTCATGTCGGTGTCCATCGACGCGCCCGACAGCGAAGGGGCAGGCATGACGTTCGCATGGGACCCAGTCGTGAACTGTGAGGCCGTTGGGGACGGTGCGCCTGCGGGTGTCAGCATCCCCAGCGGCGGGGCCGGTCACCTTCAACAGGACGCACCGGAGAGAGAGGGGACGGGCTTCAGGTTTGCATGGGACCCAACCTTCAATGGTGAAGCATCGTGGGACGACGGCCCAGCGCCCGTGGCCCCCCCTGGCGGCAGCTCTGGGTATGCTGCACATGTGGTGGCCTCGTCAGAGTCCATATCCCTGGGCATCTCTCCAAGCCCGCTCACCCCGGCCGGTGACACAGCGGATGTGCTCCCCAGCTCCCTATGGTTAGGAGGCAAGGCAGCTGACATGTTGTCCCCTGCATTTCCCCAACCTCACCGGCACGTTGCTGTGCCACTGGCGCAGGCTAGTGGTCCCAGCACGCCTCCCACAGCCAGCTCGACGCCCCCGCTGGAAGGCGTGCACCAGCCGTCGTTCGTGGGCCACCGTGCTGTGCCAGGAGGACAGTCGAGGTACATCCTGAACTGGAGCGCTGCCGCCACACAGCCGCCCGCCCCGCCGCCACCTGTGCATGGGGACCTGCAGGCGTCCATTCAGCCGTTGGGCATGCAGGTTGCGCCGAGCATTGGCCCATTGGGTGTGGTTGGCATTGGGGGGAATTCTTCAAGGGAGGGCGTGGGAGGTCGTGAACAGTCCGAGATGGGGATTAGCGCAGCCAGGAATGCCCAGGAAGTGGGGGGGGTGGCGAGCGAGGGGGGCGTCCTGTGGACGATGAGTAGCTTCAGGCAACAGCTGGGGGAATTGGCCAACAGGCACGGCAGGTTGCGGCCAGGGTTCGAGCCGCAGTCCAGCCCGCCCTCTTCCGAGCATGGGAGCAGCATGCCCTTTCACAGTATTGGACAAGGGGGGAGGAGACCGTGAGGGATGAGGAGAGGGAATACCAAACACCAAAGCTCAATGGCAGGCGCGAGCCCTGAAACAGTGGGTGCCGTGGGGCGCAGTGTCGCGATTGGACAGTGCGAATCGTTGCCCAGCCGCTGTGAGCAGCCGCGACCGCTCCACGAAGTCATTGAGGACCAACCAGGCTTTGTCAGTTGTGGGCCCAACGCGAAGGGGGGGATCCTGGTGGCGGTGCTGTGGCCCGTTTGATGTGCAAAGTCGGGTTGCGTCGCATGTACAGTAGGGTGCACAGGGGTCTGCGTGCAGCGCATACGCAAATTGGCTTCTTGTGTGTCTGGTGGCCCGGGCATTGCTTGCAGGGTTGCACGTCAAATGGGTTGACAGGTGTACCTGATGTAATTGTCACATTATGAAGCTGTAACCGGACTGACATATAGGGGAGGGTAACAATCAGACACGACCGCCCAAGGGGTTTTGGATACTTGTTGCGACGAGGCAGACTGCTCAATTCTTCGTCTGTCAGCGTGCCAGCGCCACATGTAATAAAATACACATTGAATTGCTTCTTCTGGCCCTGGGTGCCTGCGTCCGTGTGCAATGCCTTCCGGGATCATGGCAACGTGGGAACGTGTGTGAAGCGGTGATGGAGCGCCGCAATTGCATCTTTCAAGGAGATGGTGGTTAGCACTTGTGTGCACACGGCACAATTGGAGAGGAAAGCGGTGCCAAAGGGAGCTGACAGGGTTGCGCTGCTGGCTGACAGGCCGTCTATTGGGGTGTGAGAGCGGCTCATGGGGGAATCAAAGCCGCTGGTGCATGTGGCTCCGCTCTTCTTCTGCGAGACATCCACATCATCTTTCAGTGTGGGACAGCACCTCACCAACATCATTTCTCAAAAAGGGGGGGCGGGCGCGGGGTTTGTACGACATGTTTGGCCAAGGAATTTGATTGCCCCGGGATGGTGAACCTGTGCCTTTAAATGTCAAGCTTCTTTCCTCATGGAGGTCCTTAGCCGTGCCTGGTCTGCTGTTTGACGACCAGTGAGTGGACATGTTCACCAAATGACAAACGTGTCACGCTTGCAGACGTAGCCGATTTGGTACGAGTATGATTGCAGTTGCAGTCGGGCTTTGCGCACGGGATTTAGACGTGACGCCGCACGGCATCTCCGTACAATCTGATAAACAACAACGGAAGACAATAAAAACGCTGCGCTGCTGAAGATGGTGCATGCATAAGGGCATTCCTCCAAGACGGGGCCTGCAGGCTACGCACTGGCGGGGTTCAGGTCTCACCGGAGACCTCTTGGAGGCCTCGCAGTACGAAAAGAATATGAGAGTTCCAATTTCAACCACAGGGCCAAACACCATTCGTTCGCGTGCCTGCCATGAAACAATCGGTTGAATGAACGGCGCAACACCACAGAGATCCGCCAGCGACCTCCCCAGTTTTCCCCCATTCCAACCACCCCATGCGTCCCACCCAATCCCACCCTCTGCTAACGTCCGTCCTGCTCCCCATTCTTATCTCTCCATGTTGCCATCCAGTTCACCACAATCCCTGCCAGATGCCTTCGCTCGCGTGCCAAGTGGAGTCGGCGTCCAGAGAACCCCGCAGGCCCAGAGACCAGGGCCACGCTGCACCGTTCCACGCGAATGTCACGTCGAAGCCTCCATGCGCCCCAGGCAGCCATCAGCTCAGCTTTCCAAGCTCTGCCTTCTTTGCCAGCTGCACTCCTTGGTACACCACGGAGTCGAAAATGCCTGCCACTGTGAACACACCCCCCACGATGGCACAGGTTGACGTCAGGAACCTGTACCAGTGCCTCGGCCTCTCCCTGACGACGATCTGTATGGGCGACAGCTGGTACGAGAACTTGGCTGACGGGATCGTCTCCGAGATGTAGGCGTGGCTGTGGACGGTGTATTCGTAGGCATCATAGTCGGTGAAGGTGGACCCCGAGCCAGCCTCAATGGTGGTCAACACAGCCTGCAAAATCCGGAACAGGGCTCAGGCACGGGCGCCTGCAGCTCAGGCTCTCCGCGCTGCAAGGAACACCGCGGCAACCACGCCTGCATGGGGTGCCCTGTGCGGTGCTGCCCACACTCGCATGGAGATGCGCTGCAACAGGAACGCGTCGCGTCTCACCATATGTGCAATGTGAGTTTGCTCAGAGCACCTTTATTGTCACATAGCCAAGCAGGTGCCCATATCTTTCTGAGACTGAAAGCAGCTTTCCTACATTCCTGTATTACATCTTTCTTGTGCTCAACGTTTCTGCGAAACATGGAATAGAAAAGCCCTGTCACCTTTCTGGCGATTTCAGGCTGCAAGCACAAACGCATGAGCGTATCAGCACATCAGTGTTTTGACGCACGGGGTGATGGCAGATGCTGTTCCTCACCACACAAGTGCTTGTTCACCATACGCTCATATTTCAATCTCTCAAGCCTACAGTTCAACAAGAAACGTTACTGTGTTGTTTACAAAGTCAGGTTACAGAAAATGCACTATGTCCTTGTTCCACGCTTGATACCTGCAGGTAGTGCTCGTGTGTCGTCATGGCATTGATAGAAAAGAAGTTATCATCCTGCAGCTTGTCTGCCCAGTCCTTCTGGAGACCCAATGGATGCAGCTTTTGGAGGAAGTGGTATCGATATGGAGAGGGCCTTGCACCAAAGTAGAAGTGGTGAACGCGGTGTGTCATGTTCATCTGCTCGTGCTCAAACGAGTGGCCAGAAGACTTTGCTAGGAAATGGAGGGTACCTGGCACCTTCTTCACAAGCACAAAGCCTGCACAACATACCGACTGTGTTGATTACCCTTCCACCCATTCTGAGCAAGCGTTTGGCAGGCTCGACCGCCAATGGCTGCCTTTCTACGGTTTCTTGAACACGAGGTACTGGCACAGCAGTGTTCAACAAGGACCACACATGTGTCTCATGAGACACACAACAAGACACAAGGGTTCAGAGCAACTTAGAAACTGAGGTCACGCCCACAACACACAAGTCCAAAAAAGATGTTTGTGGCCGAGGCCCACATCAGAACACATTCGGGCTGTTTGTCGATATCCCTGATTCACATTCTGTTGGCAGCAGAGAACACCCAAGGCTGGACGCCACCGCATCAAACAAGGGCTCGTGCCCTCAGCACAAACGCTTGGAAACTGACAAGAAGCCCATCAGACCAATCCGCTGAGAATACTACAAATAACCGCTCACCTGACAAGTTGCATCCAGAATGCTTGGACACCTTCTTGAGATTCGCATGCCTCGTATTCGGGTTACCAGCAGAAGGCACCAGCGACTCGACAAATTTAACAAAAGCTTCTTTTGTGCGATGCCCAGTGTAGGATTCATGGTCCTTAGCACCGTGAACGTACACCTCATCATGGCCTTTCCTGTAGATTCGCATGGATGGGAAGCCTGTGATGCCATGCTTCGCGCAGAGCTTGTTTTGGGCCACACAGTCGACCTGAGCTAAGCAATGGAAACCTTCAGGGACAAATTGCCATGTGTGGATAAAAAGCATTGATGGAGCAGCTGCCATCCCTGTGGATACCAGTTGAGAGAGAGCAAGTGGGCGTTGGTGGTGACAGCCGCGGTGGACGTCACAACAGAAACAGATGGGGCTGATGGCATTGGGTGGTGGCACAAAGCGATTGCTAGTCACAGACAACACAGGAGTGGACAGTGCAACACATTAACAGATAGCTTCAGGAAATTGGTAGCTCGCCCAGACACAAAGCAACGCACGTGAGTTTCATCAAGGTTAAAGGTGGTCTCGTACCTTTGCCATCCGTATTCGTCCATCCGATTCTGGATACCGGTCATGGACCTCCTTTGTTGCTGCTTCCCACGAGGGCTCCATTCTCTGACACCATGGGCACCATGGAGCATAAAAGTTCACAAAGACTGTCGCCAGCAACAGGCCATGAAGTCAGCAATGGGAGCAGAGTACCCGCACAGCACACACACACACAGCTGGCAATGTTTTAGTGGATAACACTGAGCCCATACTACCGCCCATAAAGCTAAAATCCGGTCCCCGTTTCAGCGATGGTCCACTGTTTGTGGACTGTCTACCCATTGGGGATGGGGAGTAATACATTCTAGTGCTGATGCTCCATGCAAGCTGGCCAACAACAATGCCACATAAATTGGCAGCCCCACCGAACTCAACATCATCCACAACAAGAGTTACCAAGCGGAGCCGTGCGTGGCCCATACCCAGGCCAGGTCTGTTGGGATTTTGGCCTGGACTATGGGTCGCCCACCAAAGCCTAGCAGCTGGCTGGGCCTGGTCCTTATGGCAACTGCAGTCAAGAGGAATTATGTGGGGCTCAGGCACGCATGTGCTCAGGCAGAGTGCTCCTCCCATTCGACAGCCAACACTCCTTGATTGCCCACTCGCTGGAAAATGCCAAAGGCTACCCCTCACATCTTGCTGCAACAGTGGGCACCACCCACAAACGAAATCTGCCCCAGGACTTTCAGGACAAAAAACACCAAAAGGAGATGCAACAAGGCTCCAGAACACAAGCCCCAGAACATTTTCACTTTTGGGGACACAGCCCTCACCTATTGGGTATCTTTGCACCGTCCACTCGAATGTGTCTTCAGTCAATGGAATCGAGACATCGACTTCCTCAAATTCCATCTGCAGCAACAAACAGCAGCAGGAGACTGCACCAGTCACAGACCCACCCAGCAGACAGCTTACAGCAACAAACACAATAAGGACTATCACCTGACATCGCCTGACAGGAGCTTGGTCACCAATTGCCACAATTTGACCGGTGGCACCACTGCAGATTAAAGAACTGTCACAGTTGAAGAAGCAGTCACAAGAAACTTTGAAGCAAAGAGGGTTGTAAAAGCAACAAGATGCCACAATCTTTGCTGTCAAACTGCTGTGCCAGTGCGCCCTGATGCTTCACAGGTGCCCACCTCTTCCTCATCATATTTCGGTGTTGGCAGCTGCCTGTCATGCTCAGCATACCCCGCCCAGTTTCCTTCCGAGTCGAGTGGTGTCTTCCGCACTGTTCTAGTTAAATTGATGCGTTTCTGGCCACAAAACACAAACACAGATGTCAGCACAGCAACCTTGTGATGAGGAACCTCATCCTCTAACAGCAATGGTGGAATCGGGCGATCAGTGGTTGGAAAACAGTCGCGATGCGGAACATACAGTCCCTTGTATCCAATTCAGTGCAATGAAATCAGGGGCCCACCCATTATTGACGTCAAGTAAAAAAAATAAAACCCAGGTAATGAAACTCATGCAAGAGTCTGAGTGAATGGGTATAACAAGCAATCGTGTGTCCACACAAGCACAGTACACAAGCTTAGTATTCGGCAGCATCTTGGCAAGCTGTCCTATCTATCATACCCATCCAATCTGTTAGGCCTGGTAAAGGCATGAGAAGCTGGGCTCCAAAGCACACACAAAGCAGGCCATCATTGCACCTCAGCAATTCATGCTTCCTGTGAACCAGCCACCAGATACTTGGTTGTGTTAATGCAAGTGCTTGTGACTCCACCTGTGGTATCATTGCAGCCTGTTCTTGTAATTTGTTGCCTGCATGAGTTGGACCAAACGTACGAGCACATCCGCATAATGCAATCAGACAGTCAACAGGAGCCAGCAGAACAAGCGACCATGCAAACGCTGTCATCTTCCATTTACAGCAATCCAGTCCCAACAAACTGTGATAACATCGCCAATTGAAGCGACTGGTTCCATTTGTGCCCTGGGGATGCAGGAACAGGCATGCTGGCACTAAACTTTGTGTGTACAAAGCACAGCAATTGCTCTCAGACGCCAAGGCCAGTGCAAAGCCATCTGGGAAATAAGTGTTCTGGATGGCATATCAAAGCACTGATGGCCAAGCACCAAAATGGCTGACAGGGAAGAGAAAATAGTGTGCACCCCAGTTGTGACGATTTCTTTGCCAGTGTGGGCAGCACGGTGCGTTCAACCATGCATCGCAGAGGGATGGTCTTACCGTTCCCAAGGAGTCACTCACATCCAGCGTGGCAAACTCGCAAGAGAGGGCAGGAAAACTGGATGGGTCATTGTGCAGAGTGTCAGTACAGGAACAGAACTTGAAAAGAAAGCTAACTGGATCTGTTCCCAGCAAAGGGCTTGGGAATCGACCACCGGTAAACCCATGTTGGACCAATCAAGGCAAGCCGTCACTAGCAGCCAAACTGGAATGCAGTGCGCAATGCTAGAAAGGCAGGTTAATTGGATGGGGGCAGCCAATGCCTGCTGAAGGGCAGACATGCTGCCAATTGGAAAACTCCCTCCTAAGCAATGTGCTGGTAGACGACTCTGCGCCAACCTTAGAGCTCGAGAAGTCTCTGAGCTCACAAGGTGAACGAACAATTATAACAACAGCAACAACAACAACAACAGCAACAACAACGCAACTGCAGAAGACAGCTGAGGCCCTTGACTCCTCAAAGGCGACTGAGGGCGGCCACCGGCGCCCATATGAGCCCCAATGGCAACAACGACGGCGCGAGGGCTGGGACGATTGACCATCAATTCTCCTCACCTGACGTTGAAGTTGATTCGGAGCAGCTCACCCTGCTTCGACCGATCCACGACCAGCTCGGTCTGAGTCTGCACTTGCATGAATTCGAAGAACTCCTGGTAAACGCACCACACCGCCGTCAACGGCGCCAGGGACGCGCTGGCGCCCCGTGGCGCAGAACGACCACAAAACCAGTTGTGAAGTGCTGCCCCATGGTTCGTGTGTGCTGCAGACGGCGCCCTGCCAGCAAAAGGATCAAGGGAACAGACAAAAGTGCTGGAGGCGCGTGCGCCTGTCGTCGCCCTTAAGGCTGCAAGTGCTCCGCTTGGCACTTCAAAGGGAAGACAATCCAATAATCACGGCAACGATTGGTGCGCGGGGGGGCGTCACAAGGCTTCGCCTTCCCGGCGCCGAGCCGCAGCCGACGCCATATCCGGCCGCGTACCAGACCCAGAAGCACGGATATGACAATTGCTGCCAGTATGGAGATCCATGCGCCGGCCAACGTGGACTCGCTCAGGTCACTGCGGCCACGACACGCACAACAAGGTTCAGTGGGACAGCATTGGGACTCTTCAGCCACGGCTGAGCGCCATGGCCATGTTTGGTAGCGTGCTCTTGCATGGGGGACATGCAGCGCCCAATGGCACCGTCACTACAAACAAGCCGACGAACGGCAATGCGCACTGAGCGAGAGATCGCGACTGACAGCTGGAGCTGGCCTTGCCGGGGCCGGGGCGGCATCCATTCCACCGTCACCTTGGCAGCTTTTTGTAGAAATCGACGGCCTTCAGCCGGGCGAAGAACTTGGTGGCCATGGCGGCCCAGGGCGAGCCCGGGGCTCACACTGGAGCGGGGCCGCCCCTGCTGGACACCTCACCTCCTGGCCTCGAGAACAGCGCCCTGGGAGCCAGGGAGGGGGGATGGGGATCGCCCAGGGATCGACGAGGGGCCACGGCGAGGTGCCGGAGCGGAGGAGGGGGTCCGTTCTCGGCCAAGGAGAGGGGGCTGGGCGTCGAGCGGCTGCGTGGCCGCGTGCCAAGGGGGGACTGATGGGAGGAAGGCGGCTAGTTGCATCAAACAGGCGTCAGGGCCTGGGCCCTTACCGTATGTTTGGAGCCCATGTATCGGTTCGTCGGGGAGCCGCCGGGTGTTGCAGGCCGGCCAGGTCGTTGCATGTATATTCGTCAATGTAGAGGAAATGAACATCTGTTGCTACGCAATATACTATGATACTGGTACGTTGACTTTTCCGAAACGCAATCGTATGCAACGCGTTTTTGTTTCCAAAACGTTGCAGCCATCGTCAAACGGAATTGCAACAAACGAGAACGCTTGCAATCCACCAGTTTTCTGCAAAACTATTAAAAGTCACCAATGCGTTGAATTCTTACATGAAACAAGGAATTCCACAATCGAAATGTCGCTATTGGATTATATTCTCCGTACGTAAGATAACAGTTGGACCACTGCACTCTGCGAAAGCACAACCCGTTATGTGTTCGTGTATTTTGAAAGCACAACGCCTGGTTTTTGGCCCCCCTCCTGTGGTTCGTATCTGCTGGTTGTCTGTGGGTTCCCCATTCTACGGTTTCTGTTCTTTTCAGCTGGACGAGGACCTCTCCCGGGCTGACCCCGTGCACAACGACCAAATGGATAAAATAGCATTCGCATTATCTCAACGAACAGCACTGATCAGCGCTTGGCACACTTTCACCCACACCAGCACACAGGCACAACAGACAGACCGCAAAGAGTGGCTTACGAGGTCGCGCACTGACATTCACTGTCCCTATCTTCAACCTGTGTATGCACCGCGTACGCCGTGTACGTCATGTGTTCTCGTGCATACAACGTCCTCGCACTCAACACCGTTGCTTCTGTGCATACATTTGAGCATTTAAGGCCCATGGCCGACACCTCAGTTTGGACTGTGCTTCGCTATGAAAAATAAAGCTCTAAAACCCACCAGTCTGTCCTTCGCGCCCCCCACAGTTCCGAATTTAAACTGCTACGGATGCCCGATTGGGAGCAAAACAAAGTAGATGGCGGTCTTTGGGCACCCCTTAGTAGGCAGGGCCTCGTGGGAGGCTGCCCGCCAGACAAGAAAATCACACCATGGCGTCCACCAGCATGCCAGCCTTAGGTCCCTTTGAAATTCTTGCCAGCAAGCCACAGATCAGCATTGCGACGGGAAATGCTTCATTTGCATGTGGCCAGGCATGCAGGAGAAGCCGGAAGAGGACGACCAGTAGTCGATGCCATGATGGGCATGGCGCTGTGAGGTGCAATTCAATCGATGCGGTCGTCGAAAAGACATGACGAACGAAGCCCTTGTACCTGGCAGGCGATTGAGAGCTCGGAAACAAGTTCAACGTGTTAATGTTCAAAGATCACAGTGAACAATCCGCCTGCTGCCGCTGGTGCGGGGCGCAGGATGCCATGCACATAAGATGGGGTGGACGATGCGGCAAGAGCGCATGTACGTACCTAGGAAAGGCACTGTCATCAAAGGCAGAGGGCTATCCTTCTCGTGCCAACATGTAGTGGACAGGCTAAAGGCTGTGGCAACCGCGAGTTTTGCATGTGCGGATGGGTGGGCTTCGCCATAGCCGGGCCAGGTCACATTACGTGCAGTGAAATTCTCTTGTGTTCGGGCCCTCGAGGCAGCGACATTGCGCTCAGACGATGATTTCCAACGTACGTCATTCTCTGGAGCAGAAAGTGATTGAAGACAAGAACTTCCATTCCACGCTTATCGTTGTGGTTCGCTGGGAAATGTCAAACATGCTGCTGTGTATGCCAACCCTGTAGCTCAAGCCACACCACCCCGTGCTCAACTCTAGTGCCGAACTACAAAGAATATTCCACGCATGACAGACGTGTCAACCTGCCAGCTGTGCCAACCTCATAAACAAATTGTGTGACCGCTGTAGCCGCTCCCAAAGGAGCAAGAGAATCAACGCCCACGGCTAGGCCCAGTTCTGCTGGCCGTCAACGGGAGTTGCTGTCCAGGACAAATCTATGAATGGCCTCTGCAACACCGTGCTCGTCATTGGTGGAGACAATGTGGTCTGCCACACGCTTTGTCCTTTCGCCGGCGTTGCCCATGGCGATGCCCAACTGGATTGCGCAAACACAGGGCGTCAAAGACAGGGAGCCAGCAAAGGCCGACTGAACACTACGCATCACTTCATGTGGCCAGGAATCTCATCTCATCGATGAATGAATGAACTACGATATACGTTGCTATGTCCATTAGTACAGTCTGCACCCCCTGGGCCTAACAGTGGGACACAGGGCAAGACGACACATCATAGGATGTTCAAGCCGTCAATGAAATTCGCAATTGCCTGAACAAACCATGAATTGGGTCATTGTTGCAAAAGCCACATGCTGCGCAGAAATAGTTTACAGGTCGCCGCCTGTAGGCCTGTAGGCCAGCAGCTCTAGACAAGTTTTCCCAATACAAAGGTGCCTCAGAAGTAAATGAAACTACATGAGGAATGTCCCGTGGCAGATGCAGGGACATGGCGACAAACTCACCCCAGCCAACTGCAGCATTTCAACATCATTTTCTCCATCTCCCACTGCCATCACGCGGCCAGCATCAACCCCAAGATGGGCCAACAACCAAGCTAGGCCAGCGCCCTTGCTCGTGCCAAATGGTAGCACCTTCAATGCACAAGCTATGCATATCAACATCCACTTTGTGGTGGCAGAGGATTTGAACAAGGTGCATCAGTTCTCCTTGCGTTCGCAATAACGGAAATTGCATTTGAACACAAATACTTGGACACCACAGTGCAAGCCTCATGACTTTTCTTCTTCTGTGTTCAAAACATTGCATCACATTCCAGTGTCCAGGGGCCTCCATTGAGTACTCTATTGAGGGACAGGCCTTGCGTATGACAGTACTACGATGTGTATGGGAACATGACAATACTTTATGGTGAAGCGCAAATCAAGAGAGAGCAAGCCATGCAGATGAGGAGAGACTATTGAACACGCACAGTCCAAGCTTGCAAGGCAGCTGCACCTATTTGAGCGCAGCCACAATATTATTTGCTCTCCACATGTCTCCAAAGGAGGCACAACAATGCCCAGTCATGCGCAATATGCTATGCAGCTTGTTACATTTCTCTCCATGCTCATGAACGTCTACTAGTGCTCTCTATATGTTTGCCCTCTTGTGTTCACAGCGCCAGCACAACAACAACAGAAGCACGGAAGCTTAGTGCATACCATTGACCACCTTCACAACCGTTTGAATCTCTCAGCAAGCTCCCTATGCAAGGAAATCGTGTCTTGGTTTACGTCCAAATTCGTTACATCTGTCCAATATGATAATCACTACCCTTTGCATCCATTATACTACCTCCATTCCAAACGTCGTGTCCGTTATCCGCTTTTGCTATAACTTTGCAAGATCAACTCGATTAGCTAATCTGTCGCCAGATTCGGATTCCTTGGTCGATTTTGGGTCGATGTGGATCTTGGTTACATTAGTCACCATCACATAGCAAGGCATACACAAACTTATCAAAAGCGTCCCTGTTGCTTGTGTCAGGGCCTCAGTTCCCCACATTTTGGTGCTTACCTTATCCAGTTGTGTTCCAATCTATTTCCCCCAAATTCTTCTAGAACCTTGTTGTAGACAACAAATGAGAATCGCTACACCCTTTCAAGAGTTTTGGCATCATCGCTTTCATATTCCTTGTGGACCATCTCTTCCACTATGCTAAATCGTGTTTCAAAAACTGTCGATTTCAATTATTGGCCATGCTGGCAACAATTCATGCCATGTTTTCGGTTAGCATCACCATGCACGGTTTTCCAGACCCTTGCACATCTACCAGGTTCAACTTGATGCTCTTGTCCAGAACAAGGTGTGTTTTCTCCTTTGGCCTCAACATTCGCACAGTACATGTCCACACCCTAACTCTGCAGTACAAAAAACCTTTGTGTTGCGGAATCTGTTCGGAATCTGGCCGCATCTTTTGTAAATACCCAACCACCAAGTCACACATCTCTCCTAGGAGTAGCTCAGCTTGATCCATCTCCGTCGAAGGGCAATGTGAGCTGGCCATGCCCCGCTCTAGGTCCCAACACAAGGAAAAGTGGCATCTGTGCTCCATTCAAAATATCTCAAGAACGGCAGCGCCGGTTTCCACGCTGAAGGGCTCTACCGATAGCTATTGACATGCCATGGTGAAGTTGTTTTGGTGAACGTTTTCTACTTGCACGTTTTGACCTCTATTTGCGATTTGGATAACGGACAAGACTTTTGGAACTGAGGTAGTACAATAGCATGAATAAGATGTATTTCTCCGGCACCGGGAATTAATCCTGCAATTCTCCTGTTTGGAAATATCAAGACTTTGGGAACATGAAACACTGCATGTCAGTGTGCACTCGTTTCTCACCTCCAACATGCCTGGCAGAGCCGTTGTGAGGGCAAGACGCCCTCCCAGCTCAGCCTCAGCAAGAGGCCGGATTTGAACGATCCTGCAAACACAAGTCACACAGATTCCTAATATGACCTCCCCTGAATGCACTGGACAATAGAAACAGTCTTCTCAGCATGGCAACCCCTCACCGTTCCTGCTTTTCCAGCATTATCATCTTGTGTATTTTTATCTTGCCTACCCAGTCCTCCAAGGAGCCAACCCCCTCTGGAGTGGGCTCTTCATAGAAAAGAAGGCGATCTGTGTGCTCATTGGTCGCTGGGCACAAGATCCTGCTGCCGCAGTAAGCAGTGATGGTCAGACCTGCAGATGGTAGAACATTGAGCATCCATTCGGAGAAATTTGATATCAGCAGCATGACTGCCCTGCAAAGACAAAGGCAACAGGGTGCACTGTCCATTACCACCAGAACACTCATGGACTTAGAGGTAGGAGATGGATAGCAAGGGATTGCACCAGCTTTTTGCAAGCACGTTTCACATCAATTGCATTATTGTTGTCAAGCCTCTTGCCATTTTGGATGGAGTTTTCATTCAAGCGGTGTGGGCATGGATGCGATAGCTATCTGTTTGAAAATTGTGGTCCAGCTGCTCAACAACGAGCTGACAAAATTGGAAAACAAATTATCGCCATGCATTCGTGCTGTTGCGACATGTGGCCAGGTCATAAATGCAGCAAGGCCTATTCTGCAATGGCTGTCATGATGTGCTACAGTGTCAGCACAGCCATCCACAGTAGTGCAGGAAGGTCCCAGTACAGTGCTCGTGGCATAAAACTGACTAATCCACCAGGCAAACTAGTGTGATTAAAATACAAGTTGCCGAACAGTAGTGCAAACAGTAGGCGGAAAGCAAAGACAAGTAATGAAAAGAAAAGGGAACAGGAGAGCAAAGTGGTGTTAACTTTCATTTTGGATTGTCACTGCACTCTGGCTCACCGTGCCTCTTGCTAAATTCGATGCATTGTAGTGCCAGGTCTTCTTCCAAGGCCTGTTCATGCAGTACAGTGCCATCCGCATCGCAGACCAGGAGGCCCTGAAGGAATACGCCTGGCATCGGGACGGGAAGCCTTGGAAGCACTTTTGGCACCCAGGGACCACGCGCTTTGCCGGTTGCCAAGACTATCTGCCAGGTCACCAAGCACAATGGGGTCATCTGAACATTGGAGCATGTGGGTGTTTGGACCAAAAGTCATAACTGAATGGAGTTGTTTGAATATTGATCTGGTGTCGTACAGTTCTGCAGACTGGGGATGGTCAAGAGCTTAAAACAGCACATAGCGGATGCAGATATTTGCCCATCATCTCTTTTTTGGCAACTGTTTATGTTTTCAATGTCAATCAATCAATGTCAACAAATGCATTCAAAGGAATCACACACTGTGGACAGCCCCAGGCGTTCATCAGGGGGCCTTGAACGCCTGACTAAATTTACTGCCAGTGCTCAAGCAGTTGGTGGTGAATTGAAACAAAATCTCAAAGCACTGCACAATGTCCACTTGTAAACAGTGGCCAGCATGGCCCAACAGTTGATAAGACAGTTTTCAGTCATGTTGCTCACAGGTGTGTTCATTGACGGGTTCTTTGCAAGGATTCTTCTTGAAGGCACTGCCTTGTAAAAAGCAAGGGCTATTTTAAGAGCTCTGAAGATGACACGTCAATAAAATCCCCCCTCAATTGTGCGCCATACTGGCAGTCACATGCAGGCATTCTACTCACCGGCACTCCTGCATCTGCAGCCTTCTCGATTGCCTCCACCACCTGTGGGGCCAACTCCTGTTGGCTGTTCAACAGTGTGCCATCAACATCACTGGCGATGAGCTCAACACTTTTGATGGCTGCAGCGGAGTACGAATCCAAAACGGCAGCTTCTGTCGACTCGACCCCACGAACAGTAGCCTGCTTGCAGGGTCATGGCAGAATTAAGATCCATTCCAGGCCATTTGGGCTCTTCCAGTGCTGACTATTCTGTGGAGAGTATTGTCCAAATGAGGAGGACCACCTTCCGACAACCCAATGATTCATCGCCTGATGCAGATTGTCTTCTTTGTAGGAAAGAAATTGTGTCCTACAGTGGGCAATCCCATTATCATTATTTGTATGTGCTGCAGATAGACGGTAACCGGAGATGTGATGGAATAAGCCAACGAGGAAACAGGTGTCTGGGATGTAGATATTTTTTCATCGGCTGCCATCAGAAAAGACTATGCTTTGTCTTGTGACATCAAAAAGTTGACAAGGAACCTGGCAGTCATAATATGTCTGTCCAAACCTGGTGGGTTTTGTCTTCTCCATACTGCAGAAGTGGTTGCGGAAATCTCCAAGTGTAACAAGAAGAGTATGCAACATGGAATGAACTGCATGCAAGCTTACCACGTGGTACCTGGCCCAAAAATTGCCCAGAATAGATGTAGCATGAAAGCATGGCTCATCCTTGAAAGCTTCCAAATGGGACCACAACTGAATCGACAATCACAAGGGCTTTGGGTGACGAAGAGAAACGGCATTATGGCGAACCAGATACCTTATCGGGCGCACGCATCGATTGCATTGGATGTACCCGCAAGTCCATCGCGCAAAATGGATACATGGCCACGAAACTGACAACTGAGCCATGCTGGAGACCGAAGTTTGAGTCCTTTCAGGCGCACATGCTTCGTGGATGGCTGCGCAATCCCAGCGCCCGTCCCAAGCCTGTCTAATTAGAGGCGAAAGATGCGCACCCGACAACGGATCGCTGCGCGCTACCCTCCATTCGCGATCGAGCCCATCGTTGGGCCGCAGTCGCGCTGCCATTCCGCGCTCACGGGATTCCTTGCCTGTGCCTCCCTCATGCCCCCGCCTCCCGGTCGCGCGACAAGCTGGATTGGCCTCGCAGTCCTCCCGAGGGGCAGGACTCCCGGCTTCATCCGCCCAAGGTTCAATGCTTCCGCCCCCGGGCCCAGGCGTCGCCCCTGAACAAGGCGAGGCTGCGAGACCGCCGAGCAGGGGCGCAGTCACGCTCCCAAAGGGGAGGCCACCTGCGCCGTCGGTTGAAGGCACGCCACGGAACAAACTTCCCAGCGACCGGCACCAACTCGCCCCTACAACAACGTTGACGTCCGCCACAAAGGTGCCCCCATAAAGCACGGGCGCGAAGGAGAATATATCAGTCCCTCTGTCTTTTCCGTGAGGATCCTTCCTTCCGCTGACAGGGCCAACGCCGGTGAGCGGGTTTAGGGTTTAGGCTGCCCGAAACACGCAACCAGAAGGGGTCCACAGCGAAAAGACAGAGGGACTACTGTAATATTTGCCCGTGTCACTCGGTCCTGGAATCCTGGAAAGTGCGGCAGTTCGGCGGGAAACTTGGCAAAGCCACCGAACACGTGGCGCGCGGCGGGGCCCTGAGGCCAGCGCTGCGCCGATGAGCGGCAGCCCAACGGCCGCTCTTGTGGCGGCCGGCAGCCTTTTTGCCCTCCGGCCTGCGCCGCCGCGACGGCTGAGGAAGAGCCTCCACGCCACGCGGAGGCTTCCTCTGCGCTCGCTGCGCGCGCGGACCGCGGCAGGCCAGTCGGCGGAGCCACGCTGTCACTGGGCGGCACATCGAACGTCGCGCGCGCCCTGCCCACGTAGCATCTCTGGGAGGCGCAGCCGCGGTGGGCATCGGGATGGGGATCGAGGTCGTGAGGGACCTGCGCGGCCGTCTGCCGTGGTACGGGGACGACTGGCGGGAAGGGCTCAACTCAGGCGTGAGGTGGGCTCCGCGGATCGACTTGGTGTTGTGTTGTGTTGCGTCTGTGGTTTGTGCGGCCTTTTTGCAGGCATTCGATCGGCGACGTTGTTTTCGTGCTGAAGCTGGGGGCTGCGTGGAAACGCCGAGCGACGGCAGGAAGGGAGGCCTTTGTTGAAACACAATTCAGGGTTGCTCCATTTAGTAGAAGGGGACTGAATGCACAGATGGCCACAGGCTGTGCCCTTGGGCATCCCCTGTTTCAAGCGAAGAAGGTTGATGGAATCTTGTAACACAATGTCGAGATGATTTAGTGGCCTCAAGGCTCTAGGCACCTCGGGACCTACAAATCTGGAGATAGAGGGGATTGCGATCCCTGCACGTTAACTGCTGAAACAGGTCCCAAAATGGATCTGGGCAATTGGATTGAAGCAACTTCCTTGCTGTGATTCTTTGTCTTAACTCAAAAGCACCAGCCAACCAGTTGACCATCCACACTATCGTTTGAGTAGAAAGCGAAAAACTGTCTGAGGATTGCAACATGTCACCACACTTTGCTTCGTGATGAACCACTGTACATTGGGCAAGGCAGTACTTGGTTATGGGTAGTTGAAGAAATGTAGGCAAAGATGGCACTGTTGCTGGTATTTGTCCTCCCAGACAGTTCCATTTCTGTTGTCATTGTACTGATTATTTGAAGACCAATTTGCTTGTAATTTTGCAGTAATTCTGCAAGTTTGCTACTTTGCAATTGCTGATCTGTCATCTGTTGCCAGATAAATATTAACAGTCTGCTTTGTTCAGAGATGGGCCCAGTTCTTTTCTTCGTTCCAGAGTTGGAGTTGCCATCTTTGTTGTACAGGATCGTGGCCCCTTCCTTCTACATCTTTTTTGCCTCAGCCATCCCTGCCCTTGCGTTTGGAGAGCAGATTGACCACGACACAGGTGGGATGCCTGTATATGAAGTACAGGCCTGTGGCTTTTGACAAATGCTTGCTTGTTCAGAATCACAGGCAGCCTCTCCAACAGCAAGTGCAGAACGTTGTAATAAAGTTAGTGCAGGATGCCGTAGTTGGACCGTTGCCTGGCCTTTGTTCAATGAGTAAAAGCACAGTGTTACCTCGATGAAAGTGCTGGTATCCTAGTACTTCTTGATGCATTGGCTTGATGCCGGAACTACAGGAACTATTGACTTTTGAGACCAATCTTTGAAGAGTCCTTGAGCAGCAAAATCACAATGTCTTCTTTAGGATGATTTGGGATCTTGGATGTCAGATTTCATGCACAATGGGAAGAACAGCGTTGTCGGACAGCCACCCATGCGAGTCAACAATGGCTGACACTGTGCCAATCAGCCCAAGAGTACAAGGGCAGTTATCGGCATATGTTGAGCATCGTCATCGGTGGATGCTTCTGTCCCAGCTGTGCTATTTGATTGTCTGAATATCACTGCATGTCCAAGAGCCATCGTTAACAGTTGGGGGAACAACCGCACGCCGATGCTATCAGGCACTGAGTGGTGCTACCTGGGCCCCCGATAGCACTGCTCAAGGCCAGATGACACCCTAGAATAGCACTTGGTGCTATTCCCAGAGAACATTGCAGTGGTGCCCTTACACTAGTCAGAACAGCAATAGCACCAATGTTATGGATGTGTGCAGAGGAGCAGCTGCACCAGGTGCTATATGCTATATGCAGATGCTGCCTTAGTAAGTGGCAGGACAGCCAATGAGATCTGTTCCTGTACATCACCATTGGTGCCATGGCAACAACCAACAAAGATGGTCTTCATGTTCTCCATGCTGACTTGCAAAATATCAGAATAACGATGCCCCGCTTCGCAACAGCTATCACATGACCATTTCAGCAAGCAAGAGTCCTTAAGTGACTACCTGCGTGCTGGCTGTGAGGAACTGGCATCTGAAGGCAAACTCTGTTGATGCAGATGGGGCCATGAACGGTGTACATGTCCTAACTGCAACAGCACTCTGCGGCATCATTCAGGTGGGCGTTGTGATCTACTCCTTTGTATCTGCAAGATTGAACCAGACATGCTTTACGATGCATCACATGGGATGTTTCATTGATGGGGATCATGCTGTCCTGGATACAAGTTTGGGTTTGGAGTTCTACAAGGTGGGGTCGAATTGGTTGAAATGATGACCAGACCCCATGTGTATGGAGAAAAAAGTGCACAGTGCACGGTGAATTATGAATAGTCGTTTCAGAGGGAGATGGAGCAATTTGTGCATGCCCATGCCAAGGGCCAGGAAGAGTGAGCAGTGCATAGCAGTATATGTCATATGCTATATGGATCGAATGGTGAGCATTTTTATGCTGTTAGGGGCCAATACTTTGTGCTTTTGACAGTTCTTGTGCCGTATTCTACAATTTCAGTTTTTTTTCCTTGTGAGGAGGATTTTTTGTGCCGATACTCAAGTTGTATATCCAGGGAAACAACTGGTCGAGGTTTTGCTCAAGCCTTGCCCGTGTTTTCTGCCCAAGCACTATGCTGATACTGGAACAACATCTCTTTGTATTCATAGAAACAATCCAGCAACAGCAATCCAGAAGTCTGCAACAACACATACACCCACCACAGCACAGTGCAATGGCCTTTAGTTGTCGATCTTGACGTTATAGACTTTCCTTTACTTGGCACCTTTCAATCGTTTTCGTTGTGGCACATTATCTCCATTGGAATTGCCTACATTTGTTCCAACAAAACCTGATTCAAAGATGCAAGGAACAGAGGGTTTAACTCTTGGCTGTGCAAAATCGCAGGCGATTTTCGGAGGGCAGCCTCTCCTCATTGTGGGGGTTGCTGAGCCCATCATTCTTGTGTACACGTGAGTTGGTGCGTTTTTGTAGTCTAGACAGAACAGGACCTGCTTTGTATGATGTACAGTGGGATCCTGATATGACGCCCTCCAAAGGGCGTCTGGGCCCTGAAAAACCCACATTGATGTAGCTCAACACAGTTAACATTTTGCAAATCTGTGCATTGGGGCCTCCAATCAGTACAGTGGACACATTAATGCACCCAACAGAGGGCTGATGTTAAACTGCAATACTGGTTGGTTACTCACCAAACTGGAGACAAGATCTATATGTTGCCTTCCATTGTTCATTAGCACGATCAGGTTGCTGGTGGTTGCCACACGACCATTCTTGTGATGCTGTCTGTCGTAACATTTCAGATTGTGTTGCGCAGCATTAGGTGGATGGATTTGTTTAGGATCTTTAGGAGCTCTGCTCTTCTGCCAACACCACACAGGAAATTGGAAACTGGTAGTTACAAAACCGAAAGTACGATCATGCCCTGTGTGTTCGATGTTGGTGCTGATCACAGCTTTTGTCCAAGTCATCGCAAGTGCGATTGGCAAATTTGGCTGGTAAACAGGCCGTATCACAGCCGATGGACTTTTGGTGTGTAATGGGAAGTCTGACGTGATGGATCAAGTCATGTTTATTAGCATTGAAATGGGTTTTGCTGCATTTCCTGCCCATCAATAGTGCCCTATTGTAGCCATGTCACTGGGGGTGCCATTTCAGGAACCCCAGTGTACAGCCTGGCGTTGATCGTATTGGACTAAGCAGTGTCAAGAATTCTTGCTTGTCAAGTGGAGCATCGCTATAGTCGACTTGTGCAGACTGACCATTTTAACTTATCAGCATATCAAATTCAATTTGACTCAATAGTTGCCAACTGCAAACCAATCAATTGGGAGTGTAGCAACAGTCCTTGAATGAAAGAAGAAAATACAGATGTATGCTTCTTGGCCCACCAATGAAGAAAGCTCTAGATTTGCGGAGCAACTCTGTTGGTTTGATGCAGCTGTGTGCAGTTGATGTCCAGTGTGGCGTTTGGCAGGTTTATGTTTGAATTTTTGGATGACCGCAATAAGAAAGATCAATTCGTGGCATGGGCTGCATGGGTGAACGTGTGGGCAGCCCTGTTCATCTTTGTTCTTGCCATGGCCGGTGCCTGCAAGTTCATCGACAAGTTCACAAGGTTCAGTGGGGAGTTGTTCGGCATGCTGATCGCTTTGCTGTTCCTACAACAAGCCATCAAGGCAAGTTTGCCCACAATTGTGACTGCATGTCTGAGCATGGTTTCCTGGGGCATTTGAGCCCAGAGGAAAGGCACAAAAGTGGGACAGGCATTGTATTTTGCGCAGCCTGCATGTGCATTGGCATGACATCGCACTGACCTTGCATGCATCACAATACAATGCAGTACAATGTCCATCACTGCTCACATACGCTGGTGCTTGCTCCTGTTTCCGCCAAAGGTTCTTAATTGCAGCCACAACAAAAGAAGGTTAGTCATCGATGTGTCAGCAAGATATTTTGCTGGATATTGTGTGCTGCTGCACCAGTATCTTGCGCTGCTTGTAGGCCCATAGTAGGTAGGCTGTGAGCATTGACATCCCAACTGACATTTCAGACCTCTGCACAACATTGTTCTGTATTATATTCGAATTTGTGGGCTCGGCATTGCCGCAAGTCCTGCACTCAGTCCTAATCTGCAGGTCCATGGATTGCAGACACCACACACATCGTGCATTTGGTGCTTTTCTGCAGGATGCAACTTTAAACAAAGTCCAAACTGTAGCAGTCCCCTCAATTGTAACTGCAGCTTCAGTCATCAAATCTTGCATCAGTTCACACAATTGGCCTTGGAACAACTGCTCTGCAGTAATTCCAATGCTGATGCAGTGACTGTGGCTGCCAAGCAGCAAGAAGATGGGAAACAACATTGAAAAAAGGAGATCTATCGATGAGCTGCTGAACACTGCTTGCTGAGTTAGTCTCTGACTGGTTTGAAGGATTTGAAGAACTTACAATGCTGCAGGCATCAGTAAATCAAGGTTCCTAGTGAATGATGATTGAAAGTCAAGGTCACGACACCTGTGATTCCCGGTAAACATCAATATTCACGTTTACCTTGGGGACATATGAAACTCCTGGTAAAAGGGTGGAAACTGAAGACAGCAGGTTGGTTTTCTTCCTTCAGGGCTTGACAGAGGAGTTCAAGAGGGATGATGAAGTGGAAGAGGGTGGAAGTCGAAAACTCCTCAGTGGGGGTGATGCTCTTGCCAACACGTACCCTTGGCGACTGGTCAACGGAATTTGGGGAGTGGTAAGGATGGTGGCTTTGTCCTCGCCCTCAAGCAAGGTCTTTCTTTCATTAAATTAGTTTTTTGGGGTTGCATTGCGGCAGCACATGGGCTATATATCTGAGCAGGTGATCTAGAATTATGCCCATTAAGCTGCGATTGCACACGAAAGCCCCATACTGATGGTTCTCATCCTTATACATTTTGCTCTTTTCAGTGGGATTCATTGAATGTTTTAGCCGATTTGGAACCATTAACCTCCATGCATAACCAGTCGTCTCCACACATGGGAATCCTGTTGTCCTGATGCACACAGGATACTCAGATAGAACCCCCCTTTGTGTCCCTATCCAGCTTTGTCATCTGTCTCCATCTGTACGTTTCCAGCATTTTGATTGTTATGCCCAACATCTGTGGCTTGTCATGGTTTGATGCGTGTAGCCAACGTGCATCTGTGCATGCTGTCGTTTCTAAGGCCCTGGAAATGTGGCGTGCATTCCATAGGTTCTGGCCATTGGCCTTCTGTTGACATCCCTCCTTGTGCATGGGGCCCGATCATGGAGATATGGGAAGGGCTGGACACGCTCCCTCCTGGCTGATTATGGTGTCCCACTCATGGTCGTCGTGTGGTCGGTGAGTGCACACCATTCATCTATTCACCATCCTTCAGAACAACTCCCATCCTGCTAGAGCTCTATGTGAACGATGTCTGGAACAGAAGGTGGGATCAGCCATCAGTGAAGTAACTCTTTCTGATACGGATCCAGCATTTGATGCCACTGCCTAAATGTGGTTTGCTTTAAACAGTGGATGACATGCTGCAGCAATGTGCATCACCATTAACTGCCATTCCATGTGCCTTTGTCTGATATGTTAGTGTTGATATTAGTGTTGAAATGTTGAAAGTTGTCTTGTTGACAACTGTCTGTCTTGCCATGGCTCGGCTCCTGTGCCAGCAGAGGGTACCTGCTGATCCATATTCCTTCAACCTTTGTACTGAATAGGGCATTTCGTACTCCATCAGTGGCGCACCAAATGGCGTTCCCAGTCGACTGAGCATTCCAAACACATGGGATGTCAAGGACACCTGGAAGGTGAGCGCAAGTGCAGCGATCCTGGGTGGCTGCCATTTGCCGGTTAATTTGCACGTTATCACTTTGAGTAGTGGCCAATTGGTGCTGCAAAGTTGGACGAAAGCTGCAGACTGCTGGCTTTGCCTCCTAAACCCAAAAGTACTGTGCTGGTTAAGTGGCTTAAAAAATGTCGGTAAAGGATCTGCAAGCACGAACATGAATCCAGCTCACAGGGCACAGGTAGTGTCTTGCAACCTGAGAGTGGATAGACTGAAAATGGAAATTCATGGAGGCCACAAGCAGTCGATGATTCTGGCACTGCACTTCTGGGCCATTCAGTGCATTTTTGCGCCATTGAAGGCAGCTCTGGATAACTATTGTCATGTTTTTTTAAACTTGTTTGTGAGAGGATTCACAGTGCTTGGCAAGTTTATGATGGCTCAAAGCGTTGCTGACGCACTATGAGTGATACACAGCTTGCTCCTCTTGCCATTCCAGCAACACAAGCTACTATGTTAAAGGAACTTTTCCAGGGGTGTTGAAGTGATTTTGACACATTATGAGGGAAGTGGGCCTGAGAGAGCAAGCATTAGGAACGAAAATGTTTTTACAATGCCTGACCAGCTTTGGGCCCCATTTGCCGTGCACTCTCAGGTGGTTCAAGACATGGGTGACGTTCAGGGATGGCTCATTGGGGCAGCAGCCATTCCAGGCTTCATCATCACTGCTCTGTTCTACTTCGATCACAATGTGTCCTCGCAGCTTGCACAGCAAAAGGAATTCGCACTGAAGAAGCCATCGGCATACAACTATGACTTTTTACTGCTTGCTTTCATGGTGTGTACATGCCCTTGTCTGGTGCTCAAGTAAAAGCTTGTCGGTGTACTGGAAAAGGAAAGAAAGGCTAGGTTTCAGTTGTCTCACTAGCGAGGCTGGTGGCATGCTTTTATGGTCAGAATGTTCTTGTTCGGACAAGATGACCATGAATTGCTGACTTGAACTAGGCATAAATGCTTGTGCAGTATGCATAGTTGTTTCATTTCTCGACTTCTTCACTGGCGGATGCCATTGTTGTTCAGTTGTTCTGAATGCCTTGCTGAGGTAATGTGCACAGTCTGAACACCATTGACGCTTCGTTGGCATACTGCACAGACTCTGATGTGCGGACTTTTGGGAATTCCTCCAGTAAATGGGGTTCTCCCCCAGGCTCCCATGCACACCAAGAGCCTTGCAACCCTGAAAAAGCAGCTGAAAAAGAGAGGTGAGAGCACTGGATGGGGCTGTGCGGATGCATCTTTTGAGTTGGGGTGTATGCCTATTTCTATGTGTGCCAGTATCCTGTGTGCATTTGTGAACACCATGTTGCCTGTGTGAGTGCCAAGTTGTGTGCTGAATTCTGCATTATGCCTGCTTGTGTGGCATTGTAGCGTGTTCGCTTTTCCTTATCGAGTCTGCACACTTGGACTAGATCAAGCATCTTTGACTATGCTGATGGTTTAGTAAGAGAGGATCCTGTCCATGCTGCAGCGATGTGCCACAACTTTCTGATGCCACTGCTGAGCTACAACACAAATTCACATTTGAGGGAAATGTTGGCCCCAGGGCGGGCATTGATACTTATGCATGCATGTTATTGTCTGTCCTAGTATGGGAGTGGGCATGACAATTTTCAGTAGTCGCTACACTTCCAGCAAACAACATGATCCCACAGATGGATCCATTGGCACTGCAAGATAAACAGCTGTTCTCTGCAAAGTCAAAATCTCATACCTGGGTGAAGCTATAGAAAGAGTACATGATGTACTACAGCTGTCAGGCAGCAGGAAAATTGCAAACCCCAGTGAGGAACTCGCTTCCCAATTATGTGGAATTGAGTGAGTGTCTGCAGCTGACACACCACTTGTGCAATCTACCCCACAGTATAGAAATTTGGGCTTAAAATCTTCTGGCATGGATCCCTGCTTGGGCATGGGCTACCCACCCACCCCTGCTCTACCCACCCCACAGCCCCACACCCACACCCACACCACACCACCACCCACCCACACCACCACCACTGCCACCACCACCACCACCACCGCCACCACCACCACCACCACCACCACCACCACTAGTTGTCAAGTGCATCTTCAGCATTTCTGAAGCTTTTGCACAGCGCCTCTTGCAGGGTGCCATGAACAGATATAGCCATAGCCACTTGGAGCCCAATTGTGTTCACCACCAAGCAGGTGCAATACATAAAGTTCGGGAACTTGGATCTATTGAATCTCCCTCTTGCCGGGCACCTGGTCTCCACTGTATCTGGCACAAATGACAGATGCTGCACATTTGCCATCACCCCTTGCAATCCAGGCCGCGCCCACCACTGATGTTGTTCGTGCCTAACTCTAATCTATGCCTGCCGCAGATGCTAGGAGAGAGCTGATTCGAAACTCGCAGGCACACTCGAACGACCTCAACAAGGGCAGTCTTACCAAGTCTTCAACTGGCAGCTTCAAGCACATGTCAACAGGGGCAGCCCAGTCCCCTGTATCTCCCAGTGTGGGCCTGGCTCGCATGTCTGCAGGGCATGTGAGGGAGGGCTCGGTAGGTGGCGGAATCCCCAAAGTGTCGTCTGCCACGAGCCTCAGCGATGCAGCAAAGATGAAGCAGTCAGCTTCGCACCAGAGCCTTGTGTCCCTGTCCAATGGGGAGAGTGGCTTGAGACAAGATTTCGTCACATTGGAGGTCAGTGGTGGCATGCTGTGGTTTCAATACCCAATTGGGTCAGTGCACAGACCAGAGTGGCACAGAATGCATATTTGGGGACAAGTGAGAAAGTGCTGGCTGCATTCCTTTAGCATGACAAGCGTGCCCCTGTTGTTGTCTACCTACCTGTCAAACTTGGTGGTTTTTTGTTGGCATGGCGATCGAACCCCTGGCATGGCATGAAGATAAAGTAAGGAAATGAAAGATTTGCACTCATACTCCATTTCAATCAAATCATCACTCTTGGTTTTTGCAGTTGAGACAGGTGTTTGTGTGAGTGCATGACTCTTCCTCACTTGAAAACGTGCGTGCCCATGTCAGGTTAAGGAGCAGCGACTGTCGGGACTGCTGCAGGCGGTATTGGTGGCTGTCTGTTTGGCGTTGACGCCTGTCATCCAGAGGATACCAAAGTCTGTGCTGTGGGGCTATTTTGCATACATGGCCTTTGAGTCTTTACCAGGAAGCGAGTTCTGGGAGCGAATCCTCCTGCTGTTTACTGACCCAAAGAAACGATACCAACTGCTGGAGACAACCCACACGCCGTATCTGGAGACAGTCCCGTTTCATGTCATCTCCAAGTTCACAATCTTTCAGGCTGGCTTCATGCTGTTTGTTTATGCCATCACCTGGGCTGGGGTGAGTTTCTATCCTTTGGAGAAAGTGACTCTGATGAAATTATGCTTGCTTGAGTGGGTTCTGTCCATCAGGTGCATCCCACCCCGATGTCTCAGTAACACCTCATGAGCCTCTGTGCTACGGAACAGAGACACAGGGGGACATCGCAGTTCTTGTCTTTATTCAATGTGCCTTGCCAAACAGGGAACTGTTGAAGACGCTGAATGGGTTGCAAACCATGCCAAAGAATACATTAATGGCATGGCCAAAGTGAGGCTCTGAAGACAGTTATTGCCACTTTTTTGTCCATAGCTGCCGAAATTGCATGAGGAACAGACAATTTCACTTAGACCGTTGGGCCCATCGCAAGCCATATTGTGCCATGGACTACGCATTGTTTTTGAGGCAATGTGGTGTTGTGTGAAGGTTGCTGGTGTGGCTTTCCCTCTGGCGATAATGGCCCTGATCCCATTCCGGCAGCATGTAATGCCAAAACTCTTCTCTTCGGAGCACTTGCGTGAGCTGGACATGGCAGAGTATGAGGAGGCACCCCCAGTAGACCACAGGGAGGTCTTGAGAGAGATGAAGAAGAAGGGTGTGATCTTGGAGGCGGATGAGGAGGAAGAGCGACGGCAGGCCTTGGAGAGGGAGGTGGTGGGAGACATGATGCCACAGGTCAAGCATCACCTATCCAGATCGGAGGTGAGTTGCGGTGATCGCCGTTTCGTTTTTCTTTCTGCTGTCTCTTGTGTGGGATCAGGCTCAGGGCTACCTGACACTTTGCAATTTGCTCATTTGAGTGGCTTGAGCTTGTGTGCTCTTTTGACGTTGGGGTTGGGGTTATTTCTTTGCCGTGTGTTATGAGACCTTGTGGACCACCAGGACTCTGTGTCCGGGTGATCGGAACTCAGCAGAGACATGAACCTTGACCAATGCGTCGTACTTTAATTGCTGCATAGATGCATTTTTCATGTACTGGAATGGGTCAAGTTGTTGCAAACACACGTGCACTCACAACCCACAAGCATGCAGTTGTTAATTGCTGTTGAAATGCTGTCGTCTTGTGTCATTTATGACACGATGCTGCAAATCTCCAGAATGCAAGGTCGCTTAACAGGCGTGGATTGGACTTGAGGGCGTCCATTGGTCAGTCAAATGTTGTATTGGAACGACCTACAAGACACAAGACACATAATTCCATGCGGTGCACAGCAATACCATATGTGTCTCTGGTCTGTGGCTAGATGCACTTGTGGATGCCCGCATGTGGACACCTTGTGTATGGCACTCATTTTGGCATCTTTGCAAGGCACACATGGACGCTATAGCACAAAATCCACAATGATGTACAGTTTCAGAAGTTGACCACTGGCATGTGGCATCTTGTCATGCAGCTGGAACGTCGGAAGAAGAGGATGGAGATTCCAGACTCCGGCCAGCAACCCACAGGCCTCCGACATCGGAAAAAGGAGGCGTCCGACCCGAGCTCACCTGTCAGTGGAGGTGCCGAAGGCGATGAGAATCGTGTGTGAGGGAGGCAACGGGGAAAGCCGAAAGTTCTTATCTGCAGGACGACCACCTGCCTCGTTTCTGTCATTCTGCGATCCATGGCATTCCAGAATGGGGTGACAGCAGCGCGCAAGTATGGAGGACCCTTGGCTATCCAGAGTTGTGGCAGCACATCCACAGGTTCATGTGGGATGGAAGCTGGGTGCCAATACTGACAGCTGTAGTTATTGCACCCCACGTGGCAAGGCCTTAAGGCGTTTGGTGCAAGACTTGCACCAAGTCTGGCGATGGCCAACAAAGAGCGCCATGTGGAGAATTAGGTTGGGAGCGGGGACTTGGGGCAGACGCGCGCTGAATTTTGTATTTCAGGATCGCGGTCTGCTGTGTTCGGACTGGCTGGTGCCGCTAAAGGAATGGCCAACGTGCCACCTCTCGTAATTTGCGCCGAGTCCGCCCTTTGTGAAAGGCACACGAGCCCAGGGAGTGCCGGACATGCTGGGATGAGGAGGGACACTGTGTGGATGTGGGTAAACCGCGGTTGCTTCACACACATTTTTGGTGTTTGAGTGTCTGTCGTCCAACAATTGAAGAGAAGAATTTGCCATCACTGTAGTCGTCGTGGGAGCGACAGTCGCTCTATGTTTGTTTTTGGTGCTTCATTGTTCATGAAATTCAATTCGATCTGAATTCATGGCTGGTTGATTTCTCTGAGAGCGAGGTGGAACATTTATGAAATGTCACTCATGGATATCTTGAATTGGGGCAAGCGTCGGTGCGACTCTGTTGCCGCATTCCTATCGGTGCAATGGCGGGCAATGCTGCAACAAATGCCCATGTATCAATGTTGACAAACATTGATGTGTGCGTGTTAAGGTTACTGCAGTGTTGGTACACCGCCCTGCTGCTGCCTTACTTGGAGTTGAACAATGACAATGTACCCACCATGGTCCATCAATTTCTTGACAATTCGCAGTTAGTAGAAATCACATGTGAGGATGGGCGTCCAAACAACGTGACTTCAGCCATGGCGGCAATGTTGGGATATTGATTTTGATCTGACGCGCAGTTGCCGAAATTCTTGTGCCAATGTCTTCCTCTTGAATGTGCCAAATACTTGTGCACGGCATGATGCCAGTATTGGCTAAAAATCGTGAGACACACTGAAAATGCAGTTGCGAATACCAACCTGTTATGGCTTGTTTCTCAGTTTGCATCTTTATTGCTGTTGTCTGTGAAACAATATTTATAATAGTGTGGTTCATTATCATGAATCATTCATCATAATGTGCCTTTGCCCTCTCTGCAGCGGCGCTGCTGATCCGCCATGTAAGCTCGGCAGCAAATGCGTCTGGGAGGACTGGACCATCGCGGGAGTAGTTCAGCCTAGTACTGCATCAGATCCATATTCCAAAGTCCTTGGCACTGCTCCTCAGTCATGGACACCATTGGAGGAGCGCCTGACTGATCGGTTGCTCAGATATTCGAGAAGGGAGGTTCCTGCCACCCCTTTGCGTGGCAGCTCGATTGTGCGGGGCAGCGTGATGCCCACGTGCCAGCGCCACCAAGTAGTTTTTTTTTCCAATTTCCGAAGGAACAGATTTAAGGGACACAAACAATACTTGTGCGGTGAGTTTTGGCATGCCTGCTAGATGTTTTGGCGGCATTGCATGGGGATCTAGTGAACCTCAGAAGTGCAACTTGCACCCACATTTTGCCAAACTGCGATTTGCGACAAAGCACTGTCACCCTATGCAATGAAAGATCACGGTGAATCGTTGCCATTGACAGGAGTAACCATCGATCGGCTTCGGTAATCCACCAACTTACGAAATAAGCTATTTCGTTCAATGCAAGCAAGAACGGACCGCATGTCTGCTTTGCATATTCCTGTCAGAAAAGAATGAATGTACCGCATCATCTGAATTTGTGAGCTCTCATGCTCAGCAACACATCTTTCTGATTATGATGAGGACGATGATGATACATAGGAACTTAATGATCAGTTGCATTGCAGCAATATCCTGGGCTCTCATTGAACAATCATGCACACTGCTGGTTCACAGGCTGAATAGGAAGCGAATGGCTGCTTCTCGTTGACATGTAAGATTTCTTTACGATGATGACAACGCTACTTTCATCGGATCGAAATAAACAGATGAGACGGCTGCAGTCAGCGAGCCCTCGCCAACTGAAGCCGCTGAGCTTCGCATCGTCACTCACGGTGTTTCTTGATTAATTGAGACATTGAATTCTACCAACAGTGATGGGACCTTTTGGCTTCAGTCGCTGCTCGTCAACTGGCAAGGGCATTTCTTTCCATGCATTAGCAGCGGCAATTCCTTCTTATAGTACGAATTGATGGGTTTCTGGACCTTGTTTGTGTTATACTAGCATATCTACTTATATCTAGTGTAGTACACTAGATTTCAACAAACTTATCATGGACGATGCTTCGCTCGTGCAAAGTAAGAAACTGGCGGCTACCTCCCTGCCATGTCATACGGCTGTAGTATAAAAAGTGTGGTGATGATTTGCGCTTCTCGTTGAGATGTAAGACTTCTTCCTGATGATCCCAACACTTTTATCATCGGATCGAATCAGACAGATCACGTGGCTGCAGTCAGCAAGCCCGCGTCAACTGAAGCTCCTGAGCCTTGTTCCTTCACGCACAATGTTTCTTGATCGAAGAACAGCATCCAGGGCAGGATATCTGGATGGAGCCCTTTGTTTCTATCCTATATATGACAGAATTCATCACCACCATTCATTATTAAATGACAGGCAAGGCGGTAGCCGTCAGCATCCTTCCCGCTCACAAGCCCTCTAACCGCCCTCGTACCATGGGACGGTTGACCTAGCCTCGAAGCGGCACTGTCGGTTCTTGCGCCGCATGGAGCAGTTTGTCCGCGTTCGTCCGTCATTGCGACAGGCAGTGACGGTTGGATTGTGGCTGTTCACCGTTTGCCTGGGATGGGCCGGAGGGACAGTCATAGCCAGCAGCAAGCTGGAACGGTGCGTCAAGGACGGAGCGGTGAGGCCTGACAGGGCGCAAGGGAGGGGTTGTCTATAATGCGCTCCTTTGATCGATCTCTGGGGGCGATCAAAGGAGCAAATGGTACATAGAAAAATTTCAAAGATGAGGAGCACCTTGGGGCAAAATTAAGGCTCCACGCAGCTGCGCCCCTCAAAGGGATGCCAAATGCAGACTGCAGGGAGTTCTGATGCAAAGTTCCTTGAGTCACTGCAAGAGTTGTGAAGAACTTAAGCGGCATCGCCAATAAGTTGAGTCACCTTTGGTGTGCGATGAACCAACGTGCATCTCCATGCATTGTCAAACTCACTGGAGAAGTTATGACCACTGAGCAGCACTGCTGCGTAATACATATCTTCACGGCGACCTGGCGCAAGCTGCGGCTTTGCATATTACAAGAGACTGCAGCAGCCATTAACTGCTTTGGAGAACAATACTACATCCCCAAAAATCCATACCTCCGCTGCTGTTTGATATGTTGCTGGAAAGTGTGCGGCCTTTTGTGATAACCACGGGAAGCAGTGTAAAGCTGCACTGGGATGAATGCAGCAAAGCTGCCTCAGCGGCTGCACTGTCGGAAATCATCAACGAGGTCGCGAGGAGGGCGTATTTGCTACTGTTTTGGTCCGCGAAAATCTTCCCGAAAATCTCGGCATCTCGCGGCCAGCATTAGCGGCTGTGGCAAACAGGCCGCTAGAAGCTCAATGGCAACAATCCCGGTGTCAGCCATGTTGATTTCATACGTTTCAGGAAGCCTTCTAGGCAGCAATCCATTCGGCCTGTAGATGTTCAGCCATTTTAATGGCCCCCTCAAAACATGTCGTGTATCCATTCGAGTTGCAATTTGGGCCGGCCAGCCATGCTCGTGAACAATACCTTGCGACCTTTGCCCGATACAGCCATTTTCGTGCAAGGGCTTTGCTTTGTCTTATGACAGATATAATATTACATTTGTAATTACAATTACAGTACATTTAACTATAATTCGTTGTAATTACAAGGGGGCCGTAGGTATGGCGGCGCCTGACTCCTGTATGCCTTCCTCCTTTGCGTTCAGTGGATGATGTGGTGTCGCCGTGAAGGTGGAGACTGCGTCCCTGGCGTGCAATGACAAGCTCGTGGTCACCGTGGCGGTGGAGGGAGGCAGGGAACTGGACACCGAGCGACTGGAATTTGAGATGGGCTGCGTGGGAAGGTGATGAATCAACGGGAGAATCACAGGGAGAAAACGGAAACCCAATCTTATCTACATCTTAGATATATGTTCTATGATCGCGTGATTTGACACCGCCCAATATCGGCTTGCACTCTTAAGGTGCTTTTATCTAAGTCGCAATTGAATGCAGCCATATCCTGCGCCAGATACTCTGCCAAGCATTTTTTTGAAACTGGAACACAAAGTGTGAAAGAAGACGTGGTCTGTGTTTCTGCGCCAGCCTTGTGTGCCCTTTTCGGCAGCACATCGTGCAGATGCGGGCGCTGTCTCTGCCTGATGCCTGAGGTTGCACCACGAAAAATGGTGCCATAAAATCGGCAAAATGACACAAATTTATCTTTAGTTTTCAAATAGTTTACACTGCAAATCCTGTGTTTTCGGCAGCATAGCACAGTTGCAGCGCATGGGAAATCTGTGTGGGTGGTTTCTGCCAGAGCTGGCGATAAATGACTTGATGTGAATTTAAATGTTTCTGGGCCATATCGATGCATTTTTGAGGTGTGCTCGCACGACCAAACAGAATCGACTACGCCCGATTTATTGGCACTGTAACAGTCGTTGCGATAGCCATCGGCCGCATTGATTGACGGCATGAGAAGTTTGAATTTCAAACCCAGCTGACTTCGCCGTATTTGCCGTATTTCATCAAAACAATCCATTCGCAAACATTCTGTATCTGAAGCATATGCCCCGGGACCCACGAAGAGCTTCTTACTAAATCCCGTGGGCCAAAGTAGCCCATCGATGACTAATTCATACCTCAGTGACGACGCGTGGCTGCACAATTTTCCAGTCCCGAATGCCCGTGCCCCTGCAACTACGCCTCGGACCGGACATGCTCCTGCCGCGATCTGGGCCAAAAACTGTCGATAAACCTTCAGAAGACTCCTGTGTCTGCCGCCTACCCGCTCACATACGTCCAGTCGTTCAACGCCAAGCCCACGGAGGTCACCCATGCAGGCCTCACGAATTGCCAGGTGATTCCAGCGCTGCTAAGACGTCATCAATTTTCATATGCCCTGGTTTTCTGGAATTATGCAATGCCTGCGGTTGCTTCGAATTTCCACGCTACGTTGGTGCATGGGTGAAAACAAGTATCTGAAAACGTGTAATGTAAATGTGCAAAATACTGTTATTTGATATGTCCAATTTGGGCACCAGATTGCTTCGATTTTATGACACCCACGGCATAGTTGCGCAGTGAATTTCATCAAATCTTGATGCATAAAAATGATTCGCCAACTTCTGGTAGGACGGCGAATACCAAGACAACCCTACTTGCGGATGGTACTATGACGAAGGGCAGAAGGTTCCAGAAAGCCAAGGATTCTGCTGCGAGTGTCGCAGTGGTCAAGTTCTTCAAGACACATTTGGAAATTTGGAGGAGCGAACGTGAGAATTTGGTCCCCCCCCACCGCACCCCTGCCCGATATGGAAAGCATGCATCTAATACGTAGTATGTGTGTGGTGGTGGCCATCGCCAGATACATAGATACATTCTTTGCATGACCACCGATGTTGGACCCCATGGCAACAGCTGGAATGCCGAAATGAGGACACGTTCATGGCTATCTGCACATCGCTTTTGATCCGCGTGTTCTCGCACAAATGCGTAGATCTACGCCCTTGTGCATCTAGTTGCATTCACCAAGGGTTTATCTTGATGATGTCATTTTCAATGGAGAAGACTCAAATGAAACCTGTGAAGCACATTCGAATTGCATCAGGACGAGTTGTCCAAACGCGCTCAAGCATTGCGAAATACTTCCAAAGTATTTCCTTTTCAAAATGTTTGGCCTCTTACCTGTACAATAATGCTGAGCCTATCTGAACCAAGCGTTGTTAAACCTTACCATAGGTTGTCTGTTTTCAGGATCAAATAATTTTTCCGGGACAGTAGTCGCAATGCACAGTGCTTGTTGCGCAACCCATCAAGCGTTAACTGCCAAGAATAACGACAAGCCTTGCGCCCACTTCCCAAAAGTCTATCTGCCGCAAGTGCACTGAAAGTAATCTTAATTTCGTCATCACATTATCCACTTTGTGTGTAGCTTTAATAATTGATTTTTCCACCTATCGATTCTAGATATATTACGAATATACGATGATGAGAAGATTGCTAAATAACAACGGCCCATTCCAAGGTCGCAGATGTCTCAACACGGTCATAAAGAGAATCAAGGCTCATTCACAGTTTAGAATGATCAATGGCAAATGTGCGCTACTGGTACTTTGGTACTGTTAAGTTGGCAATTCCAGGGTGAAGCGCGGCCACCACTTGGAACCACCTCGAGGGTCCCCGTGTGTGAAGTGTGCAACGGACTGACTTGTTCTGATTGCACCAGGAGAGGAAACTTGAACTGCGATTTCTTCAGCAACACTTGGAATCCATTCGGATCGCCTCCCGCTTCAGCCCACTGTCTGTATTTGGACCCTCTGTGGTATGAGGTGGGGTTCAGGTAGTCGCCTGGTACAATAATCCAACAGTAGAACAGTAAAGCCAGTATTCAGCACTTTAATTGCTGCTTAATTGCTTGCATACACCGAATTAAATCCCCACCCACGCACACCTAATGGCTGCTACATTCTTGTATAGTCTCGACCGCGCGAGCGTTTAATCAGATTAAATCATAACTTGAATCATTTATTCCTTTGCGGACGGCATTGGCGACCCTTCTCCTTGAACCCGACACCGTTCGCCGTTTTCCGTCCTCGCGGGCATTCACAACTCCAGAACTCTTTTTTTTGTCTCTTGAAGAAGATTTATGATGAACAATGTGAAATGAAATCGGATCCAATCGATTCAAATTTGCTATCAGCGTAATAGCTGCCGGAAGGCTTATGCAGGGACATCGTCGTCACATCGGATGCACTGGTCACGCGCAACAATAAGTGCAAGCGACGCCGAGGAGGGCGAAGCCACAGCAGAGCGCGGCACCATGCTGTATAATAACGGCAATCAAATAACGTATACCGAGAGCAGGCGCCGGCACACACAACAGCCCATGTTTCGCATTCGCCGCTGCAGGGTTTCGAGTTGGGCAGTGCTCAAACGCAGTTTGAGATCACCGTGAAGGTGGAGAAGATCGCAGGGGTGGGCCCGCCTGCCGAAGCCTCAGCTGGGAGCGAAACTTCGCCCGACATAGACACAGAGTCCCTTGTGCTGAGCCCGTCCGAACCGCACAAGATGAGCGAAAACAGGACAGTGGAGGCTGAGCTGCTGGGAGACCTTGCGAGTTACACAGAGTTTCCAAGCCTAAGGTGACGTTCTGGACGACTGCGCTTCAATTCGCGTTGCCTTTTTGCTGCAGGAAGCAATCAGATCAGCTGGCACCCTGGCTGCATGTGCCACGAAGGCCGGAAGCGTTGCTGCATTCTGTTGACAGCACTTCGGGAATTGCGCAGGCGCCTGTGGCTTCATGCTGTTTATTAAATTTCCATGGCGGTTGAGCACTTCCATCGCGCACATGTTGCTTCGGAAAGGGCGGTATGGGCGACATTGAACTTGTGTTGTGGCCACTGTTCAATAACTGGTAGCTCCTCTAGTAATTTCCTTATTGGATTGGTGGAACAACTGGGAACTGTTCGCCAATTGCGTTTTCCGAAAATTAAGCCCACGCTAGGCCAGTTTCTGAAACACGATGTAGATTACACGAGGGGCATGTTATGTTGGAACCTGCCTGCATTGTCATTATTTTTGGCATGCATGGCAATAGGTTGCAAACAGCAATTTAATTGCAAGTGCATGCTGCCTATTGCAATAATAGCCACCCTTCATGCAATCTGGAGTCGCTTAGAATCGAGATGTAGCACATCGACGGGAATTTTTTATCCTTCAATCACGACATTCATGCACATGTGAATTTTGTTTTGGCGCATATGCCTATACGTCCTTGCGTAATATGGCGTCCACGCTTGTGGTTCCGTGCCCGGAACTCAAACTCAGTGGCAGGTGCGATTGCAGATCAGTAAGCCCTTCTGTTCCGCTGCAGTAACAAGCTGCTCATGGTTCCTTTTCCGGACGGGTCTGATCTAAACGAAGCTCTCACAAGCAACAAGGACGAATGGATGTTTATCGACAGGTCAGACATATCCATGGATGGTGAGGGAATTCAACACGCATCGCAAAGCGCGCAAAAGAACGTCGCATATCTGCTGCCTTTGCCACAAGTAAAAAATTGGCTAAAACACACGTTCTCGAACCGTGTGAGAACCGTGTCAAAACGTGTAAAAAATCATGTACACTTACTCCTTCGCTACTGCACGATTTGGTCCCATTTTCGTAAGATAACTGGACGATCTAATACGATTTTCACACGATCCCAAATAGCCTTACAATGTACGCGATTATAAAAACCGTTCATTTGGGATGCACTTAGAGCGCGCCACATAGCATTTAACATTTCAATGGCCTGTACAACATGCACATGGAACAAATGTATGCATGGGGTGGCTGGTTGCATGTTACAAACAGCTGGCCAATGCATTCCTTTTCCATGATTGCTTTCTTTTCCGCTATTTGCATCATATAATCTGGACGCACTGGCAATGCAATCATGCTCACTTGGATATCTTCAAGATATTATCTTGTACCTCTGCCGATCCTGCTGAGAGTCATTGCAGGCCTCAAACAGACGTCAGTATAGTTCATTGTCCTGCGCAAGCGAACATTAAGCAGGGGATGCGAAATTGTTTAATCTGCAAAGGACAGAATTGTGTCTCGTATCCGCATTTTGAACGAGTGCAGAGAGTAGGAGGGAACACATTGACATACATGTGCTCATTTCATGGCTATCGCTTTCAATACAGGCAGTCGCGTTTATAGCATAGTGTATATTGATGCATATTTCTATGTGTCTTACGTGTTCTCACATTCGCGATGCATTCGAAGCGGATATTTCCTGGATAACGACCTGTCAGAAATATTCATCACACCAGGTGTCATGAGCTAAGACATCACTGATACGCAAAGAGACATTTACACAGTACCACAAGCGATAAAAGGCGACGGAAAATACCCAACCCACATCCTGCATTCACACTTGCCACCTTCACGCCATGACTTTGTCCAATTCCAGATATGGACAAGGTCATATCAGATATGGACAATCTTCATATTCTTAAGATTGCCCAAAATACACAAAACACTCACTACGTTCCTGAACATTCTTCAACCACGTGTGATGCGGACCTGAGAGGTCCAGTTGTTGCGGGAACAGCAAGCTGCAAGCGATGTAGTATGCTACTTAAATTTTTGGTTGCTTTTTTGATGGCTGGCTTGAAGCACTGCCCCGGTGGCAAATTTTCTTAGCCAACTCCTTGCCATTCTGTGAGTTCTGTGACATGTTAGCGATATAAACGATTCAAAATGCGTACAGAGTGCATCAATTTTCAACGAAAGCATTGAAGCTACTTCGAAGCTACGTCGAATGCTCGCTAACTTTGAGTCGCTTGCTTGCTTCTGCTGTATCACATTGAGGTGGCGAGTGCGATAGAGTGGGGACATCTTTCGCAGCCTTCCGTTACCAGGCGGGCGGCTGCGATCGGCCGGTGGGCGCTTGTCTGGCTGGGCAGCTCAAAGACAAGTTTGAAGAGGACGCTCGAAGGGTAGAAGAAGGGTTGACTCCTCAGTACCTGATTTCAAGATACGTTGGTAGTCAGGCACAGGGACAGGTGCGATGTCGCAACGAGCATCTTTTCAGCTCAATAGAATATAGGAATGCAATTGCTGTGAATACGGCCCAAAAAATGAGCGTTATCTTCTGCATGCCATGGGAAAATTCATAGACCTCAAATTAGAGCCCTGTTCAAAAATACCCATTTTCCAAACTTGTAATCCCCTCCAATTTGGTAAGCTTGCTGACTGTTTCTGGTATGTTGGCTTCATATGCCTGTATTCTACATTGATATATCTGTGATCAGCCCACACTATCGCAATGGCTTCTTGAAGAGAGTGGCTTTTGCGCCCGAAAGACTAGCGCGATCAAAACGTAATTAGGAGAGCCACGCAGAGACGGCCAACCGGTCGGCGGCATGTGTTCGATGCAGATTGGCCGCGGCAGCAGTGGCTCAGGCCCCCTCTCCTTCCAATTCCCTGTCACGCAAATCCGAAATTCTATCGTCACTCTCTCGGTGACGGCGGACAGCCTAAGGCTTGTGATTCACGCCAGCCCGGGGGAAATACTTCGGGCGATGGTGTGCGTCTTTGCAAACGTCACGTGCGGTGGTTTTGAGGCACTGACGGACCGCGGCTACCTGGGCGTCGAAATCAAAAACACGGGGTTCATCGATTCGGATTACAAAGTCACGGTGCGCAAAATCCCCTGCAGTGCTGAAATTCTCTTTTAAGACTGCGTGCTCTTTTGGATTCGAACACCTTTTGGGCTCAACGTCGCTTCGAACCCTCTTTTTGGGTGACGCGAGGCCCACATATCCTGTGATAGGAGGGAAGAGGCACCTGGCCACTGAAATGTGATGAAAACTTTTGGAATCAAGAATGCGAATCTTTGCGCATATTCTTCCGATTCACCTTATCGGATGACGTCCACTTTGGACCATTTAACGGAGCATGCATTTCAGTATGCGAGGTGGAAATTTGAATATCACATTCAGAGATCACCTCGTGTGTGCCCCCGCCAGCCTTTCTGATATATGTACGCCATTTGAGGGCTGTTCTAGAGCAAAAGAACAGCACATTATGTCAACGCTTTTCCCCTATCAATCTGAACCCTGCATTTCGAATTATTTGCACAAACATTTTCACACTGGAAGGAGAATGTCATCATCCAATGCACCAAGATTCATATGTCAGAATACGCTCTGCGAACCATATTGTTGTTGCAAACTTGCATGCTGCAGTAGTAAGTGGCGCTACATTTGGTCCATGTATTATGTAACCCATACTTAACCAGTTTCCAGCCAAATGTCCTAGCACCCCAGTCGAGAGGGATGGCGAAGGGAGCAGCGGCGAGGATTTCGTGCATGTTATGTCAACGTTTGAAGTACGTGTGAAGGCAGTGTGATCTCCCTTCCGTTCAGGTCTCGAATTGTAGCTCGGGTGTGATGCCCATCCAGGCCCAAAGCGCTTCTCTGCGAGCAGGCGAGACCCTTCAATTGCCATCGTTCCAAGTTTTCATGACGACCGACAATGCTAGAGAAGAGCTATACTGCTGGGTCAATCTGCTGGACTCTTTGGTGCGACTCGGTTGCCTGAAAACATGACACTGGTTGCGATGTGCTCGCAACATAGACTGTGATGCTAATTTAGTATGGCGAGCTGTGCAGGGTGGCCGCTGAGTACCTGCGCGGCATTGTTGCTTTGTTTGAATAGATTTATTCAAACAACATACCAATCATTTTGAAATGATTAGTAATTGCGGAATTTGCTTCTGCTTCTTTTCCACAATTGTGCACAGAGTTACTCCAATAGTTTGCACCACAAATCACAACATTATTCAGCTCATGGAAGGCTTCGAACCTTTCATTACCTTGTGTTTCAGCTACCACTCAATGAGCATCAACTTCGCAGATCTGTCATTTATGCCGGAAAGGGCATTCAAAAAGACATTGGATAACTAAAACAGACAAGGTCAGAATGATTGATCAAAGAAGCATTATATGTACAATCCAAGTACACAAATAGAGAATCGCTGTCAAAAACGTGACCAGGCCTTGAAGTTCTGGTAGAAAATTGGAATTGCGGCAAATATGGAAGTGGATGTTCTAAGATGCCATTAGAGGTTGCGCAGCGAGATCTGTAATTATTTGATGAAATCTATTGCATTTTGGGGTTTTGTGACCTGTTGCCCACAATATCATGTGAATTTTCTGCATAGTGAGTGATATGCCCGGGGTTGACATTTCCAACGAAATTCCGGGCCAGAGTCCGCTAAATTGTTAGCAACGATGTTTCGGTTACTCACCACTGCTTCGGCGACCGAACTGCACAGTAGCTAAAATTCGTTTTCCAGGTGCACTCGGAAACATGGCGCTCTATGCAAGCAACACTCTTGCCAACTTTGAGCGTCCCTTCCCATGTTGGTTGAGGTTCGCTAGTGCAGGGTGACGTGAGGGACACTCGAGAGGTCCAGTTCTACGTCAATGCTACCCAATACGCGAACAAGCCCAACAACCCCGACTTCAAGAATGGGACAGGGCCGGGCCCGGAATACCGCAAGCTGCGGTGCTCCGACTTTTGTCCAAATCTTATAAACATTCCCTGCTTTGTCGTCAAGCGATGCTGGTCAAGGCTGCTTACTCTTTTTGGCATTGTTCTTGGCGTTATCCTGGGAGGTGAATTTCCGCCGCCACTACTCTTTCGCAAAAAGGTTGCATGTTTATTTATTTACCTGTTTTTGGCTTTCCTGCCTGTAGCTGCTGAGGGTGAGACTTTCAAATTCGGAACAATAAGATCTTCCTGAACTGGCTGCAGTAGCAGAGGGGCTAATCAATGGTGGTAAACCCACCGATATGAAACCACACCTGACCCCAACAATATGAAAATGAAACAACCTTGCCGGACATGTGATGGCTGTCCGGAATATGACAACAGTATCAATACATGCTATGAATACCAATATCCTGTATAGCATAGGACAGAGCATCATTACATGGAATACACTGGATGGTGGGCGTTACATTGGTCAGCGTTTCTTAGAATACGTGAACGCCACAACAAAGGCAATTATGATTTCAGGTGAAGCTGCGCTAGTAGGACCACTGCATTGGCATTGTAGGGCACAGCCAAGGGCTGCACTAGCCGCACTGCCAAAATATGGGGTGCATAAGCCTGAGGACATTGACATAACATTGATTGGATGTTTCTGAGTCCAGAATTCCCCACAAGGTGCCACTGCTTCGTCACATCGTTTTGCAACGCCATGGAACTCATTCGGCGCTAGAAAGCAAAAGGCATGTTCCTGTCCAGAGCAAAAACTTGTCGTTGTGGAGCCTACAGACAGCAGGCGGCTCCTAAATTGTTACGGAACTTGTGTGGCAATTTAAAGCGCTTGGCTGACCTCTTCGATGTGTGGCACGGTGGAAAACTGCAGCCAGCCTTTGCTGGGCCAGCATCCGCCGCGGATGGTGCGTGAAGCTCATCGGCTGCTGGTGCTCCATGCTCGAGCCTCCAGACAAGCGATCAAGAATAAAAGGTCGGCCAGTTTGCTCATGTTGCACACCACACCCACCAGCAGGAATCAACATTTTGTAATGCAAACTGTAATGCCATTTGGCACTAAGGGATGCCATCACACTGATTGTGAGGCCACAAAATCAGCTGTGATGGCATCAATTGGTGTAAAATGGCATCGCAGTGAGCATCACAAAAACCCCGTTTCCTGCTGGTGGCCATTGTCGTCCACCACATAACGGTGCATTGCCAAAATTTGAAAAGCATTCTTGGGCTCACTGGGCCCAAGTTCTCAGATGCCCTGACAATGGGTGGCTGCTCACAGGCCATTCTTATGGTCCGCCTCCCTCAAGACGCCCTGGACCGATCCGGCACAGCGTCGTGGCAGAGATGATGCTAAGGATGATGAGAGCAGAGGCGGCGTTGGCAAGCGGCGGGTCGCGCGCCGTGGATACTCCCACTGTCCACCCTGGCTGCAAAACCCTTGTTGCCAGACCCCGCAGTGAAGGCGCGCAGCAACTTTTGGGAGCGCTTGCTCCCAACTCGCATGAGCATCCCGTACAGGCAGCCGTGGGGGCGTCCATGTCTGATCGGCACTCAGAAGGGCATGGGGAAGACCTAGAGGTGCCAAAGGGCAGCCTGTTTATGCATTACTATTATGAATTAAGAAGGCAATTGAAACCTATACATTGTTTTATTTGCAATCGCAATGCAGATGTAGGAAGGCATTTGGAAATGACGACCGCCGTCAGCAGGGGCAAAGCCTCAGAGAGAGCACGGATCTCAATGCACAAGCTGTTGCAATGACTGCACTTGTGACATTTCTAAGCCGGGAATGTCAGGGAGGGAGGGTTTAACAACAAGGAGATATTGCCCACATCAAATTTCCACAGCGCCGATGACGAAATCGGAAATGCCATCAGTGCAGCTAACGCTCACAGATCACGAAACTCGATATTTTGTATGAGGAGATAATCTGTCGTTTCCCCGGCCTCGGCCTCCACTTTTTGCACTTGAGCCGAGTGCTGACATTCCACTCAGGAATTCCAGAAGAATATAACACAATGCAACCCGCCCGAGGTGTACATTTCTTTCCCAAGGGAGAAAAAACAAACACTTGAGTAGGTTGTTCTACACTGCACAACCGAATTGGTAGGATTGTTTGCAGGTTTGTTTCGAAACGGTGTTGCAAGAATAGCATTTTTTTTAAGTCGCTGTTTCCTCACGTGCGCAGGCTAGGGTCCGGCGGCTAGCCTCTGACTGCCGCTCAAACGGAGCTGTATTTGTCAATGGGTCCCTTCTGGGCAGCCCCAGCTGGCTCCTCAATCCGGGGCCTGCGTACTGTGTTGCTGGTAGAATCCAAATGATTGAGGTAAGTCATGCCGGTGCGCGACCAGCTCGAGCGAGGTCTTGATCAGAGCTACCCCACTAGATAAACTAATTTGCTTATGCACTTAGGTTTCATCCCAGGCACCACCAAGGCGGCTAAAGGAAGACACCATTCGCATTTTGTACGCTTGGAGTCAAATGGATGCTAGGGGGTGAGGGGTCCAGGCCATGGGCGTAAGAGATGACATAACTATACCGCAATCAAACTTAGATATAAAGATGGACAAGAACGAAGTTGGTCAGCGGCAGGCAAGTCAGGAATTGTTCCCAAACCTTCTTCAAGTTTGCAATAAGTTTAAATTCAACAAGTTTTCATTAAATTCTTTTAATAGACCAATTTGCAGCCTTTGGGGCTGCTCCCATCGCCTATCATGGCTTTGATTATTCCATTTGTCAGCCTAATGGGGCTACAATGGGGCCAAACTTCTCTTCCTAGGCTGTGGTATTGCTGAGGCTTGCAAGGTTATCGCATCTGTCCATAGCATAATCACACTGACTAGGCCAATTCGAGATTGCAAAACGAAGCGCAAAGTTACATGGCATGCACATTAAGTCTATGCTGTCAGTTGAGCTGTCACTTGCAAAATCCGTGGGCTTTTCACTACCTTGAGGCCTCATTATCGCGTGGATATTGTGCTCACATTGGTCATGGTGGTGAGGATCATGTTCGCATGTAATCTGGCAAAGCAAAGGGGATCCAACAAGCATTCAACAATACACCATCTGCCCGGGTTGTCAATTGCAATTCAGCACAATTTCCTTGCTCCTGGCAATTGTCACCCATTCTTGAGGTGTCTGCGTACGCTGCGCGGGCGACGATATATGTGATGTAATGGACAAATCCATGAGTGGCGCACACATCGGTTCACTCTACGGTGGTTTTACCAACACCGCCAGATTTTAAGTGTGCGACACAATAGATTAATGTGCTCCACACAATCAGGCTTTTGCATCCATGGGGTGCACCATGAGCTGAACAAAGCCCCATGCACCACATCAACAAGTTTCAGCTGCTCCCTTCTTGCCAAGAATGTACTGTACTAAATCACCAATCGTCGACTTGTTGTTCGTTTCCTGTGCTGATACATTAAATGAATCACTTTCCAACGAAACAGAAACCTCGAGTGCAAAAAGCGCACATACAATGCTGGGTGCTCGACTTGCTTGGGAGGACCTCGCTAAATTGCGCCATACTTTGCTTTATCGCAGAACATTCCGGGCACCCCGCCTAGTGTTGTTTTTATGATCCCACCAGAGCGGCTGTCACAGCAAGCCACCTTCAACCCATCCACCCAGACCTATGAACGCCTGGCGGCACCCATCCCAATTGACGCCTCTGCAGTCGCTACTGTGCTGGATGCAGATGCTGCTAGCCGTCTGCTGACACCAGCCATGTGTGGCCACTGCCTAAATTGAACCTTTGGGCTTCAGTCAGCGTATTTTGAATGACGTGTCCGAGGACTGGTGGTTTGAACACAAAGGAATGGTGAATGGGTTCCAGGCATGAGTGCAAATGGTAATTGCAGAACAGATCGGTTCCCTGGTGTCCAAGCCCAATGGCGTCAAGATCAATATATGCTACACCTGGAAAATGTGACAAAGCACAACCGTTGCACCTTGTTGGGATGTTGGGCCAAAGGCAGGCATGACAAATTCGACTAGATCACCTGCTAGGTCAGATGAGTTCGTATCACACAAGATGGCGATGTCTAGGTGGCTCGCAATTGTGGCAGATGCACTGTTGCGGGAACCCATTTGGATGTTGTATAACAATATCTACAGTAGCTTATGTGCTGCTGGGCACTGTGCAAGAAGTAATGTAAATGGCTTCCAACTTGATTGGATGAGAGGATGAAATGTAGGCCAATGCAGCCGAGAGTGCGTCTGCAAATGGATGGAGGGCAAGTGTGCACCGCTTAATCATTGATTGTGGTGCACGATGGCTGCATTGAATACTTGTGCACTACATTTTTTCTCACTCATGTTGCTGAACCTCATTATAGTGCTCTGCGCAAAGTGCATGCCCTCAAAAATAAGCAAAACCCCCACCTCAGCAAACATTGGGAAAAAATAGGCCAGATCACACAATCCTAACATGGTCTACTCAAAATCCAATCATGTACTTTTGGCAAATGTGGCCCCAAAAATACACAGTTAGTACACACATTGACATAGTTTTAACCGTGCATCTAAGAAAACCATGTAGTCTACACAGTTGTTTGAGGGTACACGGTTGAAATTGTGTCAATATGTGTACTAACTATGTACTTTTAGGACCACAATTGCCAAAAGTACATGGTTGGATTTTTTGAGCACACTGTGTCAGGACTGTGTCATATGGCCTGTTCTTCCCTAGTGAGACTTCACCAAGAACTACGTCATTGACGGAGCCCCCAAGCTCACAGCCAAGACATATGTACTTGTTGCTAGCTGCCACCATATGCCAACACTTCACATATTGCCAGATACGAGTGAAAACGATGACTGATCTCATACCCATGATCTTGCCTTCTAGAGGGCAAGAAGGGAAAAACTAAAGGATCTTGTTGCATGCTTCTCCACAACGTACAATCGACCTCATATTATGAGTGTCACTTCCCTCCGATGGCGGTTAGCATGCTTTGACTGCCTGGCCTGTGCTTTCTCTGAACACTCTTTGGCCT